AGACCTGTCACACGTAAAATTGAAACTTGTTTTTTACATGGGAAATATGGCACTCGGTTTTTATTTTTCCCCACAAAGTTATAGCGAGATGCCATTCATACCTTCACACTGTTGTGCAAACGAGACACTGGTAATGGAAATTTTGTTAAATGTCCTTTTTTTTCTTTTAGAAAATGTACCAATTTATTAAAGAGGGGCGGAGAAAAATGTCACGCTTTGGACCCTAAATTTATGGAATGACCTGGTCAGACCCAGCTGTTTGAGTGTCATTAAAAGCACTGTATGTGTACAGTAGACCTCCATGAAACAAAACTATACAAAACAAATTTTTATGATAAATTATTATTATTATATTTATTACTAACATTGTATTCTGGTAATGAAACCAAGGATTCCTCAAAAAAGCCCTAGACACATGCAGCTCGCAAGCCTGAAGAAACCCATAGAGAGAAGACTATGAGAAGAAATAACAGTTATAGAGGTGGGAGGAAAACCCCAGACGAATATTCCAGGGAAAACCCACAGAATCAGGTAGGGACTGAAAACCCAATCCACATACTGGCCCAGGCGGGATTTGAACCCAAGTCACAGAAGCGGAAAGTAAGGAAAGAACCACTACGCCAACCTGACTCCCAAAAAGAGGAACAGTAAGTTTCAGTCACATTGGTGATGTTTCAGTGATTGTATGCAAATTGTTACCACTGCTTAGGCACTCACATTTGTCCACTTGAAAAATGTAGAGGCCCATATATACACTGTACAGTATACAGTGACTATTCAACTGTGACACATGCCATGCATTGTGTGTGGTTATATGTCAACAAACAATCCACACTGCATGCCATATGTCATTTGCCCTGATCAACCCCCTTTGTTGGCCTCCTTTTGTCCGCCTCCATTGTGGTTCAGCAGGACTGTTTTCAGAACACTTCCTGTGTGGGTTTCTGAACAACAAACGGGCCAAGGATTGCAAGAATAGAGGTTTCCATACAACATTTTAGGCCATTGCATAGTTTACTGGACTACGACTACTGAATCATGGTGAACAGCTGAATATGGAAAGTAAGGTTGTGTGACCCACAGAAAAACGACTGTCACATTAGTCATAATTTTCCTCATAGCTTACAGTTTTCCACTTTCATGTTACAGCTTTGAAAACAACCAGTTTAAAAAGTTTTGAGAAATCAATTTTGAACTTTACTTAATAGCAATATTAAGTTAATTATCAAATCAATGCAGATCAAAAACTTTGAAGCAATAAATGTAATGTGTGCATGTCCTTTTGTTTTACATCAGTACTTACATCTATAGGCCTGCATGTATCAACATTTTAAGAGTTAAAAATGGTGTAATGATTATTCCAAAAGAATGGGATAGACAGTCTAAAGTCCAAAATGATTTGACGTTCTGGTATGACAATGATAACAGTCGCATGATACCTGTTGTCTTCTGTATGTGTGGTCCAACGGTCAAAAGAATACACGTACTACATATGCCAGTTTAGGCCAGTTTAGTGTAACTATCAAGGGGGTAAAATTGAGCAAGTTCAGTTATTTAACGTGCAAACGCCTCTTGTCTAACACTGGTCAAAATGGTCCTTGTTCTTTAACATATTCAGGGCAGGGGGAGACAAAGTTTTACCCACATTTTCTTCCTATTTTTTCTTCAAATGACTGACCATCATTAAGATTATCACACTGTACACGTTCATAACAATAAGTTAACTCAAGTCAGGATACTGCAGTTTCCCCCCCCCCCCCTCCCAAAAAAAGCAGTTCAGAATTACGCAAAAACACCAGAATATCAAAGCTGATGAAAAGATTTCTTGTCGCCTGAGTTATCGGTCCAATTCAGGGATTGAGACCTGACCTATGTTTTCGATGCATATTGTATTGTCCTAACCAACTTTGTACCTTACCCTTGACAACAGACATTTTACATTGCCACATTGACAGATCAATGAATAGTGTCGCTGCCGCAATAAAAATAAATCTCACAATAACTACATCAATTAGAAAATGACATAAACCGAAAAATATGTTTAATATAAAAACAACCTTCCCATCCTAAAACAAAAATGCAAAATATTAAGTGTAAGGAAGGGGATAGTTACGCAATAACAAACAGATTTGTACAAGTTGACTCTTGAACTGGAAGTACTATTAATTACATAGTACCGGTATGTATGTCATAATTTTTTGCATTTTCCAAATTTAACTCTTCAATATTTAATTTGATTAAATGCAAGATTTTGGACCAAATATTAACAGAAAAACCTCGCTTTCAAGCACAAAAATGTGACACCTCAATGATGGGAGATGCATCAGACTGGGACCTCGAGTGCAGAGAAACATGCAAAACAAAATCTGGCCAACTTTACTCACTCTTTAGCGGACAACATTTTCCAAAATTGTCATGAGGCAAAGACAAGGTCTTCAGTATTTCACCAGCCAAGTTTGAAGTCTCAAAATTTTCAATTTTTTAAAGGAGATTTTTCTTCAATATGTTGCCATTGACATGATTTAGAGTGAAGCAAAGTGATTACAGTTTGAAGCCTTGACTAGCGTCTAGACTGGTACATGTCCAACTTTTTCAAAAGACTGACCTCTTCAGTAGTCTGGTGGCAGACTATGGAGAGACGTGTAGAAATTGAGACCGGTAACAGATGTTTCTTTTGACACAGTTGATTGATGCAGTACTTAAGCGGTGTTGGACTGGTTGTTTCATGTGCCAGTCTATTTTCTTGTATTGCATGTGACAGTATTGAAAAGTCTCAATTTTTCGGACTAGGGAGATGCACCATGTACTGTTACAACCGTCGCATTGCAACTCGCACACCTGAGCGACAAGATCGATTTGCATAAACATGACGTCACAGCTTTGGGGTCATCGCCTCTTACATTCAAATTGGCTGCCATCAACAGACGTTTTACGTACAATGGGCAAATCCACCGTCACTCACGTTATACGCCATGAGGCTACTTTGACCTCTTAGTGCTTCAAAAGTATTTGACCAAGCTGAATCAAAACCAGCCATACAACAACCATGGGGTAAGGGGTACTCAAAAATGGAGAGAAAAATTCAATCCATTCATTCACTTGTTGAAAACAAGCGTTTCGTTGGTCGTCACTCACGTTACAAAAAAAGGACATGGAAAACTGTCCTGCAATTCACAGTCTACTCAAACTGTAGTCTGCAACGCAGAAGTTACATTATTTTACCTTTCATTCAACCCATAGCTAGATATAAAAACCCGTTTTGAATCAAATAAGTGTGTATTTTAGATGCAAGGGACATTAGATTACAGGGAGGTACCGTAACTCACGTTATATCACTCACGTTACTTCCTCTTCATGGTTTCTAACACGGCATAAAGTCCGAGTTTGGTGAACTGCAACATAATGAAACTCTTTTCTTATAATATACATGTATGAACTCTGCTTTAAACACAAAGACTCTCAATAACAGTCACATTTTGCATGTTAAAACATGGTGCCAAAATGACTACCAAAAATCCATGATTTAAAAAAAAAAACATGTTTTGTGACCCAAAATGACACTTAAAACATGGTGCCAAAATGACTACCAAAAATCCATGATTTAAAAAAAAAAACCATGTTTTGTGACCCAAAATGACACTTAACTACATGACACTTGTACATTCCATCTCATTGGCACACCACTCAAATGAAAGATTTTGTTGTCCCCTTTAATTTGACACCACATTTGATGTTGTATAATGCTTGTAGTTTGGAGATTTCATACATTTTCCACTTTCTAGCAGTGTCCACTTTTGCATGGAATTGCCCGTGCATTTGGGCTCCAGAAAGGTGCCTAAATTTCTTGAAAAATTGGAATAAGATACATGTAACCTAATCAATCTAGAGGGCAAAAGTTGCGGCATCATATCCATAGAATACAACCGTTTGAAAAATGTCTAGCCAGGAGCCATGTACATGTACAAGTCAATCTTCCTAAATTCAAAATGGTACAACTCAAACATGGCGAGTTCGACGAGGATGTTTCCCGAATTGAAGGTGAAATTTCTCTTTTCTTCCCTAAGGTATGTGAACCTATAACCACCACCATTTGTATTTTCAATTCCCACTGAAGCCTACAGGGGCGCATAAGGCAGTTTGAAGACTGTTTTGGGGGTGAAGATTTTGATTGGGAGTACGAGTGAAAATGGTCAAAAAAAATTATTGGTAAACGCGATACGGCTATAATTGGTGCCTACGCAAAAATGTATGTGGGCCTATGGGGGTCCCGAAAAAGCAAATGCTTGTCGAGTAGGGATCCCCATAAAAATTAAAATCTCGGACTCTACTAATCGCCCAACCATCTGACCATGTCCAAATGTTAAAAAAGTTGCTCTTTGGTTACTCGGACGATGGCTCCATGCTCGGACTAGTCTGTACCTAGCCCCATAAATGTGGCAGTTTACTGGACTACCTCCGTAAATAAAGGCCACACCTCCACCATGGCACCATGTACAAAAACATGTCAAACTTTGTCAAATTCAGATTTTCACATTTAGGCTTAGTTTGTAGTTTATTTTTGCTTTAGAAGCATACTCACCCTCTTTAAAGGCTAATCAGAAAGTGTTGTCTTTTTCAGATGTCTATTTTTCTTGAAATTTCCAGATTCGTTTGCACACGTTTGCGTATCAAACTTTCAACATGAAATTTCACGAAAATTAGACATCTGAAAAAGGCAGCACTTTCTGATTAGCCTAGAGGGCGAGTATGCTTCTTAAGCAAAAATAAACTAGTACTGTAGTAGTAAACTAAGCCTAAATGTGAAAATCCAAATTTGACAAAGTTCGACATGTTTTTGTACATGGTGGAAGTGTGGCCTTTATTTACGGAGGTAGGCCTAGTCCAGTAAATTGGCCACATTTATGGGGCTATACCGCACCGAAAGCAGCACGGGTAACGTGCAGCGTGCACACCCTGCCCTCCGGTCGCGCCTGAACAAGTTAAAATCCAGTCTTACTCACCACGTTAGACGTTTCAGATCTGCTTCACCTTCAGTTAATTACTACACAAGCTGAGTATTATTCCTTCTTACACAAGACAAATTAACTCATTCGTGGACAGGCATGGATAAGAATTTCTGACAACTCTCCTCAGCTGATGCCTGCACCTGGGTGTCGTCCAACACGATGTACATATGCCGTTTCAAGATAGATATCACGGTGAAACACCTGTCGTCGATGTTGTTGCCAAATTAACGGCGGAATACAATACCGCCCTCTTGAGTTTTCGAGGATTTAGGCTCCGTGTTTTCACCCGAAAGGGCGCCCTCTATGGACTCATAACCACCCGATGCACTTCGTGACCATACTTTCAAGTGTTGGGGTGCCAGCCTGGGCCGACAGGCTGGGCCGGCGAGGCGTGGTATGCAGGCCGCGTTATGGCATTGACGTGCAAAATAATTTCAATGGGAGTTTTCGGTGACGTTGAAGGGCAATCTCAAATTAACAAACGAGCGTCGGTAACGCTACTTGGGACGAATCACAAAGTGTAATCAAAAAGCCACAGTAAGTATCATGTCTCAAAGAAATAAAGGCACTGCGCCTTGGTACCTTTTAAGTTTTAGAAATTGCTCCTGAATTTCTTTGCGATGATAAGCAAAAGCTACAGCTGAGGTCAGTCCGGGCATATTCCGTGTCGGCGACTGGGGGGTTTGGGGATGACCAGCCCAGGTGCATGGACTCCCTTACCGCACCACGTACGGCGAATGATGAAGAGGCGGCCAAAACAACTTGGGCTACAATAGGGGATGACCCGAAATCCTTAAATTGTGCAAAGGGAAACTAGAAAAGCGGGGGGGGGGGGGGCTTAACCTTACATCCTAACGGTATATTTTAAGCTTTTGTACTGTTCCTTCTCCGTTTTTAGTACATTTGGACCGTTTGAAAGATAACCTCAAAATCGGCATTTTTTTCTCACCACAAAATTCTGCGGCGGGTGATCCAATGGCCCATCCTGCCCCTGTCAAAAAGTGGCCGGAATATCCCCCCCCCCCCCCCGATTTACGCCCTTGGCTGAGGTCCGCTTACTCTGCTCACAAGATTCTGTGAAAGAAAGACAAACTTTCCAAAGTAGATCTGACAAAATTCTCCTTGAATTTTATTTCCAAATGTGCTTTTAATATTTTGCATGCATATTCTTTGACCTCACTGGCGACCTTTAAATTTGTTTACAGTGATCACACAGGGCCGTGGATTTCTTTGAGAACATGTAAAATAACTGACTATTTTGTTTAACAAAAATACATGGCTAGAGTAGGATTTTCTTTCTCTCTTTTGTGGTACGTTACTCAGCCAGTACTGCCTTAAATTGAATTCAATAAATGCGCTCATCCAAAACCTACCTGATATACTGTGTATACGTAGCTGACCGACTCACCTTTATGATCATGCAAATTCATTGAAGATTATGTTATGGGCCACTGGTCTTAACAGATTGTGTCCATTGATAAAGCGACTGACAGAAATAAGAGGACAACAGCTCCCTTTGACCTTTAGGACGACCGACGGTCTCAATTCAGCAGTCATAGATGTAAAGTTCGATATTTGCTTATTTACTATAGCTTCAATTGCAATGAGTTTCTTTGGAGCATTATGCCGGAAGGATATATATTACATGTATACAGTTGTTAAATGGGAGTCATTGACCAACAATAAGCTTGACGTGTTGCGGATCTGCAGATTCAATATTGGGGTAAATGGTGATTATTGTTCGCATGATTTCTATGACAGTGGACAGCTGGAGAAATAACCAAGTAAAACTGTAGCCTTGTTCAATGCGGTCTCTCGGCTTTTTGTCGAAGGGAGATAATCGGGCCCTGCACCCACAATCAACGCGCCGGGCTACGTGCGTGTACCACCGACCCTTGTCCGTGCGTGTACCGTACCACCGACCCTTGTCCGTACGAACGGTTTGGTACTGTTAGTGTTCATTCGTTTTGAACGTACTCAGGACGGGCATTTACGTCTCAGCCAATGAAAAGCTTTGCTTGCCACGCTCCACCCACAGTTACCGCCCACCGTGACCGTCCGCTGCCTTACTTTTATTATTCAAATTGTTCGCTGCTTCTTTTAATCACGATAACAATGCAAGAGGATTCCAAGTCGTTGAGCGGTACAAATTTCAACACAGTGGCAGGATCGGGAACCATAAAGTGGAGTTGTATAGTGCTGTACCTATAGGCGACATATGACGTGATGAAGAAAAGCACTGGAAATGTTGTACATGTACGTGTATACGTGTATAGGATACTATAGTGCACGTACAACTCAAACTCATGTTGAAATCTTTCGACAAAGTTTGTCAACCCTTTTTCCTGTCAATAAAAGTAAACACAAACAAATCTCTGTTTCTTTCAAGCTCTATCGTATAATCTCCGATAAATAAAAACTGAAATTAACAAAATAAAAGACTTGTTATCGATTATATCACATGTATTATAAATAAATAATTATAAATAAAAATTTGAAGGACTTGCCGAAACATGGGTCAGCTTAGTTTTTTTATTGTAGTTTCAGGTCAATGCACTCTTTAAACAGTTTGCAGCAGTTTTATTCGTTTTTAGTTATGAAAAGAATATGATAAAAATACGGTACATACAAATATTTCTTTTTATTGGAGATTCAGTTAAGGTTAATTTTAAACGTAATGAGCCAAACTTTTTTTTCAGCGTCGTTAAACATTTGTGATTTACTCTATAAACTAATGATTTACTCCATAAACCTCTTCTTTGTTTATAAACTTATGGCGATATGCATTTAAAACAGGTGCCCTCTCCTCGTCATTGATATTCACACGGGCACATTTGTCGAACGCCCCCCATTTCGTGCCTCTTTCAAAGTGACAGTATCCAACGGTACGTGGACTTTAGCTTTAACAGGCATACAAATGTATATGTCTTGTTAATCTGAATACTGACTGTACCCTGCGTAACATTTATAATCCTATGTACCGTTTTTATTGTTTTTCTAAGTAGCGCTCGTACCCTGCCTTAGCCTTATTATTTCCTTGCGTTCCGAGTGTATTGTTAATCTGAATACTGACTGTTCCCTACGTATAAGCCTTTTTAATCCTACATAGTTTCCATTGTAGCGCTCGTACCCTGCCTTAGCCTTATTCTTTCCTTACGTGCCAAGTGTATTGTAAATCTGAATACTGACTGTACCCTACGTAAGCCCTTATAATAGTGTCTATTGTAGCGCTCGTACCCTGCCTTAGCCTTATTCTTTCCTTGCGTTTCAAGTGTATTGTTAATCTGAATACTGACTGTACCCTACGTAAGCCTTTATAATGGTGTCTACATGTATAGCGCTCGTACTCTGCCTTAGCCTTTTTCTTTCCTTACATTCCAAGTGTATTGTTAATCTGAATACTGACTGTATGCTGTACCCCTACGTAAGCCTTCAGAATAGTTTCTATTGTAGCGCAATCTTGGTAAAAAGGTGCAGGCAAACAAAATATGCCCGTGCAGAGAAAACCCATAAACAGAGTGTTGAAATAATTCCAAAGAAAAGCCAGCTCTTCGTCGAGAAAAAAATCAACAGGGGGTACACTTATCAATAACAGAAAGGAACATGATTGTGGCCACGGGATCCATGACTAAAGGCAGTATGTACAGTAGGCTAAATGCTGAGAGGAATCCCTGCAGTTTGAATTCATATACCTGCACTAAACTAATTACGTGCGTAATTCTGTTTGCTTTACCGACTAGATTTTGTTCAAAACACATCATGTACAATGTACATGTACTTGCAAAATTGCTTCGATAGAGAGATTCAGCAGGTATTGTGTCAGACAGCTTTCTTTGTAAGATATCCTCTTTTGTTATTTAGATTTTTGTACCGCTCAACGAGTTGGAATCCTCTTGCATGCAGCAAACAATTTGAATAATAAAAGTAAGGCTGTGGACGGTCACGGTGGGCGGTAACTGTGGGTGGAGCGTGGCAAGCAAAGCTCTCCATTGGCTGAAACGTAAATGCCCGTCTTGCGTACGTTCAAAACGAATGAACACTACTACAACCAGCAAGCACAAACACGTGAGTACGGACTGTACGCATGGTGTAATCATGGAATAAGGCAGTAAATGTAGGCCTACTATGTTCTGCGTGTGGGTGTACGTACGTACGTGTGGGGGATATACGCGCCGCGTGGCCTGTCGAACGACCGCCTTGTTGGGTCTGCAACTTCCGGGTTTAATGTCTTTCTTTACTTTTTCGTCCAGTTTTGGAAAAAAATGGGCGGGCTTCAGGTATGCGGGTATGCCGTGATGATTATGTAGGTTCGTCTTGGACCAATCACATGAAACAACCTTCCCAATAGTATGATTAATTCATTTTTAAGCTGACCAATCGTAAGCTTCACAAGAATCATGTGACGTCGCGCGGCATGCATAATGCATTAGTCATCATGTCGTCTTCCATGTCTTTTTAGCGAGAGCGAAATGTTCGTCACTTTTTCAACAATTTGACATTGATTCGAGTTTTTCCGCTCGTGTAATGAATCCATTTGAGTGGGCAACGATCGTCTAATGACAGCATTACCTGCAGAATTCGTTGGAGCCTTCAATACTGCTTCGGACAGACTGGGACTGAACGACTTTCACCCACAGCAACGGGCCGCCATTGCAGCGTTTCTTCGCGGATGCGACGTGTTTGTTAGCCTATCGCGGGCTGACCAATGAGAATTCAGTATATACGCGGAGGTGGTACCTCATTACCGTAATAGGTTTTGCTGGGTCAACTCAAAACCATCAAGGCGTTGGGTTACGCGGACTAGCTCATGCATGTACATGTACATGACAGTACATGTACTGTGTGTGCATGGCTGTTGTACGAGTACGTGTGTGATGTACGTGCGTACGTATATGTTCAAGCATAGCCTTGCTGTGTGGTACAAGTTACTTTCTCACTAGCAGCGTACGGGCATCGATATGTGCACGCAATTATGCCTTGCCAAGTTGACTAGGATTTTCTTATCGGCGATTTTTTTTATCGGCGAATCGATAAGCCCAACGCCTTGGTCAAGGCTAGTAAAACTGTGGATGTACAAAGAACCCAAACACTCATTACCAGCGCAGCACAGCGCACATTTGACATACACGACAGACTGAATCGGTTTTTCATTTAATTAGCCTAAATATACAATGAGACAAATAAAAGATAATTCAGCTGCCATTATGGTTTGCTTGTGCTTCAAGTTTGACAGGTTATAATATTACATCCTCATAATCCGACATGGTTTGATATACTTTTTATTATCGATTCCTGGATTCGTTACGAGTCGGACGTATTCTGTTCGAACCATGCGCCAGCCTTCACTCGAGCCGAGTCTCAAGTAGAGCGAATACTAACTCGGGCGGCCCCTCAGAGGCGGTATCGTCTACTGCTGCTAGACTATAGGGTCCTTGTTTAAAATGAACACCATGGAAAAGAAGTAGAATGTATGTACAAGACAAATGATCGTCTCTTAATCCGTGTTCAGTTTAGGGGCTGTGACTGCGACAACTTATTTAAGTGCAATCTCATATCTTTCACGGGTTCTTCATGCATCGCTTTCAGTAACTCACGAAATGGCAGGATCACCTGGCACAGCGGTGACCTACGACAATGACAAATGGGGGTGGGTGATGGTGGCATCGCTGTTTGTCTGTTGTTTTGTGACCATGGGTAACATCAAAGCGCTGGGCGTCCTGCTCATTCCAATCAACAATGACTTCGATAGCGACCTGTGGATCATCGGGTGGATTGCAGTCTGGTACAACGTGACGTTGAACTGTCTGGGTAAGTTTATCTCATTTTTATTTCATAATGATACCTTTAACATCCATTATGCATGGAGCATGGAACAGTAGACTAATTTGACGCACAGGCCCGGGCCTATATAGTATAGGAACTCCCACATTTATCGCAACTTTCTGCAAACATCTTAGAAAGTACCGGGCCAAAACATGCAACGGTACTGTCATCAGTTGTCGAAATTTTAGTTTGACACTGCAGATGGTTATAAATAAATCATGTCGTTGCCATTAGCATTTCTGTTCCTATGTTTGTGTTTTGTGTTTTATTGGTCCTATACCACATTAATGTTGGGCCCAGGGCCTCCAAGAACCTTCATCCAGCCCTGGCACGAAGTATAAGTCCGAGTTTTCCTCCTTTCCAGGGCCTGTCGTAGGAGCCCTCTCTCGTATTCTCGGTAGCCGTCCAATGATGATCTTTGGTGGACTTCTGTGCACCGCAGGTTTCATGTTGACATCAATATCGACAACCGTCTCTCAAGTGGCCATCTTTATCATTGGATTGGCTGGTAAAGTTTATAATTTGCTGCGAGCGTTTCAGTTTTGTTGTACTTCTCGTTCTCTCTTTTTTATTTTGCAAATGAATGTGAAGTTTTGAATTAGGCTAGTAGAGTCTCCTATTACGCACCATTATAAATACCATTTGAATAGACGACAGACCGAAAATAATTCTTGATGTGTACCATTTTGTTTTCATAAACATTATTGTATACTCTATCTAGTGCTGCCATTGAGCTTGCGTAAAAGAAAACATCAAAAGTTTGCTCGGTTGGGAGTCGAACCCACGACCTCTAATACATATGTCTAAACCATTCGATCACCCGGACCATGCGTCTGAGAAAAAACATCCTTGGCCATCCAACTTGCCATCTATACAGTGATTCCAAAGCCCCCACAGACTGTTTCATATACATGTACATTCAACGCTGCATGCTCAATACAATCGAAATTTGTTTTAAAAATATAATGTTTCCGAACTGTCTCCTCAAATATTTAGAAAATGAATTATTTCAATACATTGTATTATCACGTCAATGTCTCCCCAGATAAGGACGATAGGTCTAAGGCCAAGAAATGCGCTTTTCAGGGGAAAAATGAAGCCCCACTTCATGTGTTCTTTCTGAAAGAGTTTTACTAAATCATGAAGGAACCGAACTATCCGTGTAAGACATAAACAGAGCTGGTTGTCATCTCAAAATAATTATATGTATTTGTTTTTTTAGGTGTAGGGTCTTCGTTTGTTTGGTTCAACAACTTTGCCGCAATGGCCTGGTATTTCAAGGACAACTATGTGACCGCCTTTGGAATAGGAACCATGGGTATGCCAATAGGTATTATGACTCTAGGACCCGTCACCCAGGTCCTTGTTGACACCTATGGCTGGAGAGGAACCATGCTCGTGCTGGGAGGTGTCTCGTTTCATCTGGTGGCCTGTGGTATGTTAGCGCAAAGGGATCAGTTTTCCTCCTCGACGGACGGTGAAGAGTACCAAGTGCTTCGAGAAGATGACAGCATGCACGCTGAGGAAGAAGCCAATGGCACCTCTGTTTGCACCTCTGCAGCTCGGAATCTCCCAGAGCAAAACCTGCGTGAAAGGGCGAGAGAGTTTTGCCGACGCTTCATCGCTGCTCTCGATTGCGCAGTCCTGACTGATGTCAGGTTTGTCTTGCTGACTACAGCCAGGTGTACGGTAGCCTTCGCGTTCAGTGGCTGGATGGTCTACATGGTGTCGCACGGACAATTCCAGGGTCTAACGGAAACCCAGGCGTCTTTCTTGCCCACTGCGTTCGGGATAGGTAACATTATTGGTAAAGCTGTAGCCCCCGTGCTTCACTGTTTCAGCCTAAAACCACGTATGACGATTTTGGCGTGTTTCGGGTGTGGTCTGCTGTGTGTGTCCCTGGTCGGCCACGCCTTTATCAGACCGTTCATTGGACAAATGGCCGTGGTGGGTGTGGTTGGGGCGGCTAATTCGTTGATATACCAAACTGTTGAAGTCATGACTCGGTTCCTCTCGACAGACGACCGATTAGTTAGTATACTGGGTTGGCAAGGAGTCTTTACTGGAGTGGCTGCAGCATTTGGTGGGCTCACATCAGGTAAGTAGCACTCATGTTTATTAAAAAAAAAGACGCTTAGATGGGTTTTCACTGCATCTTGGATTTTTTTTTTGTCTTGTTTTAAACGATCGTGTTATTTATATAATTTCAGCAATTTTTAAGGTAAACATGTACTGTGCAGTTATCCTTTTATTATACATACATATATGTTTTTTTAACAGGGGTCAGGATGAACACATCATTTAGATGACAGTTTTATACTTTTATTTTTTTTCCTTGATATCCCCTGTTCATTTTTTCATATTTTTAATGTCAAAAGATGTAAAATTAATAAATAAATAAAACTTTGAATCGTTAGATTGGTCGGCACAAAAACATTGGTAAATCGTATTTTGCAATCAATGTAGGTGTGGTGCACTATGTACAAGAGGGATGGGCTGGTATAGGGTACATATTTGTGAGGTTTTGAATCCAGGGCAAAAGTTAGTATTCCCCGACTTCCGATTTCAGAAAGGCCGACTTCAGAAAGTTCAAAAATGCCATTATTTCATTCAGTACCCAAACGTCTTCAGGTTGTTCCACAAAAAAACCCTAACAGTCGATTCGGGCATGTTTTCAGAAAAGTGGGGGTAGTATACACAATCGTGTCAGATGTACTGCTGAGTAGAATAATTGGTCTTCCAAATGCTTTTTTGTTGGTTTCATTATGATGTCTTCCAAAGATACAGCAATCACAATACGGGACCTGAATTGAACTACCACTTGGACCACTTTTTTATTTATCAAGTTATCGAAGCCGTAGAATAAGTCACACGTCTCTTGAACAAAGGAAAATAAACCATGCGTGTGTTTCTCTAACTGCGCTTTCTCACTTTCAAAGAAAGTGGCCCAAGACGACTTTCAGCCCTTGAGTTTGATGAAGAATAACGTTTGTTCCAATGCATCGATTTGAATGAAATGAAGTTTGTATGGTAGATTGGTTATCTGACTTTTAAGAGGTAATTTGAAATTATTCCAAATTTCACATGCAATATACCTTTATTAATTGGTTTTCGACTGTTAGGTTTTTGTAGGACAACCTGTAGCTGTTACGGATGGCATGGTATTCTTTAATCAGTGTCCAAAAATCATCATTCTATGGCAATAACGAACTGTGCGATTAATTTCTGCATATTGTTGTTTTTTCTCAGATACAAAAAATATGGAAATATATGTTTAAATGATATGCGTTGATGACGATTTGGTTGCTTTTTCCCCCTGCCCAACAGGATTGGTATATGAATGGTCAAGGAGCTTCAGCATATCGTTCTGCATGTATGGTGGACTGACGTTGCTAGCAATTCCCTTGTTGGTAATTGATGATGTTATTTACACCAAACAAAGGCAACGATAAAATTGACGCGGCCTGCGGCCGGCGGGAATGAAAGCTAAACCGTTCCATTAGTTTAGTGGGAAGAAGGGGTTATCGTGCACCCTCGGAAATCAGCTTCTAATTGACGTCTTTAGATCAGAAAAAATGCGTAGAAAACGATTTGCTATGTTAAAAAATTTTTTTTAATGTCCCAGGTATTGTGCAAATTAGTTCTGCCATTACCGAAAAATCAATTTTTCACTATTATTGCAGATAACTGAGTAAATTAGGTGTCTAAACCCATTTTTTCAAGATCAGAAATCACACTAAAACTATTCTTGAAGTGACCACATGTGTCTGTGGCGTAGGAATATGCAAATTAGTGCCGCTAATACCGCAAAATCATGTTTTTGGCAAAGCTCGACCAATATAGCACATAACTACACAAGTAAGGTGTCTAAACCCATGTTTTGAGGGTCAAGTATCATCAGAAGACCATTCACGAAGTAACTGTGTGTGTCCTTGGCAGGTAAATATGTAAATTTTAAAGTGCCGATTTATCAGAAAATTGATTTTTAGCCAATATCTCAGCCAATTTTGCAGCTAATGTTGACAGATTGGTTTTTGATAAGCAGTAATGCATGATCAAAGTTGATTTTAAGCCATCATATTCAAAATAAACTGTAATATTGGCTGAAATTGAATAAAATGTTGGCTGAAAATCACTGATTTTTGATAAACCAGCACTTTAGAATTTACATATTTTCATGCCAAAGACACACATAGTTACTTCGTGAATGGTCTTCTAATGATACCTGACCCTCAAAACATGGGTTTAGACACCTTACCTGTGTAGTTATGTGCAATATTGGCCGAGATATTGGCTAAAAATCAAATTCTGATAATCTGCACTGTCTTTAGAATTTACATATTTTGCGGTATTAGCGGCACTAATTTGCATATTCCTACGCCACAGACACATGTGGTCACTTCAAGAATGGTTTTATTGTGATTTCTGACCTTGAAAAAAAATGGGTTTAGACACTTAATTTATTCAGTTATCTGCAATATTTGCTAAGATATAGTGAAAAATAGATTTTTCGGTAATGGCAGCACTAATTTGCATAAAAACAATACGTGGGACATTTTTTGAATTTTTTAACACAGCAAATCGTTTTCTATCTAGAGACGTTGATTAGAAGTTGATTTCCGAGGGTGCATGATGACACATAACTGGACGTTAAAAAAATAATCGCCATGAAATATGATGCCAACGACAGCTTCTCCCCTCGTCCACACAATGTGACAGCTGCAGAAGTCGAGGATGGGTCACTGCAGTGAGGGAGCTGCAGCCCCCTAAAAATTGCTTGTGTTGCTCAATAATTTCACTCCCCCGTACCCTCAATGCCAGGAAAAATTGAGCTTCCACATTGCTGAATTTTCAAAAAATTATGGCGTCTTCATTAAAGCTGTAGCTCTAGGACCCACCTAAAATGTCTGATTTCTGGATCCAGCCGGGCTCATCAGTAGCGGATCCAGCATTTACTGAAAGCCGGGGATGGACGCCCAAAATGGAGGCGAAACCCGAACATACAAAGAGGCATATTATACAGGGTGAGTTAAAAAAAAAAAAATGTCGGGACCACTTTTAAAATCTGGGTTGGGAAATTGTATTCTCTTATATTCATCATTTTATTTGTCTTTTTTTTTAATGCAACCATTAATCAGGAGAATATCAGTATCATTATCATTATTCGAGCTGTCATTACTCGAGACCATTAGACCATACAATATCTGCATTTTATAGGTCCATCATTTTACATTGATTTGTTTTTTAATGTATTTTTTTCATCATGTGTTCATTAATCTTCTAAAGATAGTATGTTTTTAAATAAGATGAGTTTTTACACAAATTTTAAGTGAGATAAGGTTTTTATTTACTCGACTTGTAATTTACTAAGTGTTTTTAACGAGCTGTCCAACGATATGTAATTGCTTTTTTAAGGATAAATAAAGTATTTTGAATTGAATTGAAAGACCAAGTCAAAAGCTTTCTTTTAGTACAGGAATCATTCATATCACTCATGTAATTTTTAAACTACGGAATTTTAAACACAACCTAGGTTTTAAAGGTCTGTCCACGGATCACAAAAAGGTAAGTGTTCTTTCAGCAAAACGAAAACAATCACAAAGGGGACGGATGTGTGTGAGTTGTTTTCGTTTTGCTGAAAGAACGCACACCTTTTTTGTGATGGGACAGAAATTTAAAACGGTGGTTGTGTTTAAAATTCCGTAACTTGAAAAGTACAAGAATGATTCTTGTACTACAAGAAAGCTTATGAATTGGGCTTTCATATCCTAGATTTTGAAAGTGCTACATGCAGAACGTCTGACATAATTCCTGACATAATGGGTTTCCGGTGTTTTTTGTTTTGTTGTTGTTGTTGTTTTTTTTGTTTTTTTTTGCCTCGCCCTGTATTGGGTTGAAACTTCTTTGAAGTGATTAAATAACTAGTTGACAGCATGCAAAAGAAACAAGGAAAAACAGACAAGACATACATGCGCGCCCCCTCTGGATCCGCTATCAACAATTGTTGACCGCTGTGATGTGGGATATGACGTTTAGAACACCCGAAGGGCGCATAGAACCCGAGGTGAACCTCTGTCTTGGATTCTTTGGATTTTGATGTTTGATGTAAAAATCACGAAAACAAACAGCAGTAAACTCAACAAAGTGACAATCAAACACCAACTCACATGCATGTCGCGTGCTCGAAACAGCTGATCGTCATGTGTGAAAACATGGTGAAAATAGCGTGGGTACCAACGATATAAGCGTTTCATGCGCACCGTATAGCACACTCCCTGTGGGATATCACGTACGTGATAGCCCACCGGGAATTATGTGCCATGACTTCTTTTTTTTTATAAACTTAACACGTGATCGTTCTAGGCCAATAACGAACATGCTTGTAAACCTTTCAAGACCACTGGTTTGGGGTTATCATCTCAATCATGGAGAAAATTGTACCAATACTCAAGTTTGATAATGAATGTCCTTCAAGGTAAATAGAACTGTGTTGTAAAAGCTGTGACGTCATGCCAACACTGAGGCAACCGGCGGGCAACCTTGAACATTTAAGCAACCCCTTGCATGCTATTTTGACCCACATTAAACAGTATGTGAACACTTTCAAACCATTTCTATTTCAAGAGATATGCATATTATGCAGAAGCGTTTGCTGGAAGTCAGCATCACGTGACCACAACATCCATTTTGTAAACAGATGGCACATTCTATAGGATTACATGCATTTGCATTTATCCCCAAAAGTATACCCTACCGAGTTGTTTTTTTATGACTTGAAGCTTCGCATGGCGGAAGAGATAAAGTAGAAAGATTGCGGTTGACACCATATAAAATGTAATCTCTTCTTGGAAGAAGTGTGGTTCGAAAAAGAACCGGTTGGTTGAGTGTAGAACTCGACGTTTAGGATGTGCTCTGTCCGTCCTCCTGCGGACGGACAGTATCCGGGCGTCGAGTTCTACACTCAATCATGGTTTCTTTTCAGAACCACACTTCTTCCAAGAAGAGATTACTTTCCACATGGTGTTACCCGCAATCTTTCTACTTAACCGAATTATTATGCTTGCTGTAATCTAGAAGAAATAAAGAAATGTGGGTGATTCCCCGGAACGACCAGTCAGGCAATTCAAGTGATTTGTGGAACGGCTGTCAACGAAATCGTGTTTTGTGATCAAACGGTAACATGGTTTTCAAGTTTTCTAGAAAGTGTAGATAGTATCAACTGAGCTGAAACGTCAACGGGTTAGGTTTGGAACTGGCTTCTTTGGACTTTGAGTGGTGTAGTAATTGAAAACGAACGAAATTGAAAACGAACAAAATGCATGAAAAGCAAATGTTCCTATAGGGCCTACTTGCGCACAGTGACGTCGGCACGTTTATTACCATTTGTGGATGCTATAGATGAAGAGCAAACGCCATCCGACGCGTATTTTTCTAGATAACCAGAAGTAACTGATAAGGGCACGGGCCTCAATCGCCAGACCAATATTTAATTGGGGGAGGGGGTGACAACAAATTGTCCACAAACCACGTTTCTTCGTTCTGGTCATTACAACACCCATTGTAATAAACGAAATTCAAACTAGCTTTTGCGTTTCTTTACGAGACTCAAATGCAACCTTAACGCAAAAATTGTTTTTGGTGTGTGTTATTATAGGCCTAATGCGCTATACCAGTATGTTTTTGGTAACAATGCCAAGTAGTAAAAGTGTCGACGTCATTGCGTGCAAGGCAAGTTTAGCCATATAGGATCATTTACTTTTCAATGCATTTTGTTCGTCTCCATTTTATAACTCCTTGATCTTCCTCAGGCTGACCGAGGCCGCAATCCCCCTATTCACACCACCCACCTCATGCCCTTATTCTCGAGTCGGCCAAATTGAATGGAAAGTTAGGTAAAATCTTAATTTTTTGAACTTGCGAAGAGAAATTAGTAATTTATAATAAATTCCTGTCAGCTTCAATGAATAATTTAAAATTTGTAATTAAACATTCCCTAATGTTTAAAGCCATATTTAAAAAAAATTAATAATGACAGTAAAATAAGGCTGCATTGTGCCTGCATAAATAGTCTGGTGTCATCCCATTCAACAGTTAACAATTAATAATATACATTCAGGGAACTCGACAAATATGGCCGACACATGAATAAGGTCCATACTAAAGATCCGAGGCTTTTGTCGGCCATATTGAATTGAAAGCGAGATAAAATCTTGCGAATAGTGCAAGCAATGAGATAAAGTTACTTACCAATTTGATACCAGTCTGCGCTGTTGAATAATTTTTTTAAAATGGTTATTAAAGTCACATTAAAAAAAATGAATGTGAGGCTTTGAACGCATAAATAGTCTGGCACCATCCAATTCAACAGTTTACAATTTATAAGATGCAGTCTAGTAACATGCTCAAAAATGACTTTCTCGTGAATAATGGGTTGTTCATGCGCAGCTTGAGCTACACTCAACCAAAAAAAAAAAGTTCCCCCCTCCATAATTTTTGTCTAACTCAAAAAGTACTGAGCTCATCTTGCTCAAATTACGACTGATCGATACAAAAATTCCTTAGCAATCAAGCCATACTCTTTGTTTGACCCAAAACAGTGATGATGTGTACACAATAATCCAATTTATGACAAAATGGTACCGAAAAAAGTTGCACTTTTGAACTGCAACTTTCTGCACGTGTACAAAAGTGCAACTGTTTTCTGTGTCATTTGTCATACATTGCTCAAATTCGTACACATTATCACTGTTTTGGGCCAAATAACGAGTATGGATGGATTGCTATGGAACATGTGGAATGTCCGTACTGATCAGTCGTTATTTGAGCGATGCTCAGTAGTTTTTGAGTTAGACCAGTAGCCTATTGGAAGGGGAACTTTCTTTTTTGGTTGAGTGTAGCTGCCGTATAGAGCCACCTTATCCCGTTCAAAATACAAGACGTATCTTTTAGATATAGGAACCTTATTCCATTTGGTTTACTTCCCTCCATGCAACTATTCAGAATTTCAAGATCACTAAGCCGAAGACTATGCCAAATATTTCGAAAACCCCCGTTGTTTATTCAAGTTCCATCTCCAAATTCTGAATCGCTATAAAAATAACAACCAAGGCCAATATTCTAGCATCAGGCCTTATAATCATACGACTGAATACTCCCGAAGCATGAACAGGAAACTAACTGGAGCCCCCGAAGTTCAGGGCCTATAATATCACCTTAAGCCGAAGACGAAGCCTGGGTGTCAGAAAAAAAGCAAAGGAAGCAGCTAGTCAGAGATCGGGACTAGAGCTCACGAAAGCGCCCTCTGGAGACGATTTGTGAATGTTTTTAACCCTAAAAGGGCCGGGGCGGAATCTGCCCCCCCCCCCTCAACTTTTTCCGCGATAGCCTTGAAAAAAAAACTTTTCGCGACCCGAGCTGTTATGACTTTTTAGCCTCGAGCCTTGCACATCTTTTGATACCAAAAACATAAAAATCGTACCCAGGGTTGCCGCGCAGCTAAAATAAAAAAAATTCTGGCGCTACGCGCCGTCAAAACTGAATTGTCCCATATACGTCGTGTACACAGAGCAGATTTGCCATTCGCACATATGAATAATTAATTAGCCATAATTCCAAAATCCTTTGACCTATAGTCATGAAATTTCTTGGGTATGTTCATGAAGAGTTGCTCTATGCATGTACCGAGTTTCAAAATGTTTCGTCACTCGATGGCTGAGATCTTAGGGGGATCCTCCCCCCCCCCCCGGCTGAGAGATGCTCAAAATAACCCGGCCCTTTAGGGTTCAGCAACAGGCATCATGATTATCGCCCCGGCCTGAATCATAACTTAACTACATGTATAGACCTTTTTCATGCTGCTACCATTTCAGTCATGTTCCCTGTATCCAGCAGCAGTCTGAATGATAATGTTACGGCGTGGATTAATGCTTCTTTTGCGAGACTCAACCTAGTAGGATGCCTTGGCGGGGGTTCTGATCCGTCACATGCATAAGTAACTTAAGGCCCCGGAAAAAATGGATTCTCGATGCTCTGTGGTGCGAGGTCATGATAATTTCTGACCACTTCAATCTTTATTTTTAGGAAAAGATGGTGGTGTACGTTGTGGCTGTCTTTGTTGTGACGTCACTAAAAAAATATTTGGGTTTTTTTGGGATCCGCCCTTTACCGCACGTGCGCCCCACCTCCGCCCCGGCAGTAACCTCTTTGGGTCCGCCCACGAATTTGACTAGTTATTTATTGAGACCATTTTTTTATCGCAAGAGGGGCACTGTTGCTTTTGATGGCCAGCTCAGTGACCAATTTATGAGGCGAGGAGGAGCACTATTATCCATGAGAGCGCCACAAAATAATGTTTTGCGAGCTGGGCACTAATTGTGCTTTCGAGGGGCAGTTTTAGATCCCGAGTAGTTATCGCGAGAGGAGCACTGTTTTGGATAGCCAATTTTCCATTTCGAGAGGGGCACAATTTTATAATAAACAGGTAAGAAAATATCAACTTTTAGGAATACAATGGTGACTTCAACTTACAGTAAGGACAAAAAATCAGGTAAAAAATTGAAGGAAATTTCAGAATATCTCAGGGAGAAAAAATACTGATTCCAATCAAGGGAGATTGAAATTTGGAAAGTGAAAACACTGCGTCATCTCCACTCCAATAATTGACAAATTCTAGCTCTGGAATAATTTTGGAAACTTTTAAATGTTTAATTTCCGGACCTTAAGAAAACAACTTAAAACCTAAGCCTCGTACTCGTATGGTGTTTGTACTCCTCAGAAGACCTCACACTATAGTATAGGTCTGAAAAATCTGTAGCCTCATTCAAAAGCGGATTCAAGGTTTCAATAACCCCATATCAAACGCAACACATAAACAAATCGCGAATCACGTGAAATATACTAGCTCATACTATTTATAGTAGTAGGGGTGTTTTATTTTCGAGGCGATACTAAAATATCTTCAATTTGAAGGTAAATACATTGAGTTCGTTTATTTATTAAAATAAAGTATGTATTTGTGTAATTTTATGGTAATCAGTCAGTTATTAAATAGAAAATTACAAATACGTCGATTTATTACCATTATAAAGTATTAAAACCCCCCTTTTTTTAGACTGGAATCGTTCATCGGCACGTCGAAGCTACATACATGACATGCATACACGACGTACGTACATAAACATATCACACATGCAGTTCTGGTGTTGTGCCTGTACAGCTCAGAAACTTTGTAAAAAAAGACGTCCAAAATTCGCTAAGATGAGTCCTAAATCTATTTCTAACACGTCCACATTTATCGTGAGGAACTAGTCCGGATTGCTGTTCCATAGATGTGACTTGGCAAAGAGCAAAAATGCAGGATTTTGATCTTGTCGGTTGGACGAGTTTGGATAATGCCGTGGTGCCGTCTCCAATCGGGACGGCCCTTCCTATGACGGTCGAGTTGGGCCTGACCATCGCCTTCTTGACCCTGTACGGATTTCTCTTCGGCTTCGTCTACATCCAGCTCATACTCATCTTGTACTATGGACACAAGCGCTTCAGCTTCCAGACGGTGTTTCTGTTCCTGTGCCTCGTCTGGGCGGGCATAAGGATTACTATGTTCTCGTTTTACATAGACAACACGGTACAATTGGAAAATTTGCAGATTTTTGCCTACTGGTTTTTCTTCTGTTTTCCTGTCTGCCTGCAGTTCATCACACTCTGCTTACTGGTGCTGTACTTTGCACAGGTGATTCTCAGCGGCGCTCAGACAACTCAACCGTCAGTCAACACGACCCAAACCAACATGACCATTTAGACAACTCGATCATTCTGTTAACTTGACTGATTTGTGTTTGATCCATAGAGCTATATATATTAAATTACCAGAGCACTAACTCCTTATTCTTGCATGCTGAGATGCTCTGAAGCCGTCCTGGGCGCAGACATTTTGAATTCATGTGCGTGTTTATAGAACATAATGAAATTTTAGATGGATTGAATTTAGAAAGTGTACTTAAAATGCAACGCGCAAGTAGAACGTACGCAAACAACTTACATGCGTCACGACGGTTTAAAAAAAACGTTGCGGTAATCATCTGCAGCGAATACGCGCACGCGTTGCGCTGTTTGCGTAGAGCAAAATAAAATGCTCATTTAATGATTGTGCATTTGGGTTTTGGGTATATCAGCTTCGATAAGGGACCTGCATAGAATACAAGCGCAGATATGCAAATATCCGTACAAAAGCCATACACAATTTCTAGATCTCCATAGGTTTGTGTACAAACATTGATGCACCCAGCAGGCATGACTTTGTACATGAGTTTGTGCGCTAGTAATTTAATAGCTCCATGGTTTGATCTGAAAGACAACACATCTATTGAGACAAATCATCTGTTGAGACAACTCGATGCTCATATAATTTTGAAACATTATTTGCTTTCAAACTTCCCCGATAGAAATAGTTCATTGCAAATATTGCTCGAACGATGTCAAAAGTCTCTGAACTTGATTTTTCTGTAAAACATCCAACAGGCCCCCCCCCCCCATTTGTTTTCATTGGATAGAATGCAATTTTAATGTGTTATCTTCATGGATGATTAAAGCCTGATTCTGTGGCCACATTACTGGACTCCCTCTGAAAGAAGGCCACTCAGTCATGTCAGTCTCACAAATTATCAAAATTTTTGCCGAAATTTAGTTTTTTTCTTAGGGGCCGTTTCACATGATATAACTCCCTCCTTCAGTTGTCTCAAGCCTGGTTTCCACATTGACGTTCAGCTAATCAGCTTACGCAGATTATGCAGACAATACACGGAACAGTCAGGTTCAACTTTGCTGATCGTCTGCGAGATAGTTTGCGTCTGTCTGGTTTGTCAGTGACATTTCCAGATGAAATGATTCCATATGTCCACGTTGCAGTTTGGGTCCTGGTTGCGTTGCTCTCTGCGTTTCTTGCGTCAATATGGAAACTAGGCTTTATCTGTATGCATTCTTTAGCCATTTAGTTGGCTACTAAGAAGGGGTTTCTTTGCACACAAAATAGGAGAAATACAATGTATATCCACTTTTTCTGATACACAGAATAGGTGGATGAATGTCATGACGGAGCATTGGAGCATGTTGTTTACTAGTCTGGTGCCCTCTATGTTTAACGGACGTTCAGCTTCTGTTGTAGTTCGGGGAACAAGCGTGCATCTTTGTACCAGACTGCTGTTTACAGTGCTTTGAATATCTCAACACATTACAAGTTCTAGTGATGTGTTGAGATATTCAAAATACTGTGAACAGCCATCTGGTACAAATATACATTGTACCAGTCTTGTTCCACTAACTAACAATCGACGTACGTCTGTCAGACATTGAGAGCACCAGACTAGTAAACACGCGCGAATGCTCTCATCATGCCCAAACGTTGATTCTATCCGTCAGAAAAAGTGGACATATATCTCCTCATTTTTCGTGCAAAGGAAACACTCTTTAGTAGCCGACTAATCGGCTAAAGAATTCATACAGGTAAGACAACTGTAGGAGGGAGTAACAATATGTGAAAGAACTCAAGTAAAAATTCCAGTTCGGCAACTAGAACTTTACGAAGATTTGTGAGACTGAATGTTGTGGTCTTCTTTACAGAGGGAGTCCAGGAATGTGGCTACAGAAATGGGGCAATGATGATCATTGATAATGTTGAAAAAACTTTTCCAACTATGGTCAGGGTAGAAATTACTTAGAAACTCTTCCGGGCTCCTACTTTGGACAGGGCAAACAATCGAGTTGTGTGCAACGTAGAGTTGACTCAACGGACAAGTTGGCCCAAGTAGTGTTGGTCATCGGTCGAGTTGTCTGACATTCTGCTTAGGATTTTTTGTTGTTGAATTATTGCTGAACTTGGTCCAAGGTCATGCTTATTGACACTCGGTGGACCAGTGTCATTGTGTGCCTGTCGTCCAACAGTGCTTTAGTTGGGGCGTAATATGCCTATTTAGCCATTTTTATGAAGAGACAAATGTAGTGTTGTACATTTGTACTGGTAGTTCAGCAACCAGGTACCATATTGAAGTAAAACATGGGCACCCAAGTACCCGTAAAAGGAACCCAACCCCCAAATTCCCGTCCGGGAAGTTGTCTGACGGGTTTTATAGCTTTACGAGGTAAACTGCAAATCTCGTGAGCATCTTCTGTTGCAAGTTAAAGTGAAATCTGTTTTGATTTTTCATGTTCATGTAGCCTGGTTTTCATTTTGGAAATTCCCACAAATGGCATTCAAAATTTTCTTTTTCATTGTCTGAGCAGTAACTAAGTATTTTGTTAAGATGGTCACGGGTACCCGATCCCATAATCTGGAACCGGTTCCTGACATCAGTGGTCGGGTACTCGTTAACCCAGGTACCTGGTTTCCGATGCACAGCCTTAGACTAATGTCCTCTACCACTCTAAATGTTGTGAAAAATGAGGCATGGACTTTATTCTGTGTAAGTATCTCAACTATGTTAATTAACAACTATGTTAAACTATTGTTTGGACTTTCTCAACTATAGGTGGGAGTGTCCCAACTATGTTTTGGGCATTGGCTTTGCTGTGGGCTCCGTGCGCCAACAAAAGAGGGCGTGTTTTTACCTCTTTTGAGAGCTCTGTGGACGGGACACACAGCGTGCGCGTACTATACTGGACTGGTTCGCGCGCGAAGTACGCACGTAAGATCCTATAGTGCCGTAGGCGTACGCGTGATTGTTAGGGTTCGGCACACGAATATGTTCGAATTCAACTTGCGATGTTCTAAAGACTAAACCCCGCCTCCAATAACTTTGGATACATTCGGAATACGCAGTGGATGGACCGGGAACCAATCTGGGTCGCCCCCAACTCTCCTTTTCTGGCCGTTGATGGGGTACTTGTGCACGGACCCCATAGTTTAAAAGGCATCCGTTGTGCAAGGGAAGGGGGTGGCGCCTTCTGCTGCTAGAAGTACCTGTATGTGTACACAAAGTCAGAAATGGGTCATCTTAATTCAGAGGATGAGGAGTTGGTGACACAGCAAATGTCTAGAGTAAGCCTGCATACATGTATGGCCGCTGTCCGCAAGTGTTCGCTCAACAGAGATATATGACATACATGTACTTGAACACAATCGCTGCCATACGCCCATATGCAAACAAGCTCATTTTTGCACATTCAGACATAAAATAGTCGTGAATCCATCATGCCAAGCCCCAGTCTAAATTTGCTTTCATGTGGAGAAGTAGGCTATTCATCAGATAGGGAAGGAAGTGTTTCTTGATTAAATGAAGTCATAAATTTGTTATTTTGACAAGCACATACAGCAGAAGTAACAAATATTGTCAACCACTGGTCCTGATGAAAATATTGATTGCGTGAAATGTACAGCCGCATTACTTTGACTTTGTTGTGTGTTGTAAAGCTAGCAACCTATCCCCTTATTGTCCTTGGGTTTGTGTACAGTATAATACAAAATTGAGGGGAAAAAAAAGGGATATTATTACTGAAATGCGAACTTGGCCCTGTGAATATGCTGTTTATTGGGTCTGTGAAGGGTCAAAGTGTACTGCTCTGCTGACAAACAGATCTTTGATAATAAACTTGAATTTCCTATTTTTCCAATTGCCCCCCCCCCCCCCCCAAATAACCCCGACCTGATTTGACCTGGTTTTTAATAAGATGGGAATTTTGCGTCGGGGTGATGTAAATCAAAATAGGTTTTGCCCTTCACCGACGTATAAACACTGTATACTCAGTGTGTTACCTCCCGAGCGAAAGTTGGAAAAAAATCATTTGGGTGGGACTCGAACCCACGACCTCCTGCTTTCTAGTGCAGATGTCTTACCACTCGACCACCAAGCTAACAGGATCGGTTGGCTGGTTCGAAACTAATGTACAGGAGGTCGTGGGTTCGAGTCCCTTCCGAGTGATTTTTTCCAACTTTCACTCGGGAGGTAACACACTGAGTATACAGTGTTTATACATCGGTGAAGGGCAAAACCTATTTTGACCTGGTTTTTCCTGGTTTATAGGCCTTTAACTGACCTACTGATTCCAAATTCACATGACGCTACCTCAGCATCTTTTGGGGAAATTGAGATATCCAAGATGGCTGCCAATGTGGCTGTCAGTATTACAAGCAGTCCTTTACAATGATTTCTAATCTAAATTCTCACTATGAAAATATGACTCGGAGTCGGATGATATAATGAAGGCTATGAGAGGATCATGGATAAGCAAATTTGTTACCCGTATCTCATACTATATTGATACAGCATTTCTGTACATCGATGTTTGATTTAAGTACAGAGCTAAATTAAACACACATATTGCTGACAAAGGTGAGCTAGCACAATCAGTTTAAAGATGATATGTGCATGTACATTTAACACCTAACTGTATTAATTTGGCAGATTTGTTTTTGTTTGTACAAAATGTGGTTAGTGGGCGGTTAATGATCAGTGTCTAGTTTCCTTGTCTTAAAGTGCAACATGGCGTTTGGGAAAATAGTGTAAAATGCAAGTCCCAAAACATTTTTTTTTTTTTTTCACTTTACGCCATAATTACATTGTATATGAAGATCTACTATTCGTAATATGATTTTTTATCAAAGCTGATCAGGTGATTTTTAATACTGATAAACGTTTGGATATTTTTTTATTCACTTATTTTTTTCATGGCTTCCCAGTTTCATTTTCTATTTATACATGGCACAACAGACTTTGCTCATGAATATAAAATATTACCCATTCTGGACTGTAGTCTTTACCATGTTTACAGTACATTAATAAATACCTTGGAGAGTTGATACATGTACAGCTTCTGATTGGTCGAGACTCGATCATGTGGTGGTGTATTGATATGCGATATAAAGACCGACTTCAAAAACAAGCCAATAAATGGCCCCTGAACCAGCATTGATCCAGCATCATGATTGGCCAAATATGTAGCTTGTCACAATACAGCAATACACATGTATGCGCTAAACCACCATCCTGTGAAGACTTATGCGCGCTTATTGTCTGGCAGTTTATAATTCAAAATTGTCAAGTAATAATTCAATTTAACTAAACATGGGCCAATTCTTTTTCGGTCGACGTATCATTCGTAAGTGAATAACTTTTGTATTGCTAAAAATTGCAATTGAGAAAAAGAATCTATATTTTGGGATGAAACTTGAAAGTACCCACGTTAGGGTACATCAACAATATATCACTACTGATTTTCATCACACCTTTAACATTGTCAAGTATATATGCATTTTGTCATTCAGCACCTCATAAAAAGGGAAAGTTTAACAAGTTTTGAACTCCAGAATTCCCTGGGGCACAAAAGTGCTGGGCACTCACAGTGTACATGTACATGTACCTTAGATGTATGGCGTGATTTCTATTTATAGAAAGGGTCAGGAACTCGGAAATGTTCATGGCTTACTAAGTTCCTCTGTTGTAAGGGTTCATAATTCCAGTGATTTAAAAATAAATTCAGACGACCGCATCCTTTAGAAGTGTGAGGTATTTTCCGGCGATCAGGAAAACAAATGTGATCAGTAAAAATATGTTTTGCTTGTTTTGTTTAGATAGCTTAACTGCTTTTCTTTGCCAGTGGTACCAGCAATTGTTTTGATTAGAACAACTTTTGAGGACCTGTATATGTGCATTTTATATTTGGTTATGGCAGTGTTCCAGTTTACTATGTACATGTACCGGTATGCTACTAGTTGCATGTACAATGCCCCATTGTTCAATCATCACCATTTGTGGTGCTCCGTGGTATTGTGTCAAACTGTATTAGGGCTGTGCATTGGAACCAGGTACCCAAGTACTTGACAGTTAATGTCAGGAACCAGTTCCTGATTATGAAATCTAGTACCCGTAACCAACATTGCAAATTACTTACTACATTTTTTTTGTAACTTCTCTGTCAATGAAAAAGACATGTTTCGAATGTCTGTGGGAAAATTTCAAAATAAAAAACAGGATACACAGATCTTGTGATGCATCACAAGATCCGTGATGCATCACAAGATCCCTGATGCATCACAAGATCTCTGATGCATCGCAAGATCTTATGATGCACAAGATCTGTAATGCATCATAAGATCTGTGATGCATCACAAGATCCATGACAAGATCAGTGATGCGTCGTAAGATCTGTAATGCGTCATAAGATCTGTAATGCATCATAAGAGCCTTGATGCAACATAAGATCCTAGAGGCATCACAAGATCCATGATGCATCATAAGATCTGTGATGGGTAAGATCTGTGATGCTTCACAAGATCTGTAATGCATCATAAGAGCCTTGATGCAACATAAGATCCTAGAGGCATCACAAGATCCATGATGCATCATAAGATCTGTGATGGGTAAGATCTGTGATGCTTCACAAGATCTGTAATGCATCATAAGAGCCTTGATGCAACATAAGATCCAAGAGGCATCACAAGATCCATGAATGCATCATAAGATCTGTGATGCGTATGATCTGTGATGCCCCACAAGATCTGTAATGCATCATAAGAGCATTGATGCATCATAAGATGCTTGAGGCATCACAAGATCCATGATGCATCATAAGATCTGTGATGCGTAAGATCGTGAAAAAACATACCGGTGATCCTGTGAACCGGTCAAATCGGAAAGGTTTGTGGTGAGCTTAAGATATGTAACCTGTCTGTCATATCTCTCTTTGCCACTTTTGAGTGAACACTTGTACATATGGAAGGTTAATTTTGAATTTTGAAATTTCAGGTCATGTTCAAGCTGAAAGCCAGGACAAAGCCCGAGAATTACAAGAAACACATACGACACGTACGCATCACCTTTACTGTCGCAGTTTCGCTGTTCCTTGTCATGAACGTCACCTGCGGAGTCTTGACGAGGATCTACCCGGACTCCGAGGTGCTGGTACCAGTCAGGGTCATCATTAGCGGCTTGCTGTTCATTGTGGCCGGGGGATTCCTAGCCTATCTCATCTGGAGATTGTCCCGGATGCATTTTGTGGGCAGTATGCTTCTGGAAGCCCGGGTACGTTTGAAAAAAAATATAATTTTACCCAATGTTTTTCTTTTGTAGTAGCTACTTATCCAGCTGTACATATTAGAACGTTATTCAGTTTTGAATGAGATATCGAATGGAAACAATCCACTTGTTTTCTGGAATAATTAGTTGCAAATTGCAAATTATTTAATGTGCATGCAATATTTCAGGAGGGGACTTTTTTTGTGGTTTAGATGAGGCAAAACGAACCCAAATGAATTTTTTTTTCAGAGGGGTTGCAGATGCTAAAAATAAGGGGGGAGGGGGTTTAAATTACTCGTCAAAACAAAACACATATTAAAAAAAATGTTGGGAGAAAAAAACACAGTTGGTTGTAGAGCATAGTAACAGCAGATTAAGTTTACTATGGAGGCGAATTGTGAATTACTCAGTTAGTTTGAGACCCCCCCCCCCCCCCGAAAAGAAAAAAAAATGCAAAAAATTAACTCAGTTACAAGAATCATCAAAAAATTGATAAATGATAAGTTTTCATTGGCTTTCGACTGATAATGATTGTGAGAATAGTTACTTTAAATGAAACTCGGCACAACCTTGAGGGGCAGGTGAAAGACAATGACTGTGAAAATACTGCCACTTTCGCGCCTATTATGAATCGGCCATCAGGAACTGTAGAATTCTGCGAAATTCTACTAACAATATGTAGACTTTCAAATGGAGCTTTCTAAACGGAAATTTTGTGGCTTTTTTTGCTTCCTTTGTAGGGAGCCACCATGTGTCAAACGTCTACAGCTTGTGTGTTTATTATTCTGCTGTACGTCTCCCGGGCAGTTTACAACGCCATAGCCATCACGAGGGCGTGTCCGTCATTTGGTTACAACTGGATTAACGTGTCTGACCAGGTACAGCCAAATCCCTAACTATTCCAATATCCGCCCACCATTGTGCACAAGTTTGTTTCAAAGTAGTCTTGGTCCAAGGAACAATTTTTATTGCATGGGTTCTGTGCACAAGTACCCCCTCAGCGGTAAGAAAGGGAGAATTGGGGCAGACAACTGCGAGAGAGATTGTGAGATTGTGGGTTCGAGCCCCGCCGTAGCCATGCGTGTTGTGCCCTTGAGTAAGGCGCTTTACCTCAATTACTCCTCTCAACCCAGGTGTTAAATGGGTACCGGCATTATTCAATGCTGGGAAGGTAACAGACTCGCTGTGGAGGAGGTTTGGCAATCCCCCCACAGCAGCATTTCATGGACTCAAGTCTGGCCCAATCCCTTCGAAAGAGAGATGGGCACTCCATTCCTGTGAACACAGGTTCGTCCCCCTTTACCTTTACCTACCTTTACTGGGAGAGACATTTTAACGCACTGCTGATGATGCCAGTTGTTCACGTGAAGACACTGTTGCTTTGTGTACATTCAGAAAATATTTAGTCGTGCATATTTCGTGCTACTCGCACGGGAACCAGTGATTTGTCCTCCTAATCTGTATTGTATTTTGATTGCCAAGCAAGTTGTTTTTCTTTTTTTTCCGATAAAAATGGCATTCAGCTTTCCAGTATCAGTACAGGGTGAGTAAAAAAAAAACGAAACCCAAATGTTTGGACCATTGTTTTAGTGAAGTTCTGCATGTAGCACTTTCAAAATATAGGATATAAAAGCCCAATTCATAAGCTTTCTTTTAGTACAAAAATCATTCAAATCACTTACGTACTTTTCAAGCTACAGAATTTTAAACACAATCAATCTTTTAAGGTTCTGTCCACGGATCACAATAAAAGTTCAGTATTCTTTCAGCAAAACGAAAACAAATCACATAGGGATGTGTGTAAATTGTTTTCGTTTTGATAAACGAACGCACACCTTTTTTGTAATCCGTGGACAGAACTTTAAAACGGTGGTTGTGTTTAAAATTTCGTAACTTGAAAAGCACATGAGTGATTTGAAAGATTCTTGTACTAAAAGAAAGCTTATGAATTGGGCTTTCATGTCCTAGATTTTGAAAGTGCTACATGCAGAACTTCAATAAAACAATAGTCCCGACATTTGGGTATCGTTTTTTTTTTGACTCGCGTCACTCGCCCTGTATTGATGATAAAGCATTTTGTTTCCAAAGTCATGTTACATTTGCACAAAAAGATGATGGTAGAGAAGCATGCTTTGTAAGGACTTAGCCCTTAAAATAGCATGAAAAGTTTTTGGGAAAAAATCTTATGTACTTGTGAAGTGCAATTAATGCATGCATGTTATACCATGTGTAAGTTGGTCGATCGTTTGTAAGGAAAATAATGTTTTGTTTGATGAAATATCAACATTGCTTGTAGTTCTTGAGGCCCACTATTTCAAACAACTGACCTGGTGTGCTTGCTTGCATTTAAAGCAAGAGTACAAAATCGAAACAAAATGTATTTATAACTATTGATGCAAACACTTTTTCGGTTTAGCTGTTTTCAATTGAATTTTTTTCAATTGTTTTATTTCAGGCTGATATGATACAAACTCTGAAGGGACTTCGTTACCTGTCGTTCAGTATTGTTCTCTTTATTTGGGAGTTCCTACCAACGTTTATCGTGGTCATGTTCTTCAGAGTCCGAAAATTTGCTGCAAATGTGGTAAGTCATGATTGGAAAGTTTATGACTTGGCTAGGCTAACCTTTTACATTGAATATTTGACACCAACATGAAGGTTTCTGTTACCAGTGTCATGCCTTTTGAGGTCCATACAAGATTCTCATCGGCAGTTATTAATTTTTCAAAAGCTCTATTTTTTGTACAACCCGGCATATGTTACATCTTACTTATGTCTCTTCTTACTGGAGAAAATAGCATTGCACTTCTGATCACAAGTATTGAGAGTTTAAAGGGGCACGTCGTTCTAAAATCGCCAAAAAAAAATTGGTTCGAGATTGCTTGCTTATCCTATTTCAAAGGTCTTGTTGAAAGCAAACTAACCAAGTGTCGCACTGTTCCTGAGAAAAGACGGGGAAAATAAACGGTTGTTTACTTCTGATGCGGCGGACATGTTGTGGCACACACATCGGATTTCCAACCCTAAATATAAGTCTGCTTCTGTCGGAGGATTCAATTTACAGGTCACGTCAAGTGTGTGTGCACACATATGGTTTTACAAGCACAAACAAACACCCGAGCAGCTTGATTACTTTTGACCCTTGGTGTTTGTTCTTGCAAGAATAACACAAAAGTGGCCAATTTAGGATGGTTGTGTGGATGTTTACATTCTATTTTTAAAGGGAATGTACAACATTTGCTTTTGCTGCAGTTGTCAGAAATAAATGGATTTGGAGGATTAGCATGTTACAGCAGATATTGTTAAACTGACTTGTTTCACATTTTGAGCTTGTAAATGCTGGAAAAACCAAGAAAACCAATCATGTTCTTGTAGTCTGGTTTCCTGAACCACTTAAGATGAAACAGAGAAAAAATTTATAGACTTTGGGGAATTGTAAGGTCAGAAAATCAGTCTGGCAGGCTTGTACCCCTTCACAGGTGCGTAATCAATTGCAAAGAAAATGAGGAACAACTGTTTGAAAAACGCAACAGTTTTTGAAAAAAGCCAGTTTTCTCCAACGCTGGTCAGCCGACCAGCGTTGGAAAAATACAAATTTTCTTGAAAATGTCAGCACACCAGGAGACACGATTTTACAGGATGCTTTAGACTGTCATTCCCTTACAATCCAGTAATGTATTCCGTGATAATTTGATCATTTCGTTTCTTGATGTTTGCAAATGTTGTAACTTCCCTTTAAGTGTTATTTCCAGGCAATATCATTTCGTTTAAACGCGTTTGTAGCCCAGTTGGGCACTTTCCAGGATGCAGTGTTCCTTTAACAGAGACAAAGGAATGTTTTTGTCGTAGTTCATTTGAGTAAGTTGTCAATTGACTGCAGAAAAGAAGACTTGTATTAGACTTGTGAAGACTTTCAAAGATTAAATTACGAGTACATCTTTGCATCTGTGTTAGCATTGGGTCAACGGTCGTACAGCTTCACACTTTTTTCAGTGTTTTTGATCACTTTAATATTTTGTTGATTGTGTTTCGTTGCTTTTTGTCATCGCCCAACAGCACGTGCCCAAGGACACAGACTGTCCTAAAACTCCCTCGAGGGCCTACTTCTTTGACAACCCGCGACGATACGACAGCGATGATGACCTGACACGGACGCACAGCAGTACAAATGCAACACCTAGAGAGTAAGTCTGAAGCAAACCAAACGAAGCTCTCCGGATGACAAACGTTGATTTTACAGGGGTTCTCCCCAGGAAAACACAAGTAACTCACCAAAGAGATTGACTGTCAAATCGTCACCGACGCCGGGCAGTAACACTCGTGTACATACCAGTAAAATACTAGCATTCAGCATGTTCAGAGAAAACGGCATCTAAAGTTGAACGCCTTCTAGAACAACACTTTGCGTCAAAATGGCATAGTATTTTGCAGTTGGGTTTCTCGTTGTAAAAACTTGGTGTATTGAATTTATTAAATTTGCTGGTTTTCACCCATTTGTATATTAAGTCAATAAGAAATAAGAGAAAAAAGTGAGTGCTACTGCTAGTTTGTGAAACTGAAAAAACTGTGAAACTATAAATTTTTGTTTTCACGAAGTAGTATGCTTCAATGTATTACAATACTAGGTTAGTGTTACTTCGTGGAACGGAGGTCAGCACGCGCGTGCTCAAACAAGGAGAGTGTTACTTCTTGAAAAACTTTTTGCTCCCATTTGAGCAGAGTGCATTACAACGCTATGCATTACAATGGTAAATGGAACTTGAGTGTTACTTTGTGAAAACAAAATTTTTCACTTTTGCGCAAAAGTTGCCATGGATAATTAGCGTAATTATTAAAGTAAAGCTCTTGAAGCTTTGAAACTTCGTGCAGTGGTACCCGGTAGGCCTTCATGAATAATGTTTAAAAATGTAAAAAACCTGAAAACCGAAAAAATTACATGTGGAGTGTTACTTCGTGGTGTCGGTGATGAAATGACGTCATCACAACCTCCCACTTTTTTGCTAACCTCACAATGCGAACTTTCAAATGTTATCCGAAAAGTTTTGTTCCTTTTTTTTTAATTCAAAATGTTACCCCCAACCAAAAAATTTTTGTTTAGTTTAATTTTTACTATGTTGAATATTACAATATTCAGCCAGGAGGGGAATTCCCCTTTGAGTTTGTTGAGAAGGAAGAATAACAAATTTTATTCCAAGCTTTTGGATTCTCAGTTGATTTCATACTTTGCAATTGTATATTTGTTGATTTCATACTTTGCGTTGGTATCAGAAGAATGCCCGAAGAAAAAAAATAGCAGGGTTCTAGAAAACATGCAAATACGTATGCATTTGCAAGCAAGTTTCATTAGTTAGTACCCAAGACTCAAGCATCATTCAATTTCAGGGAAATATAACTAAAAACTAGACATGGCTAATTACCAAGTTCCTGGATATTTCTGCCTGTCTGTAATTACTACAGGGTGAGTAAAAAAACGAAACCCAAATGTCGGGACCTCTGTTTTAGTGAAGTTCTGCATGTAGCACTTTCAAAATCTAGGATATGAAAGCACATTTTATAAGCTTTCTTTTAGTACAAGAATCATTGAAATCACTCATGTACTTATCAAGTTAGGGAGTTTTAAACACAACCGCCGTTTTTAGGTTCTGTCCACCGATCACAAACAGTTCAGTGTTCTTTCAGCAAAACAAAAACAAATCACATAGGGATGTGTGTGAATAAACTCCGTAACTTGAAAAGTACACAAGTGATTTGAATGATTCTTGTATTAAAAGAAAGCTTATGAATTGGGCTTTCATATCCTAGATTTTGAAAGTGCTACATGTATGCAGAATTTCACTAAAACAATGGTCCCGACATTTGAGTTTCATTTTTTAAACTCACCCTGTACAATACGGGTGTTCGTGAAATCACAGCAAATAAACAGAAGGGAAAATGAAACTATAAAAAGAGCCAAGCATAAATGTCTGTGCTGATAACACTAGTGATTTCGAATTATTTATAAAGGCAAGGTTCAAGTAGTTAGCCTTAGTTAGCAGTCTAGCACTGCTGATGCTTCAACAAGGAAAATATTAAAGGGGCCATAACATGAATTTTACACTGGAGCATATTTGTGGAAAATATCCATTCGTCTGAAATGTATAAAAGCTGAGACATCCCATTTTGCAAGTTTTTGGGGAAAGTCTTGCCAAAACTGATTCATGCTTTTCCTGACAATTGAGGGCGCTGCCTGTTGCTGTGGTGTCACTTTAGGAACACACTCTTCGGATTAGAGTTTTTCTCTTCAAATTTTAACTAAAAAAATCTGCTTATTGAAAACATGTGTGCATAAAGTGTTCTCGTTGTATTGCTGTCATTTATGGAAACAACAATGGATCACTAAAAGCAGAAAAATAACCACAGTTATTCCCCCAAAATGTTGGTGACTTTTTATGCTGAAGAAGATGTAAAATTGAAGTGTCTGCCGTGAATGACATCACAGTTTTACTCATGAATATGCAAATTTGCGTTAGCATAAAAAACAAGAAAGGCACCAAAATACACTTAAAATGGCAATATGAAGATTAAAAATATTACCAGGGCCCTTTAAGTTGAATTGTTTACTAAAACGAAACCATGGTGTAAAGATTAAGATATGCTAAAATCTGGCTTTAAACATACTGAAGTGGCTTAGTCTGTGGTACACAAATATTGGATAAGTGATAAAAAAATGACGACATAAATAGGGCCAATAAACTTTGTACGTTTTTGTTTCTCTTTTGTGGAGTATTGTCCGATTGTTTCTATTTTGTAAACTGCTGCAGCGGTTTTTTTTCTCAATGCCGTAACGTTGCTATGTGAATGTGTTAAGGCTTTTGGGCAATATAAAGTTGAGTCAGTATTGCAACTTGTTCATGTGTACATCAAGAATAATTGATGATTTTCACTTTGGATAAGTGGAGCTGGTATATAATGTACACAACTACTTTTGGGGCAGTCCTGTCCAAATCTGCATTTTTTTAAAAACTCATTGTAAAGTGTAAATGGCCTACATACATTGGAGCATAACAACAAAGGCAAAATGTCACTCTCCAGTGCTTTCAGATTTTTTTTACACTAACTTCATAATATAGGTTTTCCCGGCCAATTTCCTAAAATGTTCATTCACTTCTGAAAATCGGTCATTCGTTTTCGTCTGAATTTGAGAATCGCTCTGAACACGCGTTTCATTTTCCCTACCAGAGCATTCGATTCCATTTCAGTTCAATCAATTAAATGATTGAGCAGCACCTGTCGTTGATGTCCATTCAGATTCGTTTATTATACAAGACTTCTTTTTTGCTTTTAGAGAGCGATTTCAAACATTGACCATTCTATTTCACTTTTAGTTTAATGCATTCGGCACCAGATACAATTACCGTAATTTTCGGAATATAAGCCGCGCGGCGTATAAGCCGCAGAACGCAAAAATCTGCAAATTAAGATTTGAAGTCGGCGTATAAGCCGCATCGGCGTATAAGCTGCACCAACCGCAGCGGTTCAATTTTGTAAGGCCTCCAAATTCTATAGTCAAAATGCTCTGAACCAGTTCCATTTGCACTACGAAAGCTATAAAAGGGCCACAATTGTTATGTCAAATCATTTACAGTCGATTACTCTTACAAACAAATATGGAAATGATGATGAGAAATAAAAAACGGGAATTGCTGCCGGCTGGCTCGTCAGTGAGCCTGTGCCGGCGAATGACATTATTTTCCCCCAGCACTTGAGAGAGTCTGCAACCCACCATGTGTTGTCTGACTGGAGCGCTACAAATCCTGCTTTGTGGCAACAGACGCTGAGTTGTTTTGTCTTAAAGGATAAACAAGTCCGTTTTTACAGCAAAACTTATCGAATTGTTGTGATTACTAACGAGTAGTAACGTCAAAACTTCAAGTTTGGATCGTAACTTTCTTCGAAAACAGTCAACACGATGCCGAGATTTTTATGGACGAATCCATTAATTTCGTAGGGGTGGTTTCACCCCTGTTTTGAGTTTCACATCGTTTCTTGAATACATTTCAAGAAAAAAAATTATATTGTGACGTTGAACAACTGATTATCAAATAAAGATATGTTTCAAACTCCATAAAAAGTATTAGTTGTCTTTTTCCTTTTTTTTTAAACTGGGGAAATATTGGTAATTATTGTTCCCAAGAAAGTGCACCCCTTTATTACCACAAATGGTGTGGTCCATTAGGAATCCATGCAGCATGCATGCAGCATAGGCAGCATCACGTACGGCCGGTTGTCGATGGCTAAGGGACAGCTTTCACTAGCCGTACTTTTTACCGCTCGGTACCTTTTTGTGGGACATGCTTTCGGTTTGTTAATGACTTTCTTAATTGATAATTATTTCAGCAACACATCTCTTCTTGTACCAGTACATTAAATACACATGTAAATGTCATTTTTATTCTTCAAGTCTCGGCGTATAAGCCGCCCTGTGTATAAGCCGCAGTAAACATTTTCATGGGCAAATTCAACGTATAAGCCGCGGCTTATATTCCGAAAATTACAGTAGGGGTTTCTTTTTCATTAACCGTCAATCAAATTAGCTGTACCTGAAATCAATTTAGAAAAGGTATGCTTGCGTAAATGAATGCACAGGTAACGTAATTGGCCGTCTGTTTCTCAAATCCGAATGCACGGACAATGAAAACGATTGAACTTTCGTTAAATTGAAATGGGATTCAAGACGTGCATTCAACTTCACACGAAAACGAATGACCGATTTTCAGAAGTGAATGAACATTTCAGGAAATTGGCTGGGAAAACCTATAAGAGAATGCTTCTCAGATTTGTGTTGGTACCCTCTGAGATTTGGCAAACATATGACCAATCTATAATCCCAAAGTGAAAGTCTTAAAATTGCACTGTGCAGACCCACAGTTGGAGAGTAGCCTGTCATGGTACATGTTAGAAACCCCGCCAAAATACTTCTTGTTCAATTAGAAATATGCGTTTTGAATTTAATGTTCACTTGTCCTTTTCAAGCTGTTGAAAGATTTGTATAGTTTGACCCTGTATATAATAAATAATGAACAATGAAAGGTTTGCGTATATGAAACGACTAACTTCTTCCCATGTTTGTTGACATTTGAAGCTATCAAGGAGAACACATGTCCATCCCCAGCACACCTGTCAACAGTACTCCCCACGTGGGCTACGGAACCATCATTCGCAGTAGCAGCTACCCTACCGGCTACGGGGTACCAGGAACAACCCCGCCCATGCTGTTTGCTGGCATCCCAGGCAACGCATCCATAGGCGGCTACCAGCAAGACAACGACCAGCCGGAATGACAAGTACACAGTATTGAATAAATTTAATTGTATATTCCCCTCTGGAAATAGAATGTCTACAGAACAGCAGAGCTTGGTACTTGAATGATAGTACAAAAAGTCTCCATGTCTCCCTGTGAAGGACTTTAATCATTTGTATTGTTAGTCGATATTCTCGCCATTACCTCCACGTAGGGGTGTTAAAAAATGAGAAGCTGGCAGACATTTTTAGGATTATGCGTCCCCCTGGAATAAGAACACTGAATTGTTCTGTCTGCAGACCTATCCGACTATGGCCACAGTTTGTTGGCTATGGCTAGAAATAACATGCGCACCTATGGAAGCCATTGGCTAGTGGCTGCAGCCACTTCTCATAGACCTGTGTGTTATTGCCGGTCATACTCATGAGATATCATTGGTGAGACGCTAACACACTTTCAGGCTTGTCACAGCTATTATTGAGTTTGAAGCATGCAAGCATTTTGGGCAGTTTGTATTTGCGCATAAAATGTGTGCAAGTGACCACATAAGTAAATGTTTAGAATTGTAATCTTGGGTAGTTTTTGCAGTCCTAAACAAAAACTGGTTGTTGATATATCATCGATTAAGCATTTTGGCGTTTTGGTTGTGAAGAAATCAAATTTGATTATGAAGATGCAGGCTGAACCCTGAGGTGCTGTGTATTCCCCCTCAAAACCTTGTAAAACCCAGAGCGTTACCGCCTGTTCAAATTCGCATTCTCCTCTTACTCAAGAACCGAAATTATGACAAACAGATCAGGTTGTGGTTTCAACCTCCAAAATGGGCCCTAGATTAGTCTCCAGTGCGTACATGTACTGATAAAAAATATTAACTTGGACTGAGAGAACTAAGTCAAAGGTCACAAAAAGTGGAGAAAACTTCTTCCAGAGTTATTAAAGTTTCCATTTGTATAATAAGATTATCTATATCCATCCTTTCCTTCCAACTAAATACTCTTGTGACCCCGGCCTGCGGTCACATTAATAAATTCGCTGGAAAATATGTCGCTGTGTGGGGTTTTTTTTTTGGGGGGGGGGGGTGGCAGTATTGTGACCCCACTTGCTTTATACTGTAACATAAGAGTACAGCTTTACCTGCTATATTTCAGTCCTTCCATTTTTTCCCTCACGTGCAATAGTACAATTAACATTATTTTAATTTCAAGACAGATCCATCAGATGGAGTTGGGACAGTGATATGCCAATATTTTGCTTAGTTTAATCAGAAGCCCTGCCTACAATAACCGAGGCGTGAATTTGTTTATCAAAAACTGAGGCAGCTAATGATTTGAGGCTTTTCCATAGAATGAATATTGGAATGATGTTTGTAGATGGCACCTCCAGATTTACATTTATTTTTAGGAAGAATTTTCGGTTTTGAACGAAGTGTTGTAGGAATGATGAAGATTCTTTCTAATTTTGGACAGTTTTCTTCATCCATCCATGATCCTATAGACTAATTCAGCGACGACCATTTCTGCGGTGGCACCAGGCTTGCGCGAGTCGCGCTCAGGTAGTACGCACACACTCCGGCTCCTTTGACCAATAGTGTTACCAAAATGCGTGCACGCCTCTTCTTTAAGAAAGTGTGCGCGGGCGTGGCACCACCGCAAAAATGGCTTATAATGTTGTTCTGCAAATTACACGATGGAAAATGCTATATTCCTCTGAGTGCAGACACAGTATACTGCTCAAACTGTCGACAACGTACTGCCCCCCCAGTTGTTTAAGAAACCAACTTTGAAAGAAGCTAAATATTGTGGTGTCATCTTGAACCTCGTTCTACTGAACACTTCATGTAGTATATCATTATAAAAGACATCACAATGTGGTACATAACATCACGATTCTATTCATGTCATGAACCAACTGAAATTAGAAAACTTTACTCCTAGCCACCCCAACTCCATCAAAATCCATTCCCCATTTTTGTGGATTTTACAGGACTTGGTCCAGAAGTCCTGGCGTGACTAAATATTGATGGAGTATGATGGACTTGGGCCTAATGGCCTGAAGCAGTGCTATAGTCAGGTGGCATATGGTCGGAATCGTGACCGACTGGTCCAAAGCACCAAACTTGGCAGATAGATTCTTATAGACCTAGAGAAGATATTTAGAAGGGGTGACACCTGAAATTCTTTTGGGAAGGGTGCCTAATTTGCATAAATCTTTAATCCCTGCCGTGTAATATATTTTTCCCATATTTGGGTATATTTTTTTTTTTTTTTTTTTTGAAAAGTGTATTTTGGTGATTCTACTTGCATATTCTTACTTCAATAACATTTTCTAAAGCATGTAAGTGACTGAATAATTACGAGGACATAGTAAATCACCAAAATGGCTACTATTTTACCCTAAAGTTACGCGCATTTACCTTTTCCTCAGATATCGTCAACAAGTCTCGCCAAACGTGGGTATTGATGAGCTTCAAATTCACAAAGGTACTTACTGACATAGTTAATCTAACAAAAATAAGTGGGAAATCATGTGAAAATTGATATCATCTTGATGTTTGGACCAAAAGACCAAAAAAGAGGAGAAAATGTGGTGTCCGTAAATTGGGCTACTACGGGAAGGGTAACGTGGGGACTTAAACAAGTTCAAGAAAATCCCCCCTAATAAGAGATTATTGTTGTTTACAATAATTTTGTCTACGCCAAAACGCTTTCTCAACAATAATTTTGGGAATTTCCTTGAACTTGTTCCAGTCTTCCATGTTAGGCAACCCTTCACCTTACTTGTTAGCCCAATTTATGGACACCACGTTTTTTCCCCAGTTGTTGTCTTCTGGGCTAAATATCACAATGTTCTCATTGTTCCCATGATTTTGCATAAGGTTTCAATAGGGTAACTGTACCAGTAAGCTACGTGGTGAATTTGAAGTTCATCAATGCTGATGTTTGGCAAGACTAATTGATGATATTTTGGGACAAGGTAAATGCGCGCAATTTAGGGCATAATAGTAGCCATTTTGGATCGTTACTATGTCCTCATAATTATTCAGTCACTTATATGCTTTGGAAAATGTTATTTAAGTAAAGATATGTAAGTAGAATCCCCAAAATACACTTGTCAAAAAAATAATAAAATAAAAATATACCCAAATATGGGAATAAATATATTACACGGCAGGGAATAACGATTTATGCAAATTAGGCACCCTTCCCAAAAGAATTTCGGGTGTCACCCCTTCTAAATATCTTCTCTAGGTCTATAAGAATCTATCTGCCAAGTTTGGTGCTTTGGACCAGTCGGTCACGATCTTAATGAAAATTAGATCTAAGCCACCTGACTACTAGGGGTGTCCGATTGCATTTTGCCTAGCTTCCTGTACTGCTATTGGGATAAAAGCCATGTGTAGCAAGTCCATGAATGTCAACCAGTGCATCAGTGGTGGATTCCATTATGTCATGTACAGTTTTGTATTGGACGCACAGTGATTGATGGATTTTGATGGACTTGGTCCAGTTCCTAGTAAAAGATGCTAGGGATTTAGGGTTAATTGAAAAAAAAAATAATAACCAAATGAAATCACATTAATCAGTTTATATCACCTGCCTTCCTTATTTTGTATTTAGAAAAAGTATTATAAATACCAGTATCCTTTTGTTTTTTTCTGTCCTACATTTATGTACCTGTATTATTTCACTCAAAAAGATATTTGAAAATTCTTAGCTTTGAAGCTAAGGCTTTTTCGGGAGCTTTCAATTTTTCACTGTCTGATACGACACTATATTTGTACAATGTCGAACTTGTTTACGTGTAACTGCAGTACCTTTATTACTTGTCAGTACTACTCAGACATCCAGTATTTGAAAATCTAAAAAAAAAGAGAGTGATATTTATTGGCTGCCAAAAGGATAATGGGCTATGTGAAATGCATGCTACATTCATGCATCTGGGAGCATTAGAAATTTGCTTAATAGCTATAGGTAGTGGCGACGGAATCGTATTTCATAGGACTGCTTAGGTGGAACTCGACCGGTAGCTTCCTGTTGTTTCAACCTCTCAAGCAACTGTTCTTGCTGTTGGCTAGTCAAAGATGGCTGGTCTAAATCATCTATAGCATTGGGTACCACAAAAACTCAATCATACAGTCACTGAATATTTTACGAAGTGTCGTTTCAGCTTTAAGCCCATGACGTCATTTTGTGCACGATTTTCAAACGATTTTGATTTTGACCACTGTTTTTGGTTTCTCAGTTACAACATAATAATGAGTCAAAAGTCACAGAAAATATTTCTGTTCAAGTCATTGAAAAATTAGGGTTTACAATGTAGCTGAGCATGGTGAAATTTTAAGAAAGTTAGTTCATTGAGAATATGGCTGAACCTCTTTAACAATAGGACCATTAAAGGTACGTTTGATCATTTGCTTTTTCGTTCGAAGCAACAAAAATGCTCACAATCTGTAGTAGGGTGCATTAGTAACTAACTTGCTAAAGCCTAATCTCAGTGGATACAATTCATTTTTACAAAACAGAGAAAATGCATGAAATTCTTTTTTGTTCTCTAACTCCATTTCATTGCTAACACACTGAAGAGTGTGCGTGCAGGTTCCTTATTTTGAAACCTCATTCAGTGTTTATTTTCTTCCAGACAATAAATGACTAACTTGACACCAGTCCTATCTTGATTTTGAGCAAGATTTCAGTCGTTCCTATGTGGCTTTAAAAAAAGATAAAAAACTAAATTATCTGTTCAAAATTGTGATCAGTATTAAGTGTATATGCTACTGTCGCAATGTTGTAACATAACAGATTGTACATAGCTGTATAACAGACACACACATGGTATATTTCTGTACTAAATGTAAGCTGAATACTTTTCAATGTGGAATTAATTGAAATATTAATAACTCAAAGCTTTATTTTAATGAATCTATCTATATGATAAAAAATTATACTGTGGCTGTTATACTTGATTGGCCTCGTTTAATTTATACTTGAAATTTGTGGCCAGGCTGCTTGATGGTATTGTTGTAAATGCATAAAGTCGTTATTACGCATTAATGACTATAAATCCTGAACTCCTGTGAATTGTAAAGACATAACATTAAGAAATGTAAAGTGATTGCTGCAATAAATTAATTGACTTCAATTACAAAGCTAATGTAGCATTGCATTGTTTCTATGGGCATAAGGTCCTACACATTTTACTTGGACCAGAGGTTAAGCTTTTAGTTGCCCCCCCCCCCCCCCCCCCACTGATCACTCACTGTCTGTGAATTAGGCTTTCCAAAATCTCATCAGGCCCAAAGTTTCAAATGGGATAACCTCTACTTCCGCGCCAATGAATGGGCTAAATCTGGCCAATCTGCAGCTGTTTGCTTCTGTACAAACCCCTTGTGTGGCTAACCCGTACAGTTTAAAGGTACGGTTAACCGTAAGACGCACCATTGGAAAGGCCTTCTTTCGTTGATTTCTTCAATATGACAGCATGCCAGAAAGAATCATTTCACAGGGAGTTTAGTCCCCTTTACTATCTTTCAACCAAGTATGTTTTTCAACACTAATTACGTCAGTTACTTTTTGGATAGCTGCAAATAGTGATGGACTGTAGCTTTAAATTGTATTTAAGAAGATCTCTAGTGAAAAGTCATCAGGCTACATCCCAATTAGCTGTGTAGAGCTATGTCTAGGTCCACGCCCATTGAAAATACGTGGGACGCACTGACAAAAGACGTAGCCGTAGCTCTGGAAGCAGTACGTTTGGACACAGCCTAGGTCTCGTTCAAATGACGTCATTTCCTACAGACCATCCACGTGCATCAGCATTTTGAGCGTCAACTTGCATGCATAATGCGCATCGGCTGCGTCGTATTTCAAACACATGTCAACACTGAGCAGTGCCTGCTTGATTGCGTAAAATACGCAGTTGCAGTTCTACAGAGATGGCCGTCATCGAGCGAGCTGTTTGCGAGTTGGCCACGCCCCTTAGACAATCCTATGGAATTGTTGTACGCTAAGTTTTGTCTCAGATGTTGCGCGCTGCGCGTCCATTTGTATATCATGTAATTGGATAATATTTCACTAAGTTGTGTTGACGCGATTCTAACGTGATTCTAAATGCGATAGGTCAATTGTGTGTTGTAAGACCAGCTTTATTGCTTGCCTTGTCTCGTTTTGTTTTGGAGGGAGGGGAAAGTTTTAGCCCAAAGAATTGACAGCATTGTTACACCGAAATTTTTTCCATTTTTATTTAAATATTTGTTTTTCACAACTTTGAATTATTCATGATTTGTGCGATGTGATTGAAAGAGGCAAGCTCCAGACGGATAAGCTTTGCAGGAGATTGAACATCTTGGGGTAAGAATTTCTGTCTAAAAACGTCAACAATTTGTTGATCTCATTGACTGAAATTGGTGGATTTTGTACCGAAAAGAGAAATTCAAACAAAATGAATGAGACTGTCAATAAAAAAAGGTTCGAAAACTGAATGGAAGGTCTGAAAGATGTATTTCTTTCTATAATGTCTTTCCCTCAGATTCAAAAGGTCTGATTTCAGACAAAAGTCTGGAAAAATAATCGCAAGCATGAAAAATAAAACCAATTAAAAATCACACCTGACTTCTGTTTGACAAAAGGATGTTGACAAAACAATTTCTTTTATTAGCTGATATTTAATGTTCCTTTTCTCCAAGTTAATATGGACAAAATGACAACTGTACAGAAGTTATTCACGATGCATTGCGCAAGAGATGCACTTATATTTAATACTAAAGAATAATGTCGCAATCCTACAAGATTGGGTTTTCAATGTTTGAAATCAAATTGAAAAACTTAATATGTTCACTTGTTTTACATTTCATTTGGCAAGTATAATTTAAACAAAATAAAAGGCACTAACATAAATCACAACAGTGACGCGTTTTTAGACAAAATAAAATTTCGGCCCAAAGAAATATTTGTATTTAAAAGCCACTTTACCAAAGGAATAGAAAAGAAAACAATTCCCTGAAGCAGTTTTGTTTTCAATCTAAATCTATGGTCAAAGACCAATATATTAAAAAGAAATTGATATTTACATCAATTAAATATATGTTCATTTATATTCACTTGAATAGTATAGTAAGCTGAATTTGAATATCTATAGTGGAAGCATATTTATTTTTTGATAGTCGTTGATTTCATATCAGTGGGGATCATAGCTGATAAACCACAAATTGTCACGATATTTAAGGTCAGAGCAACATGTTGATGTTGTGATTTCCCATTGTAGAACATCTTGACAATTTTCTTGCAACAAATATGGAAATGAAAACGTTTTATTAAAGAAATTTTTTTCAAAACAAACCGAATTCAAGGTTCTAACACAGATAATGACTTCCCCTGATTGATGGCCCTAGTGACATTCAGTTTATCATACGAAAATTCACAATTTATTTTTTAGAACCTTTTTTTTCCAAACGTAAAATGAGAGCTAGACAACAGCATTGAATAAGCCTTTTCGGAGTTCCAACTGCGCGCATTCGTAACCTGTGACAATGCACATTGTTTGTCTCAAATGCCCTTTGACAGTACCCACAATGCACAAACAGCCTTTTTGTAAAGTCAGTGGCGCGATGGTGTCAAAGGCCATTTGAGACAAAAAAATGCGCGTTGTCACAGGTTATGAATGCGCAGTTGGAACTCCGAAAAGGCTTATTACGGATACTGAATTCAGCATGGATGCGAAATGTAAAGCGTGAGTGGTGCCGAAGATAATTGAGGATGGGGCCAATACAAAATTAATATTCCCTCTGTTTGCCACAGATTCCCACATCTAACATGGATAAGAATCAAATAAATATGAAATTACTTGATCTGGTACACTAACTTGTAGCTCAACTTATGAAAGTTCCAGATTTTTATTTTGATTTGAGTGACAGACCAAAACTCCCGTTGGTATTGGCGTGAAAGCCTGACTCTGCTAAAATTTAAATTTGATCTTCAGACTTTTCAGATAATACTTTTTATTATATCACAGGGACGTAGCGAAAGGGGGGGGGGGGGTCCCCATAACTTCTCTCAGACAGCATTTAGAGCCCCAAGTCCGCAAATGAACCACCATAAGCTTCGCTAGACAAGGGGTGTGGAGTTGTCCCCCCCCCCCCCCACTTAAATTGTTTCAGTTTTGACAGCAAACTTGTTGTCCTGTCTGAAAAATTATGTACCAGTCTGTTGAAGGACGCCACCTATTGTCCAATAGTCTCGAAGATCATTGCCTTTGAACAGCGCCTCCAATAGTCTGATGGTGTCCAGCCCTCCACCCTCCCCCCACTTATCGATTTTGCGTATGACAATAACAAAAATTCCTGGCTACACCCCAGCACAGAGCATCTGTCGGCAATTTGTGGTAATACTGTCCCAATCAAATTGGTCTGGCCTTGCCCCTGTTCATAATGCATAAAAAGTTGGATGAACTAGCTCAGTTGGTTTTGAAACTTCAATGTGTTTGTTCCCTTCAAGTGAGGGATCCCACAGCCTCTACGAGCTGCAATCCCAGAGCATACTGGGGGTGTCTCTCTGGGAGTAGACCGACGGCTTTGCTGACCAGATGGGCAGTGTCTGGAATCGGGGGATGTGGACATCGCAGACTTGACTCTTTAGCCTGTGTTTCAAGAACAAAAATCGATTAAACTCTGATTCGGCTTTGTTTCTTAAAAAGTGATCAGCCAATGTCTAAAATAACTCTATTTATTACAAACAATCTGGATGACAAACAAAGAAAGTAAATGCCGGCCTTGCGTTTTCACTCCTAAGAAAACTTTCAACACAGTCCTCAATAACCTTCTAATGTTTTGCAGACTTTTCGGTAAAGGAAAAAATTCAGATCGTTGTAAAAGTAAAGTGTTCAGTGTTGCCCACTGATTTTGAACCCTAAGCTAAATTTTCCTACCCAATATGCGACTCTGAAACTTAGTATTGTTACACATGCTTAACATAAATGTGATGTGATCAAGCTAAATGAGTCGTTTGTCGACCCCGATCAAAAAAAAAAATATTACAGATTTGAAAAGAACACAATCTCAGCATTACTCATGTGAAGATTGTATGCTGATACCATCTTTAGTTCAAAAAATATGGAAGTCGGAACACCACGAGATGTGATGAAGTGATGTGATGAAGTGGCCCTGTTTTGGCCTTTATCTCCAAATAAAAATTCCTGACAAACGACTCATGTAGCTTGATCGCATCACATATAGAGTCTGCTCTCAACAAATAATTTTGCCAGTCTTGAAATAGCGGCTCGATTCTACCTTACTCAATTTTGTAAAACAGGTGGATTTTGAAGAACCTATGAGGGTTTGCCAGCAATTATGCTGGCAAAATCTATAAAATTGTTGGACTCCTCTGCAACTCTTGTTCTGTTTATGTTGATAGCATTAACATCTCTGAAATCAAACAATTTGTTTTGGCAAATTGACTTGTCATTTTCTCAGACAGGTCACAAATTATAACAGCAGCTCATGCTGTTCTAAGTGATGACAAATACTAAAAGTTCTTACTAAGACTTTGAGCCACGTTATCAGCGAAGCAGGAAGGGAAGACTGGCGGGCGACGCTGGCTGCGTTTGCATCTACAATGAACACCTGAGCTAGGCGCAGACCTATCACGTTGATCAGCTGAACCGCCATCTGGGTGTGGTCTGTTACAGTCACCAAAACCTGATGAATATGAAAAACGGGTTGTTAATATTCATCAGCTGACTTGAAGGTATAGTCCATGTTTTGTAATTTGTGCATTATGTTCGTTTGAAGCAACAAAAGTGCTTAAGATCTATCGAAGGATGCTGAACAACTAACCTGATGAAGTTTCAGCTCAGCTTTAGCTGTATATTTCGAGAAAAACAGCATTCTAGGATCTCAATTTCAAATCAAAAGTTGCTGAATCATGTTTTGAATTGGGCCTGAATTCAGCGTCAGAGACACGTTATCACTGAGCGATTGCAGCTACGCGATGTCGCACACTGATCCGACGAATTATAGCAACCGCGTGCGCGTGTGCGTCGTGCCAATGCTTGCGCGCGCTTCGCCGAATAACAAAACAAATACTAATTTGAATTTCCTACGGTGCTTCTTAAGAAGCACCGTTGGAAAGGCCTTCTTTTGTTGATTTCTTCAAAATGACAGCTTGCCAGAAAGAATAATTTCACAGGGAGTTTAGTCCCCTTACTATCTTTCAACCAAGCATGTTTTCCAACAATAATTACGCCAGCTACTTTTTGGACAGCTGCAAATGATGGACTCTGGCTTTAACACTCTGGGCGTTGCCTGTTGGCACAATGACCAGTTGAATATGCAAAACAAAACGTTCATATTCATATTGAATATGGAAAACACAACATTAATATTCATCATCCAGGTGCCGTCTATTGCCAAATAACAGGCTGAATATGCAAAACAGAACAATCAGGTTCATGAGCTAATCAACCACGTAAAGATGTAACAGTTGCAGACTATGCCAAAGAAAAAACTTTGATGTTTCAAACAGCTAGGATTGACTACATCAAAAGATTGACTGTTTAAGGTGTTTAGAATGATTGAAAAAGACTAAAAAAATTGGTGGGTAGCCGTGTTTTTCTGAAAAAGACTAGTCAATGGAAAATTAATTTTTAAAAAGGTTTCATGTAAAAAAAAGAAAATCTATTTTGGTGGACTAAAGTCGATCGTCATACTATTTGGTTCCACATAACTCTTGAGTGACAATCTGAAACGGGTCTCAAGCTGCGTCAATCACTGGAGTTGATCCAAACCTACAATTCAGGCCCGGATTATCTAATAGACACAGCAGGCAAAGTGCCTACAAAAAATTCGGGGGCCTACACAAATTTGAGAGGCTACGAAAAATACCACAGTATGCCAACAGGCTTTTAGAGCTACCAGTGTGGCCTGGCTTGCTTAGTACAGCTTAGCATTAACATGAAATTGGTACTGGTGCTTAGTGCGGAGTACAGCCTACGGAATACTGGTGCCAAGGGCCTACGGCTACTAACTGTACCTCTTGAGCAATGGCATCATAGCCACTCTTGAACAGCTCACAGACATGATGTCTCTTCAGCCTGTCAACGTCGCCACCGAAGGCTATGGCTAGCTGGACCACGGTTCCCGGCCAGGTGTGGGCTGGGTGACTCCTGCGTATCCTGCGCACGTCCAGCGGGCCGGGGCTGGAGGGCATGACCGGTGGCGAGTGGCAGATGGGCTCGGCTTGCTTGGGGTCCATGGAGTGATTCGGAGGTAGACTCTCCACGGCATCCGTGATGATCCTCATCATGAACTGGAAATGGAGAGTTGGAGACAACTTCAAGAATTACATGGTGGGAGAATGGAGTTTGAGACGCATAGTTTACAGAATGGGGCTGAATAAACAAGATGGTTCTCGAATCATGCGTCTCGCCTGCTTTCGTGATTATCTTTAAAGAGTGACTAATCAGTATGAAGATTGCCAAATTGCATCTATGACCCAAGTTTGGTTCCAACTTTTCAAATGAGATCAATTTTACATGTTCAGCCTATTCTACAACTTGAACTCAGATGACCTTTGACCTTGGTATGTGACCTTTGACTACATTATCATATGAAGGTTGCCATGTTGCATCTATGACCCAAGTTTGGTTCCAATTGGACTTCAACTTTTGAAATGAGACTAATGTTACAAAACTTTAACCAAAATACCACATACATACATACTACACACATACTACATACATACAGACATAGTGATTGCATAGTCTCTTTCCTGAACAAATTTCAGGCGAGACAAAAATAAATGGATTATTAAGAAGTGTTTGACAATAAAATGCTCCAGGCTGACCTGATCCCTGTTCCTCTGCAGACCCTGGTCGACCTCCCCCGTGGGTTGCATGACTGGCGCATCCAGGTCCCTGAAGAAGGCATTCCTCGCTTTGTAGTCAAACAAGACCTTGAGTGGTTTGATGGATTTGGTGTTGAATACCAAAACTGACGAGAAAAATAAGAAACCTTGATTCATCTCAGAGCATTTTAGACAATGAAAATTGTTGAAACATAACAGTAGCCGATTTCATGAAACGTTGCACAATGGCTTAACTTCCTTCATGCAAAAATAAATTCAGCAACATAAATCACATGACAATTTGGCTGGTGACATGTTTCTGCTAAGTATGTATTTTCTGTACTTAGTATATTTATGAGCTCAGCTGAGAGTTTAGCCCCAGATGAAGGTGCTTTAAGTTATGAAGGAAAAATTTCTCGACACTGATGGTGATATCATGCATGCCCTAGGTGTGAACAACGTAGCATGCATGCAGCAACAAAATTCCAAGTTAGTGTGCACAAAACTGCTGAGTACAGTTTGGGGGTAAAACACCAATAACAAATTTTTTTTTTTAAATATATAATATTTTGGTTATATCGAGTCTTGGATACTGTAATTTCATTAGTCTAGAATGGTCATGTGTCCAGTCTATAATCCTGACTGTTATATATCATACACACTGCATTGAATATAAATTTCCACAATATACACTGTTGCGTATATACATTATATAAGTGTAGAGCCTGCACGCCTACCAACAGAGAACTGCAACCTCTCAGTCTCATATCTGGCAGGAAAACTCACAGTAATCAAAAGGTTGTGCTACAGTGATTGAATCTATTTCTTGTACAGTGAGTTACTCACATAACACTTAATATGGGACGTGTTTTTTTTTATCTTCGACGATCCATAGACATATCCTACATCACAGCAGTCAACAAACTTTAGATGGCATTTTCACTGATAAGAGGGTGAAGTTGTACTTATTTTTTATTAATACAGTAAGAGTAAAAAAAACGAAACCCACATGTTGAGACCATTGTTTTAGGGAAGTTCTGCATGTAGCATTTTCAAAATCTAGGATAGGAAAGCCCAATTCATAAGCTTGCTTTTAGTATGAGAATCATTCAAATCACTCATGTACTTTTCAAGTTACGGAATTTTAAACACAACCACCATTCTGTCCACGGATCACAAAAAAGTTCAGTGTTCTTTCAGCAAAACGTAAACAAATCACATAAGGATGTGTGTGAATTGTTTTCGTTTTGCTAAAAGAACGTACACCTTTTTTGTGATCCATAGACAGAACCTTAAAACGGTGGTTGTGTTTAAAATTCTGTAACTGTTTTTACTCACCCTGTACAGGAGGGTAAGCAGCATGACCATACTCACTTGCATGTAATGACGTTGTCAGTTGCTTGTGTAGATCCACCATGTAGTGGTTTGGTAGTGGCTGGCTGATAGCTAGCTCAGCCAACGGTGTTGGACCCTGAACGTCTTGCCAAAGCTCCTCCATCTCAAGAGAAGGTACCAAGGAAGACTCAGTCTCCACCTACGGGGAGAAACCACGTCGAGGATTGGATTATTCCTATTTGGGCAATGATTCTCAAATGGGCTCTTACACAGAGGAAAAATCAAAAGAGATTTTTGATCTGGTTCCAATTCCATCCAAATGGCATTCTAGGTGATATGTCTTTGTAACTCCTGTTCATCGGATCAATTTAAGACGGTGCTGCCATTTCAGGAACCCATCTGCTCCCAGCTCAGACAGGCAATTGATACAAATTGTCTTGCCCGAGGACACAAACACTACATTCCAATAGTTACAAACTGATCCCAAATCCATACATGGCATGACTCATGACAACAACCGTGGCCCAATTCCAGAACTCTGCTTACTGCTAGCACAAACATGAATCCGGCACTTACCACATAAATCATGTCCAGGAGTTCGCAGCACAGTCCGATGAAAGACTCTAATGATACGTCGCTCATGCCAACATCCTGGGACAAAAAAAAACCAGTAAAATATAGATAAGTAATGTTTCTTGTTGAATACAATGTAGTTCAATGGCAACAGTTTCTAATTAGGTTTGCACTACCACTATTAGAAATTTTGACTTGTTTTGAAATTGCATTTGTTTGTCTGTTTTGCTTGATCGATATTTTAACTTCCTTTTTTTTTCATTCTTCTCAATAAAAAAATAGGAATAGCGATGATGTAAAGGGTCACAAAAACCACTAATTACTTATCGGTAAAGAAAGTTCAGGAAAGAGATGAGGAATTTGGGCGATTCACAATGCATTGCGCCACCAAGAGTTTGCAATGGAGAGTTCATTTTTCCCAGTGCATTGTGGGAGATGGTCGACAAATTTGCAGCGCGGGACATTTGTAATTGTAAGTTTTTTCCAGTCACTAGTTTCGTAAGCGTATGATTCGAGTATATGTTTGCCATTTTCTTTTCTTTTGATCAATATGGTGTTTTTTGTAAGGCGGCAGAACGCTATGCCCCAATCTATAACAAATTAGCTCAAGTTGTTTACTGACACTCATTCAAATGGGCCATGTTTTGTCGACCGTAAACTTGAAAAATGGACTCTCCACAGCAAACTCTTGGTGGCGCACTGCATTGTGAATCGTCCAAATTGTTTATGAACATTTTGATACTGGAGGCTGAAAACTCAAAGTTGCAGGAAGCAGTTGACAGTTCCGGTTTGTAAACACATATAATTGATTTCTTCATTGGTTACTTGTGGCCTGCATGCAGAAGTACCCCCTCAACGGTAAGAAAGGGAGAGTTGGGGGAGACCACTGGGTGGGACATTCGAATGCATTGCCAACGGCGCCTGGCGCTCACGAGCAGATGCTATGGTTATGTGCACATTCACAATAAAATTAGGCATACTTTAGGCCATACACGCGCCAACAAGTACCCCATACTGTGTGCCCCTCCCTAGGGCGCTCTTCGAAAGCGGTTGCAACTGTTTGTGTATAGAATCCATACCAGGGCAATATAAAAATCCAGAAGTATATAAAGAAAGAAGTTGGAAGAACAAAGAGACATTAACACCCTACCTTCCGACACAGCCTATCCTTTGGCGCCTTGCCGATTTTGTCGATGAGAAAAGCTGTCGCAGACACCTTCTTGACGGAGAATGTATGCCACATCATGCTGGCTATGCCTAGAATGTGGATGCAAGAAGACACAGAAAAGACTCATATACAGCCTTATCATGCGTATCAAATTACTGTAATATGAAGCATTTTCGGGTTTCATAAGCGAATCGCAAGCCAATCACAAGTTGTTCAGATCTTGCCACAAGCTTTTCAAATGTCTTAGAACAAAAGGATCACTCTATTACATGTGACCGATTATTTTTTTTGACTTGTGGGCTTATCACTTGTAAATGGGCCGGGCATATCCTAGTGGATTTGGATTTTGATTCTCTGCATACTCACCATGTTGCAGCAGAGGATTACGTATCGTCTGCAAATGACCCAGGGCTGATTTGAATAAGTCTGTTACCTGGCAACAAACAAATTTGATGTACACATTACGTCAATGATTCCATGGTGATTAGCAACCCCACCCCTTATTCTTAAAATGTTTTAACTTAGAAATGCCAAATTTGCATTACAGTATTCATGATTTTTCAACACATGTGTTAACGTCACACAAGCACTGATATACATTTCAAAACCGATCATGTAATCGTAAAACTATTTCAATGATAGCATAAGTATCTGAAAACTACCAAATGACACAAACTTTCATCTAAAAAAACTGACAATCTTCAAATATGAATCCTGTTCACGACAAAACATTTTGTGGAGTGCTGTACCCTTGTGGTTAAAGGCATTGGATTCGTGGTCTGTGGGTAATTCTGCTGGTTGTGGGTTCGAGTCCAGACTGCGGCTATGGTGTGTGTGCCCTTGGGCAAGGCACTTTGTCACTCATTGCTTCTCTCCACCCAGGAGTAAATGGGTACCTGTGAGGGCAGAGATGGTTATTGTGATTGAATTAGCTTCCTTGCGCCTAACAGGCTGCATCGAGCTGTATACTCCCCAGGGAGCTGAGATGGTATTTGGAATGTTTAATTGGCCCAATAATCAGGGGTAATAATAATGCAAAGCGCTTTGATCATAGTTAAAAGCGCTATATAAGAACCCGTATTATTATTATTTTATTATTTCCCAACTTCTCAGTTTCCTGCTTAGATCTTTTAAGCCCAGGTTCCTATGCTTCCTTACCTCAGGATTCTTGTTCCAGCGGACTATGTACTCCCATGTGCAATGAGCCTGCATGATATCATGGGCCAAACTACGAGGGAACCGTAGACATAACGCCTGAAGCAATTCTGTGACAAGAAGAAATAAAAGCAACGGTAAATTGATGGATGACGTTGGCATGCATGCTCTATGATTCCTATTATTTTTCTTATAATTAGATCTTCTTGCTTCCTTGCATACTCCTCATTTTTATTTTTAAAGATATTATATTATTACTGTTTATTTCTGGTAATAAAACCAAGGATTCCTCAAAAGCGCCCAAGGCACTGTAGCTCGCAAGCCTGAAGAAACCTGTAAAGAGAAGACAATGTGAAGAAATAACAGTTTTAGAGGTGGGAGGAAAAGCCCAGAAGAATATTCTGGGGGAACCCACGGAATCAGGTAGGGACTGAAAACCCAATCCACATGTGGTCCGGGCAGGAATTGAACCCGGGCTGCAGAGGTGGAAGGCGAGAAAAGAACCACTGCCCCTACCTGACTCCCGTATTTGAAATCTAAAGTGAAGTACAAAATTGTTCATACCTTGAACTTGTTGAGCGTCGTCGCCTAGAGACAGCCCCTCAGACGACACCCCCGCAATTGCATGGTTGCTTCCTGAGCAGTTTGACAAGAAGCTAGGGGGTACACCGTTCTGGGCCACCCATCTTGCTACATATTCTGCAATGATACCTACAGATATATCCACAGACAAAAAGATGAGTAAAACACAACTTCAATGAGATTCATAAGCGACTCAAAGATTGGTACTGAAAAAAATAAGATAAAGCATTATCTTTCATATCTAATATCACAAAATCATTGTACTCTTGTTATGTATACCCATTTTATAATTTCTACTTTAAAGTAGACACATTATGTTTTGAAGCAATTTGACATCAAAGCATGCAATAGACATGTCTGTTAAATTTGATATTACGTGGAAGTTGTAATGGTTTTCACAGAAGCAAGTGATGACCTTCGAACTATGACCTCCACGACTGACCTTTTCCTCCCTCTAGGATCTTGGTGATGGAGACCTGGGTGGGTTGTGCATCACTGAATATCACCCCGCTGTCCTGAGTAGCAGACCAGGCCTTGCTGTGAGCCTTCTCGGAATTGGTGAAAGATCCCTGCGGAATCGAACGTGACATACAGGCTTCACTTAACCACTTAACCCCAACCCTCTTGAATCTTTCTAACTCCAACAATTGTTTTGCAGGATTTTGCAGGATCGAGGAAGCTTCTTTAACATGAGGCTTGATGCCCCTTAAAAGTTCTTTAAAAATGCATTCCCCATGCTTTTCAACAACTTCAATTTTTTTCTTCCCTTAGTAAATTTTCAATTAGTATGTACCATGCTTTCAATGGGGGCGATGTTCCAATCCCACGATCATGAGCACTATATTACAGAATAGTGTACAAATACCCCTATACCTCAGCTGGATCTGTCCAAATGCTGTGCACAGGCGGACAATATTACCAGTATAATTGTCATAATTTTTGGGGGGTGTCAGAGCAGGGGGGGGGGGGGTTAACAATATTTTTAATATATTTCTATGAAAAAAAATGAGTCACAGCTGGGGGGAGGGGGGTGGGGGGAGGGTTTGACCCCCAAAAAACCCTCTAGATCTGCGCATGGATGGCTCCTGTCAAAGGCTTGTCAAAACATAATCTTCTTGATCCTGGCTCTCTGCTGTGTATTATGATGTGTGAGGATATTGGTATAAACCAGCGATGGAATCATGCAACCATCCTGCGTTTGAGTGGAGTTAGTCGAACAACAATTAACCACAGTCTTCGCTCCAAACTTGCTAAAGATGTTATTATTGTACCTTCCTACACCTTAGTGATCTGTTGTTTCTCTATTGTTTGAAATCTTTGTGCGTATGGGTATCAATTTCAAGCCTTACCTTGCTTGGTTTAGCATGCACAAGACAGCTGAGAGACACCACGTCTTCCAAGCGTCGGGCTAGCTGATCCCAAACCTGTCTGTCCAGGGTAACGTCCACCCATTCGGCGCTGGGTGTGTCCACATCCATGGGGCTGTCCCCTGGGTCTTGGCTTGTCATCCCCTGAGGGTCAGCCTTGTTGGTTTCCATGGTTTCCAAGCTCTAGATATTGATAAAAAAATGTTGAGGGATTACGCATGAGGAGGATGCATATTTTGGATCCAAATTTTAAAAGAAATATGATTTAGATAGATAGATAAAAACTTTCTTATCCCACATTGGGAAATTAACATGGTATCGACAGACATGCATACAATTACCTTCACAACATTAAAATATCTACATATTGAAAATATTAAAACCAACAAAACAAGCAATCATATGAAACAATAACCTTAATATGTTTAACATTAACTATAAAAAAAGGACTTTGTGATTTAAGAAATACGGCTAAAAATTGAATTGAACTGGAAGTTTGGCCAGCAAATTTACAAACACAGGTTTAAATCATTCAGATTTATATGTGTATATGAATGCATTAACAGAAAAAAATATAGAAATGACAGTGCTCACCGATAATAAGTGGACGCCAAATTTTCAAATGCTCTGTACGGAAATTTGCCAATATAAATGTACAAATACTTTTTACTGTTAGGAAAACTATGAGATGAACTATCCTATCATGAACACAACCTAAAACTTAAGCTTCAAGTACAACATTTAACAAGTGTATTCACCTCCTTTTCTGATTGGCTGCTTGTATCCATGGCAACCTGCCTGGCAACCACAGCTGCCATCAGCCCGGCTCCAACCCTCTCTGATTGGCTGAGGAGACTCTGTACTTCCTTCCAGCACGTCCTCTCTCTATTCTGGCCGTTGTGTTCAAAGAGCGCCACCAGGAGCCGGTGTAAGTTTACCGTATGGGAGACGGGCCTGAGCAAATCTTGCTCATTCTGGAGCCAGACTTTGAACAGTAAAATCTACAAAGAAAGAGAGACAGGCAAACCTTAAACCCGGGTGCTTTTTTTCTGTTTAAAGGGAACATACATTTACTTATGCTATAATTTTCAGAAATGGATGGATTTGGGGGTTCAGTATTTTATAACAAATATTATTAGACTTGTTTGAAGTTTTGTGTCTGTAGATGCTGGAAAAACAAAGAAAAGCAATCATATTCATATCGTCTGGTTCCCTGACCCCACTTAAGATGAAACAGAGCAATTTATGGACTTAGGGGAATTGTAAGGTCAGGGAACCAGTCTAGCTGGCTTGTACCCATTCATAGGTGTGCAATCGATTGCAAACTAAATGCAGACTCACTAAATATGGTAAATTGAGGGCAGTATTTGGCCAGTTTTTCCAATGCTGGTCAGCCGACCAGCGTTGGAAATCGATACAAAAATACCACTTTTCTTGAAAATGACAGCACACCAGGTGTCACGATTTTACAGGATGCTTAGACTGTCATTCACTAACAGTCCAGTAAGGTATTTCATAATAATTTGGTAATTTTGTTTTTTGATATTTGTTGTATATTCCCTTTAAGAATAGTGAACTACATGAAAAAAAAAGAAACTTTGATAAATTTGTCCACACAATCCAGGTACAGAGGTTTATAAAAAAGACATCATTTCATGCAAACAATTTTGTCTAACATTTCTTCTTGAAATAAGTCACAGACTTTGCCTCGTTAAGGAAATGCTCAAATTAGAAAGCACTCCACACTGAAAGAGGTGGTCCTCAAAGTATTAATTCTACTTGGTTTGCTCGATCAATTCAGTCAATGGCCGTTTCACACTCACAGGAAGTCACAATTTCAGGTGCAATGCCTTCTGACAGTTCCCAATCACCCTTGTCCATTTTTGAGCCAACCAAGTAAAAGTATCTGGCCCAACATCTGATTGTACTCACTGTGAGTTCTTCAGACGGGATCTCCATCTTCTTGATGATTGCACATAAGTCACCGGCAGGGCAGTCCCCTCTGAGGCAAGCACCATACAGAAACAAACCTGCAGAGATGAACACGGCAACACAGTAATGATCCTGGAAGTTTGCATTGGTGAATAGACTCCGTGCATGAACAGTAAATGACGCTTTGTGACCAGTTTTGAGAGCCCCGGTGGGAGGGTCACACTGCGTGCGGGCACAGGTTTGTACATGCATGCACGAGTAATTTGAATGACAACCAATGAAATGTCGTCCATGACAACAACTGGACTTTTTCCTGTCTGTACACATCTGTGCCAATAATGCCATCAATACCTATTGAAAAGTTGTCATGTTCTAGTGAAAAGCAACAAGAACAACCCCCAAAAACCCAAGAATTCACGAGAGATTCTGTTAAGATTTATGGCAAGGAAGTCTCAAGCAGATGTATTGATGAGCTTTTCACATTGCCACAGACATTACAAGTGTTGCAAACAATGTTAAAAGTTGCATGCCCCTTTTTTTATATTAATGACTTTTCATCTTAAATGTTTTATTCCAACCAAAAAACACCTCTTTTTTTCCTTTTTTTGGACATCTGCAACCCTCTGAAAAATCCACTGTCTGAGCAGACTGGCTCTCTGTCCATACATTATCAATACTGATTGTTGGGCGGGAACCAGCCTAACCCACGTGTACGGAATAGCCGTCTGGCAGCCAAAAATTCAAAGTTGTAAAGTAATTATTCAATAACTAAACATTGGTTAATTTCTGTGGTCGATGTCTCATTCAAAAGTGAATAACTTTTGTGTTGCTAAAAAAATAACAATTTAGAAAAGGAATCTATTTTTTGGGTTGAAACTGGAAAATAGCATCTTGAATTCTGTCTAAAAAGTCATACCCAGAAAGGGGTGGGGGAAAGCAAGAAGAATAATTTTTCTATCCTTGGCCTCCATAACTAAGCAAAAAAAACCACATAATTCCCAAACATTTTTCTCAGGTATTCATCATTGTTTCATCATTGTTCCAAAATTTGTTGTAAACCTTCAAAGATGAAACTAAAAGGAGTACAGACCTAGTTTGACTGAGTATTCCTCTGTCAGGCTTGCCTTGAGCTTCAGCCTCATCCTGAGCTCATCTCCCCGCGATGCCCCGTCCTCCTCCTCTCCTTCCTCAATTTCCCCGCCTCCTCCTCCATCTTGCCCCGCCCTCTTGCTCCCTTGGTGCTCCACGAAGGACTGGAAGCAGCCCACGAATGCCGAGGCTTCCATCTGGTAGTCTGAGGCAAAGTGGACCTTGGTGTGGTGGGCCACGTCCAGGTATGTTAGGATCTGACGATGCCATGTGCTGATGTCTTCGGACGGGATGTCTAATGCTGTCGCTAACTCCTAAAAGAGACGACAGTTTTGGGATAGGGTTAATGGCAATGCTATGTTTAAATCGGGTAGTTTGTGGCAACAGCCTTTGCCATTATACAGACATGTACAGTGAATATCTACAGCCATACTGAACTAAAATGGCATTTACCATGTTTACAAACCGAACCAAACTCAATTTACTCAATTTACAAGCGCACAATCATAGCAACTCTCTTGAATGTTCCAATTTGCTGCCTAACCCAAACCGAACAATTGTTCAAAAAAAATTAAGTATCGAATCCTAACAAAACCTGAACCTAATCTTAGGGTTGACTTGCAGCAGTCAAGGGCGGATCTGGAGAGGCTACTGCTGGGGGGGGGGGAGGGAGGCTGAGGCTGTGCCGGTGGGGGGGGGGGGGGGAAGGGCTCTCACAAGTGACGAATGGCCTTATTTGAGAAAAATTCGGTCACTGCCAGGGAGGGGGGGGGGGGGGGTTGGAGGGTAGGGGGGCGGGCACCCCCTTTGTACCCCCTGGATCCGCCACTAGCAGTAAGAGATGTACTATATTCCAAATATTGGATATCTTTTAAGCCATCCTGGTCATCAATTTGAATTTTAAAAAGTTGGCAAACGGCATGCATGACAAAAGGAAAATGTATATAATCTGTGTGAAGTATTCTGAGTCTGAACTTCATAAATTGTACATGCAAAGACTTGTTGATAAAGAAACAAACTTAAGATAAAAGCTGCATTCGCAAAATTACTAGTTCAATCTTAATGGTTATACACCCCCTGTGCTTTTTCATATTTTAATATGACATAAATCATATTTGGGGCAAGCTTTTCTAAAGCAAGCACAAACTGCATACAGGATGCAGTGACAGGACATGATGAGCATTTTGAAATCGTGGCTTTGTCTTTGAATTTGTCTCTGGCTTCAGAATAATGAAACACATTTTCAGTCTGGAATTTGTCCTCATAATATGGAATTGGATGCCCAGAATAATAACACGGACCTATAGATCAATCCGGGCATGCTATCAATTCTACCACGAAGGCCCCCTTCAATGGCGAAAGCACTGCGCTAGCTATTGTTCAGATAATCTGTAACGGCACACTTGCTTTGTACAATAGCATACACAATGGTTTCTCCATTGTAGGGGACCTTGTGCATGTACAGTAATCACGGCACGGATTCGTCCATTACCAGGGGCCTAAAATTTCTTGACGACAAATCCAAAGTTTTTGTAAACCCCATAACATCTTCCCCTCTTACTTTGGTAGATGTTTCGTCGCTCGGGCCAGATTTCTCCTGTATGCTGTGCATGCCTTGCAGCTTGGTGTAGACCTGTAACAGCTCCTCCTGTAGGCTGCAGTAGCGCAGCAGGCACTGCCCCTCATAGTCCAAGCAGTCTGCTCCGTGAGCCCTGAGATGGGTGGAGAGGGATCGGACGATGCGAAGGAGAACCAGAGGGCTCATGCCTCGCGCAAGGAGGACTTTCTCGAGGGCCTGTTCAGGAAGTGAAAACAACACAAAATGGAATTTTCAAAATCAAAGTTGGACACTGGCAGAGTTGTAATTGAATACATCACAAGTTATCACAGGTCAATTGCAGATCTGTCACAAATCAAAACAGTTTCAAGTCAGGTATCAAGCTCTTCAAATGAGATGAAGGTATTGTTATTGTGACCTTTCTAGCCAATCAACTTTGATTGACTTATAGTTTACTGGTACTAGACTCAATTACAATTCTTTGACAGTTCTATTTTTTGTAGTCATACCGAGATATTCAGAGGCTAAATCATACTTCACATCTTGCATTTTTGCTGTATTGTTTTAACTGCAGAGCAGTTTAACTGCAGAACTTTCTCCAGTAAAAGTGAATTTCCAGCTTTCATCAACTTTGCCAAGCTTTTCATTGCCAGAGGTGGTGACCACGTGGATTGAATATGACATACCTGTTGCTTGTAGGATGATATCTTGATGTCCACTAGAACGGCTGTGATTGCCTCATCAAGGGGCTCTAAGAGGCAAGGAGAGAAACATTCCATAAGCTGAGATTAAAGTCCTCAGTGCAATAGACAAATGGGTCATTCCATAAATTTGGGGTCCACTTTTTTGTGTCTCTGTCACATCTGATATCAGATTTTGTAAATTCAGGACACATTCTTTCTTAATGCCTTCTATCTCCAACAGTGATTATGTAAAGCAAAGTACCTGCCACAAAAAAATAGTTTGACGTCAATCTTAATGATTCTTGCAGGGGAAATTACACAGGTCAGGTGCAACAAGGACACACAAAAATCACACTTTAGGACCTCAAATATTTGGAATGACCCAGATACAGATGCATCTTGAATAGATAAATCCATGGAGTCCAGCCCACCATACATAGGCAACAGCACATGCACCTCTTTAATGTCAAGCTAAATGTGCCAGCCATTGGTGTCATACCCTCATGTGCACGCATGTCGGACATTAAATCAAGGCTGTGATTGGTCCATGCATCATGGGGCGGGGCTTACAGGACTGGTCTATTGAAGGACAGCAAAGAGAGAACAAGATTGTTTGAAGTGAAATACTGATGGTTGACTTGGGATTTATATCCCAATCCCCTTCCTTGTTTGAATCACTCCTCTAGATCTGGGTTTTCCTTACTGAAAACTCCAGCTTCCCAGCAAAATGTTTGTGGCACTCTTTTTAATGCCTTCAGAGTAAACAAAATGCTTGGGCCACGTATATAAAACAGGTTCACAATCTGGATTTGAACTGACCACAAATAAAAGCAACTGAAGAAGAATACATTTGCACTGTTTGAGTCAATATCTACATAATCAAGACCTTTAGAGACCTCCTTTTCAATCAATAATTGAAATTTTAGACAAATACATCCCATCAATAAAGCTACAGATTGACAGCATTCAACTACAGGTTTACTAAAACGTGGTTTTTTTTTTAAGACTAGCACTCGTTTCAGTGTGGCATTCCAAATTATTCTGAAGATTTGAATTGAGTCAGGCATGCAACTGGGAAGTAAGCACACACAAAAAAGAGGAAATCTCAAGCAATATACAAGATTTAATACAGTGTTTTTCAAGTGAAAAACAAGGGAATCAGCCTGTTAAATACGGGAAAAGTTTGTTGTTTGAAACAGTTCGGAGCATCTTTGTAGAAAATCAACTGTTGCAGGCATTCAGAATGACTCAACAGTGTAGTAAATGAGAAATGAAGACCAATTTGCCTGACTGAATCCAAAATGTTAACCCAGAGTCATTTCTCATACTATTTGGCTTGACGTGACCCTGGAACACCAGTTTGAAAGAGCTGTGATGGTCTCACTAATAGGCCTTCAAGTTCAACGACGCGGCCATAACCACAAAAATCCGAAGACTCCAAGCGTACCTTTGAGCGTAGCCCTGTGATGCAGCAGACCAGACAGTTTCTTGACCAGGTGTAGGTCATGCGCCCTCTTGCTGTTCCTGTCGCTCAGCGCCAGGTGGAAGGGGACACTGATGGTCCTCACCAAGCCATCTGATTGGACCAGGCAACATTGGAGGGTGTGGGGCCGGGCCCGGGAGTCCTGGAGGGAGAGGCTGTTGAGACCCATGGTGCTGTAGCCTGGACACAGAAGCCTGGGAAATTGAAATTGAAATTTGAGATGTTAAAACGACTCTGAAAAGATAACGACCACAATCATGGTTACATTTTGTTTTTAGATCCACATCATAAACCTTTCCTTGTGGGATATATCGTAAATTGTTAACCCTGCTATGCCCAGTGCAGTTGGCAGAGAATTATCAGACCTTTCAAAACATTTTAAATTTGCCTGACTAAAAGGGTTTTGAAAGGTGAAATAGTGCTGGAACTTTGAAACTTTTCGAAAGGTTTCGGAAGGTGAAGCAACTCTGTGGGCAAATTCAGTAAGTTGCCTTTCAGTGCCTTTCGAAAGGAATTGAAAGGTGTGGTAGTGCAGTAACAATAAATTCTGGAGGATTTTAAAAGGTCCTGCATTTTTTGTCCTCCAATTTGCCAGAACCCAGATTTTGAGGTGTTTTGAATGGTCAAACCACAGGAGAGTTATTAATATGGTAATTTCATTTGTCTTCAACAGCCACGTGTCCAGAACTTAACCGTTCACCTCATATACACTGCGTTGCATATAATTGACTTCATATACACTGCATTGCATATGAATTGCAATATTGGTTTTTGGTTTGTTTACTACCGGTACCACAAGGATAAATAAGTTGTTTTTAGGCTCGCAAAATCACGGAGCATTTCACTGTGTTTTTATATATGTGTGACAATAACTAAAATCAATCAATCAATCAATCAATCAAGTTGCGGTTTACAAATTTTAAAACTAAGTAAAAATACTTCGAAACATTTACAATCATTCATATTATACCTGAAATAATTTAAACCAGCACAAATTACGTGATTACAGTAAATAAGATAAGAATGAACACGAAAATAAGCTAAGTGCCTTATTTACAAATGCAAAATCTCTTAACAAAACTTTAAATATGAACAAATATACAAATGCAAGACAAACACTGACAGTACGAAGTACTGCAAAGGAACCTTGCCGTTATCTGTAAAAGTATTATTTTTCAATTTCACAGGAAATATACAAAGTAAATACTTACTGGCATGATTTAGGAACATTGAATGCCGCTACCCTGGGCCCTTGCTGCGTGTTCCATATCTCCAAGATCCCCCGTCGCGGAGCGTAGATGACCAGAAATAGTGCCACCCTGGCACCAAACTGCCGCGTCCGCTGCCGTTGGGCTTTGGACGCTGCCGGGTCTGATTTGTCGCGTAGGAGATCCTCGGTGACCGATACCCATCCGCACTGCGCATCACGATAACCTACAAAATTAACATGTTCGACTGAAACAATTGGTTCAACAGGTAAAAATGACATAAATTCACTGAGATGCTAAAGCAGGGAATATAAAAATATAACATGGTTTGAGGGTGGATATTCGATATTAGCTCCTCGAGGTATTAGAAGTTGACAAACTATTTCCCGAGGCAAAGCGCACTACCTCCTTGTGATAGTTCCACATAGGTCTCTCTCAAATGACGTCATTTCCTACAGACCAGCCACATGCATCGACATTTTGAGCGTCGACTTGCGTAACGCGCATCGGCTGTGTCGTATTTCGAACACATTTCGAGCAACAAGCGTGCGTATTTGGAACATTTTCAACACTGCACAATGCGTGCCTGATTACGTAACATATGCAGTTGCAGTTCTCCTACAGAGATGACCATTTTTGAGAGAGACCTATTGCTTAGTAAATGGCATATTTAGTAGACTATCAACTATGTATGCCCTGTGCGTGAATCCTTGCGTGCATGCTTGGTAAATAGCAAAACTTGTGGTTGACACGTTATGGTAAATGGGCCAGTAAGAATTCAGCTCTCGCTCATGCATATGTATGAGGTATAATAATAGCTTAAAGGGAATATACAACATTTGCAAACATCGAAAAATAAAACTACCAAGTTTTTGCGAAATACCTTAATAGGATGTTGGTAAATGACAGTCTAAAGCATCCTGTAAAATTATGGCACCTGGTATACTGTCATTTTCAAGAAAAGTGGTAATTTTGTATCAATTTCCAACGCTGATCGGCCGATCAGCGTTGGAAACAACTGGCTTTTTTTCAAATACTGGCCCCAATTGACCATTGCACTTGTTTGCAATCGATTACAAACCTATGAACGGGTACGAGCCAGCTAGACTGGTTCCCTGACCTTACAATTCCCCAATGTATGTAAACTGCTCTGTTTCTTCTTATATGGAGTCAGGGAGCCAGACTACAGGAAAATGATCGTTTTTCTTGGTTTTTATAGCATTTTCGAACCCAAAACCTCCAAAAAGTCAGTGTAACTATATTTGCTTTATATTTCCAACCCCCCAATTCCATCCATTTCTGAAAATTACAGCAAAAGCAAATGATGTATATTCCCTTTAAATCAGCCGAGACCCAGTTACAAGCACATGTACACTGCATGAAATTTTGGTTACATCTTTCTGCTATTCGCTGGAATAAATGTGACGTCACTCAGAGGTCAACTCAGTGCAACCATGGTTAATGGTTCATGGGCACTGCAACGGCCCAGTGAACACCGTGGTTTCGCTATGGCTGTCATAAATCCATTTCATAATTGGCTTGATTCTCCTCTTTGAAGCAGAAATAAGCACAGCTGTGGTTGTAACTGGTTTGGTGATAATCTGCTGAAAGGCAGTGAACCATTTCCAGGTACTAATTTGTGAACATGTTCTATAAAAGAAGGATGGAAATTGCTGTCTGTGATTGTGTGCATTAAACGCAATTTGTCGTTATGGAATGCACGTGAACCATTGTCTAGGAAGTGAGCCTGACGTGGGGAGGAGGTGACGTCACACTTTTTTGGAGTAAGTAATTCTGTACTTATCAAATTTCTGAGCCAGGCAACTCCATATATTAGGAACTGCAACAGCTCTGTTGCCTGAGGACGCAGACTACCGTACATACCTTTCCACATCCTGACAGCAATGCCTCGTGCCAGGTCGATCAGAACGACCCGACCAAAGCTGTCGGTGCTGACAGCAAGGTGTGTGCCCGGAGAGAGAAGTAAGGAATCTCCGCTACGTCTCAGATCAGGCAAACCAAACCTATGAAGCGGAAAAAAAAAACGAGGTCAAAAGAGGTCACATGTGGTCGAAAATAATAGGCCATTATTTTAGATTATAAAGTGTCCTCACTTTGGGTACTTTAAATCAGACGGGAATACATGGTTTTTGATGTCAGTTTACACATTGTCACAGCTCAAAAGTTACATTTAAACAACCTTAATTTTTAGAGTTGAGTACAACTACTAATTTGCTTGGATAAACGTACAGGATCTTCCCAATGATTGCACCCAGACAATTAGAATTCCACTCAAGGTTCAAACAAGTGTTTTGGTTTTTTTTTTTAAATAAGCCTATTTTAAACATGTGGTGGTCACAAAAGTAGGTAGAACTTGAATGTTTGCATGGCTGAAAGTCAAAGATGTTAGATTTGCAGTAGCACCATGTACACGCAGTCAAGCATCCTTTTCGGGACCACATGATGTCACAAAGGGATTTGACTACATGGTGCTACAGCAAACCTGACAATCTACTGCAACAAAAGTTGGTTAGATGGATTTTGATAAGTTCAGCAAAAATTATTGTTAACCTTTTGAAAGGCGTGCAATATTGGCGACATACATTTATGTGTGTAAGTTAAATGAAAATGTGGCTGTAGTTGTGAAAAGCAGCTGAAAACAGAAGGTAGAAAATTGTTCTTAACTTTTTTTTAAGGTTGTGAGGTAAAGGAATGTTGTTAACCTGAACTGCACATAAATGAAGCAATTTGTAAAAGATACAATGCCTTATTTTTTCAACCTTGAACCTAACAAGTTTCTGCTTACAGAAAATATTTTTTGTTACTGCACAACAGTTTGGGGCACTGAATAAGCATCTCTAGCATAACAATTGGATACAGTTGAGCATATTCTGTGCCCCTTCCCCTCCCCCCCCCCAAAAAAAACCCTGCCAGTCCCTCAACAATTTCAAGTGGATTAATTGTACAACTTCCTTATTTTTTTTTCAAATACAGTGATAAATAAAACAAGTACAACAAAGCAGATGTGTTAACTATTTCATATGAAACACTTCGGCATACAGTCATGCAGTCTGTTTTGGTTTCATTTTACAATTTCCAGTCTTCATGATACACTGTATATGAAATGTACTACTGTTTACTTCCGAGCTAGACAAGTGTTATTATATTTGCTGTAAGGATTTTTTCGCAATTGTATTCTACTGAGATTTATGTGCCTAAATTTTGTTTTGTTGTTTTTCTTTTAATAGTTGACTTTTTCAATATTGTTTGATATTTCATTACTTTGGGCAGATAGGGGAAATATTCGGGCCGGGGAATTGTGACTTTGATGATTACAAGCATGGCATTTGGCACACAGTCAGAGTATGTCATGAGAAAGATATGTGGCTATAGGGCCATCACAGATTTGTCCTTTGAAAAAATATAGGTAGAATAACAAGCAAGTTTCAAACATTTTAAAATGGCTGCCATTCGCTCCTTTCACGCTCCGCCATTGGGCATGCAGAGCCTCGATCTGGCAACTTTACTCAATAAAAATAGCCGGTTCAGTGATCTGAACCCCGACACGGGAATCACTGAACCGGCTTTTCTCATTGTGTAAAGTTGCCAGATCGAGGCTGTGCATACCCATGGCGGAAGTGTGAAAAGAGCGAATTGCTTGTTATTCTACCTTTATTTTTTCAAGGACAAATCTGCGATGGCCCTGTAGCCAAATATCTTTCTCATGACATACTCTGACTGCGTGCCATATTCCATGCTTGTAATCATCAAAGACACAATCCCATCACCTATCTGCCGTACTACATATGTGGGCATACAGATGAATACTGCTAGTGCAAAAATGTAAGTTTAGCACTGCCAATCACCACTATTTCCAGACCTACAGTTTATTTATAATACTTTAAGTGATCATATGCCAATACAAACTAGAGAGAAAAATGCAAATTGATATTGCATTAAAATGCGCGTAACAAAAACATATTCAATTTAGTGGCGGCTTGAAAAATGCTGGTAGGCAAAAGACACAATTCCATTATGCACAGCATGATAAAGTAAAGTCACTCAGAGGTCACACAGGTATTACAACCCAGTCTGCTAAGTACATGTACTACGCATAGACAGCCCTGGTACACGCACTGCTGAACTTGTCATCTTTTATACAAATTTACCACCTAAACTTTCCAAAGCAGGAACCCGCATTGAAATGTTGTGTTTGCCAGACTGCTAAGCCTCCAGCCAGCATTGTCATGGGGACATTACAGGGAGTAATAAACCATCTAGGGAGGTATTATTATACAAATTCCAGACATCAATCATTTCGTTTCCCCACTTTATTATTTTTTTTATTCACTGGATAATAAAAGTTCAGTTTGTGGTGGATGTGGAATGCAGGTCAGGTATAATCACTGGCTGAGTGAGCGGGTACCGGGTGGGCTGATCACAATGTGGGCACGGGTATTATGGCATATTTTTGATTGTCACCTCACAAGGCCCTATGACCGGACTTTGTGGCATGCACTTTTATGCCTGGGCCACTTTTACATCGACCACCGGTTAACAGTGGGCTTGAAATTCTGGGCGTGAATTGACACGCGTGGTTACGTGGCGCTATTTGACTACACTACACACATATTGGATTTAATACTGTCAAGGACCAACTCTTGTAGTGAATTCTGCTTGTAAAAGAAATTTGTGGAGCTCTTCAAACACAAAAAAGCTCCTTTTAACCAGCTGGTTGAAATTGCCAATCAGGAGATCTTGTCACACCAGGTAAGGTTATTTTCACTTTTACCTTACCATGAGGTAGCGAGTAAAGGCTCTGTGACCGAAGCTATGGCACAGTGTACATACTGTAATTTCTCTTTCACCATTGCGGTACTTGCAAAGGTTTAAGTTTCATGTTCTTTTTTTTTACACAAAGGTACAGGGCCAATTTCATAGAGCTGCTTAAGCACAAAATTTGCTTAAGCACAAAAAATCTTGCTCAATTTAATCAGGTTACCGGCGAAAACTCCATGCGATGTACATGTACATTGCTTGTGACTGGTATTTAGCTGTTGTTTACTTGGCATAACAATCACATGAAGTTTTGGCCGGTATCCTGATTTTACTAAGCAAGTTTTTTTTTTTGGTGCTAAAGCAAATTGTGTGCTTAAACAGCTCTATGAAATTGGTCCCAGGTCTGCAGTTCGATATATTGTTTTACCACGGAGAAACATATACATTCACAGTTTTTCAGCCTCAATTCCCCGACTTTCAACTTCCCAGCACGACACTATGACATGTGGCACACAGGAGGAAATACATGTACAAATACATGTATTGCACAATTATATTGTTTTACTTTAAAGGCATGTAGGATCATTTGCTTTTCATGCATTTTGTTTGTTTCCAATAATAACACCACTCAAAATCCAAAGAAGAATGTTCAAAACCAAACCTGTTGAATTTTCAGCTCAGTGGATATTGCACTTTTCTAGAAAACAGTGAAAAACCATTCACAGCCTTTGATCAAGAAACTTGATTTTGTCCATAGCACTCAGTATTTATTTAAAAAATCAATCTACTGACTGATCGTTGGAAATCACGTTAATCACTAACATTTCTTGTTATGTTCTAAATGAAAGCAAGTAAGACAGAATAATTTCACAGGGTGTTTAGTACCATTATGATCTTTAATCCAAGAAAGCTTTTTGATAATTATCTAGTAGGTTAGTTTTGGGATAAATGCAAATGATCCCATATGCCTGTAAAGGATAAACTATTAAACCACTGCAGTATTGTGTCTGCATATTGCCAACCATGTTCATTCATAAACAGAAACAAGTCATGATTTTTGTGTTGAAATGTGTAATTTTGTTTTTCAGATTTAGGTTGCTCTTAATAGCCAAAAGGTTTAAAATTGTCATAGGTTTCGGCTAGATGGCAGTTTGTTTCTGAAGATTTCACACATAAACCTTTATCTTTTTGCTATTTTTTACTTACTTGTATGAATTTGGATAACATAATTATTATTAATTCATTATTATTATTATTTATTTGAATAATTGGTGGTAACTGTATCTGTTAGCATTGTACTGTTGTCTACAGCTATGAATATTCATTGTACTCGATTCAAACAAATCCTATCGCTAAGTTTCAACCCTAGAAATAACAATATGAAAGTTGTTCACTTTTGAATGAACATCAGGCAAAAAATGGTTCTAGGTAAACTGGTTCTGGCCCCCTACATGTATCAGAATTGATAATGTAGGGACCCGGAACCAGTCTAGATTTGTGCGCAAAAGCAACCTAAAATTAAAGATTTTTTTCAGGTGATCGTGATTGTGGTCTCCTGAAATAGAAAAAAAAACAGTAGGTTTTTTTTATTGAAATAAAACATACAAGTTGAGAAAAATTGTCAAGGTTTAAGAGCATGGATAGTGCATGTTTAATACGAGTTTTTCAACTCCTTCATTCAATTTCCATACAAGCAAGACACACTCAACAGGAGATTAAGGAAGTTAAAGACAGTAGAAATTTCAATAAATCTGTGCAAGCTGAGTGCAAGTGCAATAAGTAATATCTAGCATTATATAAACGACATACAGATCCTTGTCATTTGATTGGTGGAACTCACATCACCTGACATTCATTATTACTCCCATTCACGCCGGGGCTCAAAAAGTCCCATTCGCCCATGGGGAATGAGAAATACTATTGAACAGTAAGGATCGATGCTTGTTCCATGACGCGGTATATGTGTGCAAATGCATGCTGGTGTGCGCGTTCAGCGTTGCGCGTAGCGCGTATTGTTCCAAAAAGCCAATGCTACAGAGTTGGGTTCGAACATTTTCGCCAAGGGGTGGTAAAATCTGGACTTTTCCGGTTCACTTGGCGAAAAGTCCAGATTTTACCTTGCGATAATATTCCTCCCATTTCACTCTGATAGGAAAATTCTTACACGGGCTGAGGCATTGTCTCCAGTCCACCCATGATTTCACTCCCATATAATCTTGCCAGCATTACTGCACTGGACAGACCAATAACCTTTACTAATGTGCACTGTTATTTCACTTACAAATTCTTCTTAAAATCTGAAATATTGCAATGCTTGAAAAATCTTAATTTTTTTCTCAATTTTTTTCTCTCTCTCTCTCTTTTTTCTCTCTTAGGGACACAGATTTTGTCGAAATGGCTGGAATTTCAGGAAAGACAACTCTTGAGAGGATCAGTTTGGGTCATCTCAAGTGTACCATCTGCTGCAAGCGCTTCACCGAACCCAAGCTCCTGGACTGCTTGCACAGCTTCTGCCGCAAATGCCTGGAGGAGCAGAGGCAGGTCCAGCAGATCAACGGCCTGAGAATCATCTGCTCGCTGTGCAAGCGGGAGACATCTCTGACGGAGACGGGGATCGAGGGCCTCCGGGATAACCTGACCCTGACCTCACTGGTAGAGGAGGCTGGTCTTCAGGAGCAGCTCGTGGCCACTCAGCTGTCCAAGATCAAGTGTGAGGCCTGTGAGGAGGAGCAGGAGGCCATATCTCGATGCATGGACTGTGACGATTACCTCTGCAAGGACTGTCAGTGGGCCCACAAGCGGCTGTCCAAGATGAAGAATCACAAGATTGCCACGCTGGCTGACCTCCGCACAGGGGGTGTCTCCTTCAGGAGCAAGGTCAGGGACACTATACCAAAGTGTGAGAAGCACCCCAACCAAGACATCTGTGACTTCTGCATCACCTGCCAGAAGCTGGTCTGCTCTGCCTGTGCTGCTGGGGACCACAGGGCCCCCGACCATGAGCTCATTGATGCTCATGCTGCCATGGTGACCTGCCAACAAGACCTCGGAGAGCACCTGACCCAGGCAAAAGATCACAAGGATGAGTTTGAAGCTGCCAAGATTTCCACCGATCATGCCCGCAAGCGGCTGGCAGCCATGGTGGCAAATGCCACCAACAAGATTTCCAGGAAGGCAGAGGAGGAGGTTGCCAAGATCAGGCAAAGAGAGCTAGACCTGAAGCAGCAGGTGAAAAAGATCGAACAAGACAGGTCATCTGAGATTGAAGCCTTCCAAGCTGGCTTAATTGTCACCCTCAAGTGGTCCAAGCACACTTTGGACATTGCAGAAGATTTCTTGACCCAGGGAAGTCCATTTGAAGTCCTCGAGCTGAAGCCGAAGATCAAGTTCATTGTGAAGGATGTCAAAAAGAAGCAAGTTCCTCTCCTCCAGCATGGCCTGTCCTTTGTTGACTTCAAAGACAGTGTTGTTGCCCAAGATGGCACCTTTGGAAAACTCCTGCTGGAAGAAAAATGGGAGATGAAGGACGAGTTTGGCAAGCGAGGTATAGGAGATGGACAGTTCATGGAAGCAAGAGGCATCGCAGCCTTCTCCAACAATGACCTTGCTGTAGCAGATCCAGCAAATGGGAGGGTCACTATCTTCAGCTCTGATGGAACATACAAGAGCAGCATCAGTGGCCCCACAGAGAACAACCCCGATGGACAGCTCCAGAAACCCTCTGACATCGCCATCAGCACAGACAACCAACTGATGGTGATAGACACACCCGCTGTGAAGGTCTTCAACAAGCAAAGGAAGTTAACGCTCCAGTTCGTCCCCGGGAAGGTCACGACCTCACCCATCAAGGACAACACAGAGGAGGAACCAGAGAGCGACCTCAGATGCATTGCCGTGGACTACAAGAACCAGATAGCCATCGGAGACAAGGGGAAGAAGATTGTCTCTCTTCATCAGGTGGATGGCTCTCTGATCAAGACCATCCCAGCAGAGCTGATTGGCAAACACCTGGCCATCGGAAGCATGGAGAGGATCATCTACACCAACCTCCAGACACGTCTGCTGATGGCATCCGACTTCAAGGGCCAGGAGATCTTTTCCTTCCATACTCTGACCCCGGAGAACCCGGCCTATGAACCAACGGGGGTCTGCTGCGACAATTCGGGGGATATCTACGTGGCCATCCAGGCCACTGTCAAGGGTCAGAAGGGTGAGATTCACCACTTTAGTCCCAAGGGGGAGCACATTGCTTGTGTAGCAAGAGGCTTGAACTCCCCTTATGGCATCACGTTCACTCCCGAAGGAGACCTGGCAGTGGCTGACGTACACAATGTCAAGATTTACCAGCGTGTGTAAAATGCATTGCTGCATCAAGTACAGCACATGTTAATGTAAGTGTACAGGACAAGTTGTGTTAGTCATGTTAAATTTCTCATAATACATAAATGTAAATGAATGCGTTTACAATGTACATCTTAGTATAAACACTGATTTTAAAAGATAGGTTTGCATATACTGGTAGATATACTTGCTGAGACATATAGACAATACAGTGTGAGTCAAAAAGAAAGTGCCCGGGATTAATGATTTTTCCCCTTAAAAAAACTAAACATTTTAAAAGACAGGTTTTCATATAGATATATACTCGCTGAGACATAGGCAATACAGTGCGAGTCCAAAAGAAAGTGACCTGCAATTATTTTTCCCTCTTAAAAAAGTTTAACTTGATACACCATTGAAGCACGTATTATATGAGCATGTTCTACCACTCATCTGAAAAAAACAGAACTACTGAATCTGATCTTGCTATCAGAAGTTATGCATGTTTTACTACCCAATTTTACAGCTGTCCATGGAATGCTACATGCTGTGAAGCTATCCAGCTGAGTAAGAACCAGAGATTACACACAGGCATTCAGACACAAATGACATTTCATTTGAGTTAAGACTGAAACATTATTATCCCTCCTGCTATTTACAGTCACAGACAGTCACAATTTCCATCCACTTCCACTGCTATAGGCCTACTTTTTGTTTTAACACAGGCTAGTCACCAGCAGTCAGATCATATCTAGCAAGCACTGTGACTAGTCAAAGTCAGTCAACAGACCATGAACAGACAAAGCAGGCAAGTTGTGGTCACAGCTGTTTCATCGCTCACCCAGAGTCAAGAAAATAGCTGTATCAAGTAACATAAACAGTCACAGCCAGTCAATCCTGTTTTATGTAGGCTGGGAATTCTTAACTGTTGAAAACAGTCACTTGATTGATTTTGACTGAAAGGACAACTTGGAACAGAATGTATGTTTGCATAGGAGGGTTATACTGTCAGATTTTGTGGTTTGTATATGAGGAACAAATCAAGTCAGTGTCTTAAATGAGAATGGTATATTTTGTCTGTTTTCCTTTGCAAATTTCATTCATTGTATTTAAAGGATATTCATTAATAGGTAGCCTATCAGTAACTGATCAGCGGTGGGCAGTCAATAGCACGTGGGTCAGTCCATAAATAAGAGGTCCAAAGGTGTCATATTTTTGGGTCCTTGTTACATCCTGACCTGTGTAATTTGCCATGCAATATACCATAAATATTGACTTCAAACTATTTTGTATTTGTTTGGCAGGTACTTTGCTTGACATAATCACTCTTGGAGATAGAAAGAATGTGTCCTGAATTAAAAAAATCATACGTGGGACGCGAAAAATATTAGACCCCAATTTATGGACTGACCCATGTACTTCATTGGCTGTTTCGACATCCAGCCGAAACAGCCTTTGTTATCGTTAAGACTTTTTTTCTTTCTTTTTTTCCTTTTTTTTCTTTTTCTTTTTCAGTCATTTTGCCCATAGCATTTGTACACGTTTTCCTATTTGTTATTTTTATAAAATGGAGCGGGCCAAATATCTATTTAATATTTTTTATCACTCGCTTACCGGTACTTTCTATTTGACTGTTATTTTTATAAAATGGAGCGGGCCAAATATCTATTTAATATTTTTTATCACTCGCTTACCGGTACTTTCTATTTGACTCACACTATAATAGATGACTCTTTGTTTTTAACATTAAAGATCACATATTCAATCAGCATTCATAAATAGCTGAGACAGTTTACCCATTCCTATTGGATGAGAGCCCGTCTCGTATTTAATTTTAAAACGTGAGTAAAACACCGCTGCATTCTGCGTCACATCGAGCAGTACGCGTTGCGAGCACACAATCTCCATATATGAGATTTTTAGCACTACATGCACAAAGCACATACTATAGACATGGCCAGAGGGGTGTTATACAAAACATGAAGTAAAATTGTTGAACAAAATTGTTGGAATTTTGTCAATTTTTGACTAATTGTGACTTTTTGACTGAAAAGGTATTTATAAATGGGATTCGGCTCGAGCCATTATCCGCAACGAGGCCCTTAGCCGGTTTTAAACGTACATTTACTAGTTTAAAACTGGCCAAACACATATTATATTTTTCATATAATCACATTCATCAATAAAAAATATGTTATATTATGATATATCAGACCTTTCTGCTGTGCATATGAATATAAGTTATAAATACAGAAAAGAGGTGTATGAAGTTGGTATTCATTTGTGGAACCTTTAAGAGAATCAACGAACAAGTTACACACGTATGCATAATAATAAAAAGTTGTACAGAGTAATGTTGAGTAACGAATAACTGCGAGTAACCGCCAAGCTTTTGCATGTCTGCTGAAATCAAGTTTATTTGTTTGACCTTGGCTAATAAAAAATTTCATTACGTGTATATTACAGTTACTGCTTTTAGGATGACAAAGTCCACGGAAGTACCATGAAAAGAAAATCGGATTTAATATTTGTTAAATCATTCACTTTGAATTACACTGTATAACTACCGGTAAAGCACTTTTGTGACGGCTTCTAAAAATCTGTTGTAATTTCTGTAGTTTGGATGCTGTGTATCGTAGCTGTGAGAAGTCTTTTATTGAATTGTCAGAACAATCTGTCTATATGTAGACCTGTAAACATGCCGGTATACCACCATGTTTATGGGTCTGGTCCATATTTAATGTCATTACTCATATGACACAGTGCTTTGGGAAGTAGGCCTATGTAATGATATGAGAAAAACATCAAAATCAGAAATAGAATTTTTAAGGATAGGGGTAAAGAAGGATTCAAAAAAATGTTCGGAAATAACATACATGCTGTGACGAATTTAATATTATACTAATATCCTGCTGTTGTTGTTGTTTATTTATCCAATTTTCTGTAGATATTTAGTTGAGTATTAGAAACCCAATGTATCAAATTATGTGTATCATTGTAGTAAATCTTTAATAATAGATTTGAAATCTTTAATACTAGATTAGATAATAAATTAGATGTAGCGTATCAACTGAAATGAGTCAGATAATAGCATGGACGCAATAGTTCGACGCACCACATGATTATCAATGGGTACTGAAAAACACCAAAGGGAGATACGCTGCGATGGTCACAAAATGTTTGCTTGCAAAAGCAACAATGCATAGAAATATTCGAGATGTCAGTTTCTGATACTTTCATAACTGTTTATGGATTGTAACGAGCTTGTAAGTTTTGAATAGAATTCAGAATAAATGTGAATATCTTGCAGGTATTGTTTAAGGATCTCTAGATTAACTTAATGATACAGGTGCCATTGAAATAATCATTTGGGGGGCTAATCATCCTTACTCGCAGCTGAGAAGCTGAATTGCGAAGGACGCGGCTACAACGTGGTCGAGGCGAAGGCATGTAAAGGCGCCTTAGGCTGCCGCCATACGACCCATGTCTGACCACGGAGCTCAGCCAGAGATCGGTAGTGTTTGATTTATGCGGAGGGAGGAAAACTGGAGAGCCCGGAGAAAAACCCTCGTGGCACAGGAGAGAACCAATGCGCAACTCTACTCAGATATGGTCCGAGCTGGGAATCGAACTAGGGCCACAGTGGTGAGAGGCGAGCACCTTACGCACTAGCCACCGATGCCACCCAAAAATTACGAACAATTGTGACTCTCAAGCTTTGTGGTAAATGGGTCATATTTTCAGTTGGTATTTTTGCAACAAACCACACTTGGAATTATTTTCCAAAAACTTCACATCACTTCTTATTGACTTTGTGCACAAACGATTGATGGGAATTTTTTGACCACTTTTGAGAGCCCCAGTGGTGGGAACAAACCAGGTGTACGTGTTCATCTTTTCAAACCGTGGACGAAAAATACCAGAGAACAAAAGAGAACAATATCGTCCACGATTCCCAGCATACGTCCGCGATTGGGGTCGTGTACAAAACCTATGGGAGTCTTCCTAAAAAGTTCAAGTACAAACAAAAGAGGGACAATAGGACGTCCACGATCGACGGTGAACACACGTTTGTGTGTGTGTACTCAAGACCACTGGTTCGTGCGCGAAGAAGTGAAGTGCACACGAATAATTTCTTAACTGAAAGTGCAGTGACGGCGCGTGAGCGCTAGGCATACAACGCCAATGCGTACAAGTGTTTCTCCCAATGTGGTGTCTATGGTCCCTCTCAACTCTCTCTTTGTAACCGTTGAGGGGGTACTTCCGCCATGGGCATGCAGAGCCTCGATCTGGCAAATTTAAACAATAAATATAGCCGGTTCAGTGATTCCCGTGTCGGGGTTCAGATCACTGGACCGGCTATTTTTATTGTGTAAAGTTGCCAGATCGAGGCTCTGCATGCCCAATGGCGGAGTGTGAAAAGAGCGAATTGAATAGCTGATTGAAGAGTATGCGTCTATCATATGTGTGCAGATTTGGAGATGAATTATGCAACACAAGACTGCGTCTTAAACTCCAGAATCTGACCATTCAGCGGGCGCCTTCTATATGGAATCTTTGGTAACCCGTTGTTGTATAAAACAAACATGCAAGCCAATTGGCCAATCAACAGCTTGCGCCAAATTTCTGCTTGAAATACATCACAATTTCTCTGACCTGCTAGGGCACGGGGTCGCATAAAATCTACAATGCACACATATATATCAGACATTGTTGCAAAGCTTGCCGACTCCGTAGAACAGTGGATGACACTCAGACTAGTCAGCATTAAGTTCAATCCAAAAACTAAAACAGAGATGCATTCCACAAAAAAAACAAAAACTTTCAACAAATTGCGCTGCCACGGATCGGAGTTAGCCTAGCACCCACTTCACTTACCTGATTGGCAGGGACGTAGCTGGTTCCACTTTGGGCCTGTGTCTGCTTACACCCGGTTGTTCATCGGTACTCTGCCTACCACTGCCGATGCCAAACCAACCACTGTAACAGTCAATATGAAAAAGATGAGTGATTAACAGAGAAGAAATTAAGACTTTGGCTGTGGCCGAAACGGAGATTGTTGACTTGGCTGCGGCTATTCACCCTAGGGCGTCAATGGGAAAAAATGAAAGCCACAGCCATTAAATACCAGATTCAGACACGGCCCTGGCTGCATTCTTCTCATGTCCTTTAAACATGTGTAATTTTTTTTTTAGTTTGAGTCAAAGTCACAAGTCAAAAAAAATGAGTTGGAGTCAAGGCCGACGATACTAACTGGTACTTTCACACAATGTGCTATGCTACTTGGCACTGGACACCATTGAATTTTTCTTTACAAAATTTACAAGTGGGCTGCCATATAGGTTATTTGTACTTGATAACACTAACATTCAACCAAACTAGAACGGCGAAGCCGCCATGGCTCGCTGTCCAAGGCAGGAAGGGAGGCTGAAGGTAGGGTTGGGGATGGGCATGATGGAAGGGGATCAGGATTCAGGATGATGTGCCAAGGCGTAGGGGGTCAGTATTATTAAATGCCAACATAAAACCTGATGTGAAAACCCTGATGTTAAGAAGGAAACCTAAGTACCTTGCTGCTGACAAAAATGCCGACTTCAGCTTACTAGCCATTGCCATGGCAACATCTGATAGCAATGGCTGACTGCTTCCCTGCGATATTAACAAAAATTTATTATTATTTTAGGTTTCTTTTGTGCCCATAATGCACAAATGGATACGCCTGCATTATCGTTAGGCTGCAAAAAAAAAATCAAATTTGTAAAGTAATTATTCAATAACTAAACGTGAGCAGACATTTTTGTTTGATGTCTCATTCAAAAGTGAATAACTTTTGTATTGCTGGAAATGTAGCAATTTAAAAAAAAATAATAATCTATTTTTCAGGGTGAAACTCGGAAATAGTAGAGAGAGAGCAATTTTAAGGTAAACATCTAGTATGCTTTGGCACAAATAGCGCGTGCTTACTTTCTAACTCAACTTCTCAATTACACTTATCCTCTTTCAAATCAAATTTATCAAAACTGAGCAAAATTTACGACCTTTTGCCTTTTTTTCATGAAGTTTGGGTTGTAATATTTGTCAAATTCTTCACTTTGATTAAATTATCCCCCCCCCCCTCTCTGGCTGGCAAATTAAGCTATGCCAACACAGCAGTCAAAATCAATCAAGTCACTGTTTTTAACAGTTAAGAATTCCCTTGTTAATTTGATATAGCCATGTTTGACTGGAGGTGATTGATATGCCAGCTGTACCTACCAGTTACCTCTTTTGTCTGTTGATGGAATTTGACTAGTCATGGTGTTTGCTCGAATGTGATCTGTTTTTACCACTAGTCTGTATATTAATGCATGGCAGGGGAAGTGGAAGAACTTTTTGACTGTCTGTGACTGATCAAACAATAGGAGTAAATTAAATTCTATGTACAAAATCTAAATCCAAATGTAGAATAATTACAAATGAGCATGGTCTCCTCTCACCTCTAGTGCATAGAAGAAACCCACGTATGGGCCAACTCCTGTGGTTACGTAACGCGAGGCAGCAGGGGGCGTGGCCTTGATGCTGGCTGTGTAACCATTGACGACTGAGTCTGCGTTCAGCTGGTCAAAGGCACAAGGTGTCACCATTCCTAAAAAAAAAAACAGGATTGTATTTATAAAGTACACATGTCTATTGTTCAAGGTGCTACACTAGTCTGAAAGTTTCACACAAAATTATTAGGGATACTGTATTCGGCTTGGGTCATTATCAGCATCCAGACTCCAACCGGTCTTAAACATAGTGTTTTATATCGGCCAAGCACACATTTATTCCCATTCATAAATACCTTTTCGGTAAAAAAAAATTCAAAACTTTTGGGTCCAAAAGTCGAAACAAGTCAAAATTACACATTTCTAACGATTTCTAACAATTGAATTACACGTTTTGAGAAACACCCCACTAGCTATGTTATGGTATGGCCCTCTCACGAGTAGTCATAAACAACTCCTTATATGGAGATTGGCGCGCGCGTTGTGCGTATGACACTGGAAAAGTGTTTAAGACCAGCCAGCCGGTCTTTATCATCCGTTTAATATCGGCCATGTGACTGGCTCTCGACCAATTGGAATGGGTAAATTGTCTAGGTATTTATGAATGAGAAATAATTGCTCTTCTAAATAATCAACTTGCCTTTTTGTAATATGGATTTTGCGCCGGGGAAGATGTAAATTAAATATTGGGTTTATAACTCAATATAACTGTATATTCCGTGTTTTCCAAGGGCTTGCGAGAAAAAAGTTCACACGATTCTATCTTATAAAACGTTTGGTTGCACTGCCCGCTGCTACATCAGACTCGAACCGGCCAGCTAACCCCGGCAAGGTCGATGGTTGAAACAACTCTGAGTGTACAGTGTTTATAAACAAAAAATGTATGTCATCGAAATTTGCCAATACTTGGTGGCAGCAAGAAATTTATGACATCTTTGTTCTGAGAAAATTGGAGGAAATGTGACAACAGGACATGATAAAAAACGTCACTTGAACAGAAATTTGTTATTTGAGATTTGTAGATCGTACCACAGCTGACGTGATCAGTGGTAGCATCTTGCCGGACGAGTCCCCACTTCTTGTAAGCTAGAGGAGGGGGCTGGATCTGGTCAGTCCCACTGGCTGCAGCTGCAAAATAAACAAAGAAACAAAGTCCGTCACATACACAAATGTGCATGCCGCATAAGACAGCAAGTGAGATAGGAAACCATTCTTTAATTTTAAGGTAACCACTCCAAATCACAAGTGACAGTGAAGAGGTGAGTACCAGTCAGCCTGTCAGGTCCAAGAAGGGTACTTGGCTGTCCCCCTCCACCCCTCTTCCCCTCCCCCCCCCCTCCCACCCCAGAAGAGCAAAAACCAATACAACCAATATGGGCCATCTGTGTGGTTTGGTTGTGCCGTGTATGGGATATCCTAGTCAGAAGTTTTGAACAGTGTTCAACAGATGCAGAAAGAAAGGCTGAATGGATTCTTGTGTAACAGTCAAGTAACTGAATGGTTAATGATACCAATGACTTGTTTTCACTGTGCACAGAAAGGCCAGCATAAGGACTCCGTGCACAAACAGTAGATGGTACTTTGAGACCACATTCAAAAACCTCAGTGGAAGGGACACACTGCGTGAGTGGCTACTGCGCTTACGAATGGCGTGATGTATTCACGACTGAATGTCCGATGAGTAGCCTTACTGGGATCTGAATCTGGGCCATCTATTCTATGGACTCTGTTCACGAACATTAGATTGCGCTTTGTGGTCACTTACGACAGCCCCAGTGGGAGGGACAAGCTGCGTGCGCGTATTGGTTCAGGCGCGTATGGTGCGAAGAACGCACAATCATTCTGAAACTGCACAAACCTGTACGTCTTCGCATCAGCATCAGGCGCAATGGATAATGCACTCGAATGTCCCTCCTAGTGGTCTACCCCAACTCTCCATTTGTAACCGTTGAGGGGGGTACTTGCGCACGGAGACCATAAGACACAGCACCACCGAGCAAGTCTGACTAATGCAACCATGATCAAACAAAACAAAGCCAACCCTGATTTACCTCTCGCAAGTTGATTTCGGCACGCCCTGAGCGACTGGAACAAGCTGAACCCATCAATGGTAACCAAAGAATTGGGATACAGGATTGTTAGCTCTTCCTGCTGCTCGGCTATGCCGGGGTACCGGGGAATCTCGTACGTGCGACACTTCAGTTTCAGTATGGGATCCTCGTGGAGAAGCTGCGACAGGAGCAGGGCACCAGTCTAGAAACAAACACAAATTCAATACAAAATTCAAGCCTTAAGCTCAACCTTTCAAGATCCTTCCAATTTTGCTGGAAGGTTTTAAAGGCATATAGGATCATTTGCAATTTATCCCAAAAAGAAACTACTGAATTATTATCAAAAAGCTTACTTGGATTACAGATCATATTGTACTAAATACCCCACGAAAATTACTCCTTCTGGTTTGCTGTCATTTACAAGAAATCAAGAAATGTACGTGACATATAACAGTTGGGCAATTGCCTGATTTTTGGAATAAAGAGTGCTATTGACAAAATCATATTTCGTGATCAAAAAGTTGTGAAATGTACTATCCACTTAGCTGAAAATTCAACAGATTCGGTTTGAACCTTTTTCTGTGTATTTTGAGTGGTGTTACTATAATATAGGAAACGAACAAAATGCATGAAAAGCAAATGATCCTATATGCCTTTAAAGGATTATGTACGATTGAGGAAGGTAAACGCCAGCCTAGTTACTTCACACACCACTGGAGGACTTAGAGATGATTCTCTCTTTCTTAGGACACATTTGAAGATTTCTCAGCGATTTTGTGTACTGGATAACAAAAAGTAAAAGAACACTGGATATTTGGGGAAGATGTGAGGTTTGAGTTGAATGGCTAAGCCTAACTGTTAAAGGTAGCATCCATCATTCGTAATTTGTGCATTATGTTCGTTTGAAGCAATAAAAGTGCTTAAAATCTAAAGAAGGGTGCTGAACAACTAACCTGATGAATTAGCTCTATGACTGCTGTATATTTTGAGTATTCTAGGATCTCAATTTCAAATCAAAAGTTGCTGAGTCCTGTATTGAATTGACCTGAATTCAGCGTCCGAGACACGTTCTGACTGAGCCGTTTGCAGCTACGCGATGTCGCACACTGAACTGACGAATTATAGTAACTGTACGGGCGTGTGCGTCATGTCAATGCTTGTGCGCGCTTCGCCGAAAAAAAAAAGAACAACTAACGGAAATTTCCAACGATGCGTCTTTAAACGCATCGTTGGTAATGGCCTTCTATCACTGATTTCTTCAAAATGACAGCTTGCCAGAAAGAATTTCACAGGGAGTTTAGTCCCATTACTATCTTTAAACCAAGTATGCTTTTCAAAAATAATTACGTCAGTTACTTTTTGGATAGCTGAAAATGATGGACTGTACCTTTAAGGGAAAATCATAGAAACTTTCATCAATCCTTCAGTCCTGTGAAGGAATGTTCTTTGCGCTTGGAAGTTTCAATGGCCATCAGGCCCTTACTAAGTAACAGTAGCCAGGCCCTAACTCAATAAAATGCAATGAAAACTCGTACGAAAGCAATTTCTGAACTCAAACAAAATGGTCTACTATCACAGCAACACATTACCACTGCGCAATTTACTAAAAACCTGAACACAACTATTTGCTGCACAAGGCAATACCAGCCCATGAGTTTGCCCCTTTTTCCTGAATTGTAGGGAAGTCGTTTGGCAGGCACTCACCTCTGTGTACATACGCACGTAGCCTGTCGTAAAGCCCACCACCACGCACGTCCAGTCTGGCGCCCCCTGTGAACTACGCTTTTGAGACGCCAAGGGGATGCAGAGAACACTGGTAACACACTCTCTGCAGGAAGCAGTCAAGAAATAGTCGGCACATTTAAAAACCCTCAATATAAAACATGGATATTCATTAGGAAAATAAAGATTCTCCCCAATTAGCCCCTCCCCCCACCTTCCATACTTATTACGAGTAAAAGTAAAAGTAAAGTCTGTCGCAAGCCAATATCGCTCATCAGGCCGGTGTTTATCTCAGGTTTCAAAGGCATGAAACGACCCGGGATATTTCTATCCCTTGAATGGGATGCCAGTCCATCACAGGTTACGCCCCAGCTACCGGTAATGCCGGTACCATTTATATTCCTGGGCAAAGAGAGGCAAGTGGAGGTGAAGTGGCTTGCCCAAGGACACACGTATGGCCAGCAGCTGGATTCAAACCCCTGACCATCTGATCATGAGTCACAATTAGTGTGCTTCCCCCCCCCAAAAAAAAAATCAAATTGTATTTACATATTTGGTTGCATTACCTAAGTTATGAGCTTTCTAATGAGAAATTAAAAGAGGAAAAAGGCCTCCAAACTTATTTTGGATTAGGAGTGTTCCCGGTGCTAATTCCAAAAGTGCTAATAAATATCAGTCTTTAGAAGACAAAATCAAATGCAAAGTGAAACAAGCACTTTTTTCAATTCAAACATGGAGCTTTCTTCCAGGGTCTAATAACAAGATGAAACCCATTCAATTGAATTGCTCTGCACAGGTATACCAGCTATAAAGAAGTTCCATTTTTCTGATCAAATTTGGTGAGCTTCTGAATTTGTCATGGACTGTCCGTGAATTCCTTACCCATCGTCTTGGTTGAGAGCGCCCTTGTATATGACGTGGTAGCGATAGTCAATCCCATCCTCATCACGAGGATCCCACTTCTCTGCTTGGCCAAACAAAACCAAAAAAACCCTCAATTTTTTGCAACAATAACTCAACATATGCGTTATTATTGGGCTCTTCATTAGCATTTTGACCGTACTGTTTTCAACCCAGCTAGTCACTTTCTCTCTACTGGGCGTACAGCAGTGTTGTAGTCGAGACCGGATAGTCCGAGACCGAGACCAAGACGGAGACCTAAAGTATTGAGACCGAGACCAGCCCCTCCCTGGCGGACCGAGACCGAGACCGATATGGTCCAAGACCGAGACCGAGACCTTAGAAAATAGACAACAATAATCTAAATACAAAACAAAACACATAATTACAGTTGTAAGTTGTAAACTTTTTTGTTCACGAAGATTACGGACAAAATTTTGGCCAGTGGCAAAGTTCACAAATTGATGACATCTCGCTTGAGCAAGAAGTAATACACAGGCCGTCTGAACCAATCACGATATTATAAAGATTCACTAACAAAGTTGACAACATGATCTATGGGTAGCAAATGTTTTAACCATCAACGGTACTGAACGAAGTGAACACAAAGTAATCGATCGAGCTGTAAATGCTACATATTGCCGAGACCGAGACCGGTCTCGAGACCTACAACACTGTTTAATACCTGTACCGGTAGGCTATAGTCACATAGCAGCACTTATTAGTAAGCGACAATATTTATTATTGACATCTTTGTTCACAGTTTGACGGGCCAAGCAACGCAAGGAGTTGGGCGATGGCAACCCTCCCGGCAGCTGTTTACGGAAGGTTTATTCGTTTGCAGATTGTCAACAATGACGTAAACAATCCTAAAAATGACAACTGCATGAAATTCGAACTGTACGGCTATCGCAACTGAAGAGCGCCCTCATGCGGCTCTTATGTGCATAGAGATACCCAAATTTGGCAGACGGCAACCACACGCACATAATAGCAAAGACCGAGTCACACAAAAAATATATTATTTTTTAGTAAAACGTAGGATATTTTCCCACAATGGCTACATTCAATAGTTTCATTTGCAAAAACAACTAGGATGTGCAACAGTGATCAAGTTTCTTGAGAATATTGTGAGAATTTTGCAAATAAAGGTGCAAGTCGAAGGTACTTCATCAGGATTGTAGTAAAAAATAGACGAGGCACTTATATTTGCCAGTTTTCGTATCGAGTTCTTTTACCCGTTAATAATTACTTAACATTTACTGTATAAATTATTTACTGTTTTGTGTTTTTATAGCGTCCGTGGCACCAATTACCAAGTGCCTTACCGTCACGTATCAATACTTTAGTAACTTACATGTATGTTTCCTAGCATGCATACATCAGCGACTTAAGTACCTAGATGCAGTAATTACCAAAAGGCAACCGCTTTGAAAGTCAGTTCAATTTACAGACATAGCCAGAGACATTGTCTCCACTGCACGATAATGGCCATAAAGTATCATCGCAATGTCATACTTTGGCAAAGCAACGATTGTTTGCAGAACAATATCACGTACGTTGTTTTTTTCTAGACGCTCACGCGTGTTCATAATTATACAGACATGTAGGATGACACTCAGTCGTAGATTCCACGGCGCCAGTTAGTCTGAGGATCAGACATTCACGTTGGCAAAAGCCATGGTTGAGCGTCTGATATATCATACCATGTAGAGTTTATGTGACGCTGCACACCAGCCAATCGGATGGTCTTTAGCGACTGTGACGTCAATTCGATCAGAAATGTGGACTAAGCTGTGGATTGGTCCATTTGGATGTTTTTGTAATACAACAACGAGTGACGGAAGACCTAATAGAAGGCGCCCGCTGAATGGTCAGAATCTCCAGGTCAAGACGTCGTCTTGGTTCGAATAATTAACCGCCCAATCTGCACACATATCATAGACCCTTGCTGTGCACGGGGATATTCGCTAGTCGCCACTTTGGCAGTTTGCCAATATCATGCATCACATTATTTACTCCATTTGCAAAAAACGCCACGAACCAAAAAGTATACAATTACCTATAGAAACCAACACATTTCAATTATTCTATCGTAATTTCCAATGACGTTGCCAAATTCGATTGTCTTTTTTCATTTACTCGTGCGAGTAACCTTGGTGGAAATCGTTTCCTACACCACATTTGAGAAATTTGGAGTTATTTCCGTTTTGTTTCTTTTGTAAGTATTTGCTTGTAGTCATACTACGTTTTATTACTCGTATGTGTAAAACTAGACGTTGTAAATTCAAATTATACGGTAATTGTGTGATGAAATTGTTCAATGAAATAACATTATTTGGGTTCTAACCGAGGGAACATCTTACTTTTTAATAACCCCAGTGCCTTCATCAGGCAAGTAATTCCTTGTTTGTTTGTTTGTTTTTACTAACGCGGACTAGACAACCACCTTTGATAGACAGGATTATTGCAAAATGAACGGGCAAAGTAAGGTAGTCGACTACCAATATAAAAACGGTACAGACTCGTTCGAAAAATGTATAGGCAAATGAGATGTCTCAGTTGAATGTACCATCAGAGTGAGGCAAGGTCTCGTCCGACACATTGGCCAAGGACATGTTCTGACAAACAATACGTCGTTACATACACTAAATGCTTCATTATCGCAGGTGAAAACAGTCAGAGAACAGGGAGCACAACTTGTCCAATCAGACTTCGGGTAGAACCGTCGGGCGGGTGGCAAATCAATACATTATTCAGTAAGACTTCTTTGGCTCAGCAAATACCTGTGACGTCAAGATACGTCATGCGAAATACATGTACATCACTGTATTGTTATAAGTGCCAAGTTAGCGACGACAACTAATCGCTGCAATAATACTGTGCTATTGTTGGGTTTGCATTCTGAACATAGAGCTATATTAAATTTGCTCTATGATTCTGAACTGCAACAGGTTTCATTTAATCGTGCGCCTGATGTCGAACGTCACACCATAACCTTGCAGTTATCTTTTCATTACAAGTTATCGACCGTAAGCGGCAGTACTAGATGTTTTTCTGCTTTTTACAATGTCAAGTCAACGTTTGATCGCCTTTCTCTTCTGGTTGCTGGTTAAGTTATCAGCAGCCATGGCTGGTATGTGCTGCCCTCGTGCATTGGCTGCCATTGCGTACAGGGCGGCGGCTGACCACGCCCTTTTTGGCCACACCCTTCAGGAGGTGCAAGGCACAAGTGCCGCCATGTGCCTGGCTCTGTGTCTGAGTTACCGCGGCCAGTGCGGCTCCATCAACTACGATCACATCAACCGCGTGTGTCAGATAAACGACGCCAGTAAGGAGGAATTCATGGGCGACTTTCATGGCAGTCATAACTTCTCCTACTTCGCGATCGGGCAAGACGATCGGTGCCATCAGGTAAACATCCGAAACTTTCACTCTTAAGATGTTAATTTTTTAAAAACCTGGCGCACAAGCTTTATTGTCTTCGATTCTTACAAATCCCATCACTAACAAGCAAGGCGGGATTATCTTTAGCTTTGCGGCCACCAATTTAACAACCACATTTTAAGATAACCACTTCTTCCATCTTTGTTCGCCCTAGGATATTTTTAGTTCACTCTGACAGATTTCTCTCCATGGGTTGTCTAACCTATTTTACGTTTGGGTCTGTCCACACTAACAGTTACAAAAGTGTAACATTTAGAGGGAACCACGGACAGGAGTCGATACATGAAGTAATATGTTAAGTTTTCCGTCATTCTTCATTCAATATCTAGGTAAGAACATTGCCCACCAACAAGTTTGATCAATTTCTCAGGTTTCCAGAAATTACAGAGGATTATCTTCAAGATTCAACATTCATAACATGGACAGACATTTCATTTTTAAGTGGTAGGAAGCAGTAAATAAAATACATGAATTATCCCAAATTTGTTCCTAAATGTAAAGCTACCCATTAAGAGATTGCCACTGGCCAATCTCAAGTTAAACCTGTAGGTACTTTTAACTACAGGGTGGGCACATCTGCAAGACTTCATGTTCATAACAGGGACAGAAATTGTGTCACAGATTTCTTTCCATGTTATGAACATGTATCAAGTCGCATCATAATTTCATTATACTTAACAGATTGCTTTAATGACGAAAAATAGAAGTTTTGGTCAAGTTTCTTGCTGAAAAGCTGCAACGCAATGACGGCCGCCAAGCCTCGTGGTCTTGGCTAAATACCCAGGCCATTGGACAGAGCTTTCATCTGATTGGTCAGGGTAGGATATCATGAATCCAATTGGTCAATCTAAACCTCACAATCTGCATATCAGCAAAACAAGACCATATTTGGTAAGGAATTTGTTTCCTTCAGTTTCTTGCGCAATTGGTCAACGCAACTTCTTCAGATTTCGCAACCAACTCGAGACAAAGGCTGAACGTTGTTTGTTGCGCAACTCCAAAACGACATAAAAACTTAAAGTGCACCAAGTATAAAGCATTTTATCTTTCAGAGATAAAATCAATTAATGTTGAATGATACTAATTTTTCATTGAATATGTAATATAAATGGAACATGGCCAGGATATATTATAACAAGAACCTATACAATGTAGTATGAATCAAGAGTGTCCGTCCATGTTATGAACATTATCCTTCATTTCATCTTAAAGATGGCCGAGCAATTTCCTACATATCCAGTGAATCAGCCTAATTATTTATCAGTGCAAGCATGGATAATACAGGAATGTTTAAAAAACAAAAATTAGCAAAAAACCTGCTTTGAAATCCACCTCCCATGTCTCACTCATAAAGTTATAAGTTGTAACCGTTAGTGTGGACAGACCCGTTTTCATTTTAAATAACTGGGATTAAATAATTACCATGTGGAGGTCATTATATAAATATTTATGGATTATTTGTTGAGTCATTACAGTCATATTATAAGGACTTGTCAAAATAGGAAAACTATAGATACATCGTTTTGCACTTTAAACAGAATGCAAATAATTGAATGAATTCATGATTACCACAGAGTTTGACCCAGGAGAAGAAAGGATTTAGTGTCTATTTGTCACCCACATAAAATTCTGTCCCTTAAAGCCAGAGTCCATCATTTGCAGCCATCCAAAAAGTAACTGGCGTAATTATTGTTGAAAAACATACTTGGTTGAAAGACAGTAAGGGGACTAAACTCCCTGTTACATTATTCTTTCTGGCAAGCTGTCATTTTGAAGTAATCAATGAAAGAAGGCCTTTCCAACAGTGCGTCTTAAGAAGCACCGTTGGAATTTTTTTTTTTCATTCGGCGAAGCTTGCGCAAGCGTTGACACGACGCACACGCGCACGTGGTTGCTATAATTCGTCAGATCGGTGCGTGACATCACGTAGCTGCAATCGGCTAATGAGAACATGTCTCGGACGCTGAATTCAGGCCCAATTCAAAACATGATCTATGCAACTTTTGATTTGAAGTCGAGATCCTAGAATGTTGTTTTTCTTGTAATATACAGCTGAAGCTGAGCTGAAACTTCATCAGGTTAGTTCTTCAGCACCTGTCTTTAGATCTTGAGCACTTTTGTTGCTTCAAACGAACAAAATGCACAAATTACAAATGATGGACTATACCTTTGAAAAATGCTTTTGCAAAAAGAGAATGAGTGTACTCTTATAATGGGTGCCATTTCAAGGTTTATTAGAGTATATTTTTTTTTACCTTGGAACAGAATTTGTGAACAAATCAGTTGTTAATCAACTTCAACTTCGAAGTGAAATAGAAGAGATACCTTGTTATGTTGTCACTGTGTAATACAACCCAATGTGTTTCAATCCCACTAAATTAACCCTTGGATTCAATGCAACCTTGAACAGTGCCTTAGCCCCATTAACGAAATTGTTATTACAATTTAGGCTGCCATTCACTGTATGGTAATGAGCTCAACTGTCGCTTTATGACTGCATTAGCAGCTGCATTGAAAGAGTCATCACGACATGGTTAGGGGAATAATTTGGTATTATTAAGTGAAAATGCACCAGGCAAAACAACCGCCAATGAATTCCTTCAGCAAAAACCATTGAGTTTTCTCTCGATGATACTCGATTCAGCACCGACTGACTTTAATTATAATTTTTAGGAAGCTATAGGTTGCTTTCTCCACAAAATAAAACAGTACCAAAAAAAGGAGATATTTTCAGGTAATATTTTTCCGGCCGTTAAATTGGGAATTTTGTGGCCGACTATCATTTGACCAACATCAAAATTTACTCTCTCCCGGTGAACGTTTCAGAACTCTACGTCCACGCCTGAAACGATCGAAATTCGAAACAAGTTGAGGATCATAATTAATTCACGTTTTCTTGAGCTTTATCGCCAATTTTCCTAAACACTGTTAAGAAGTCTTAAATCCAAAAACCTTTCATTTTCAGCATGAACCGCAACGGCTCGGAGCTACGACGCATGCGCCTGTGCATGGTAAGACCTGTATACTTTTGCGTGCAGCAGTCTTTGAGGGATAAGCATGAAAATACCTGTACATTAATAACGTTGTACCTAACACATAGCTGCTCAATGGAAACAAACTTGGTTGAAAGATAGTAAGTGAACTAAACTCCCTGTGAAATTATTCTTTCTGGGAAGCTGTCATTTTGAAGTAATCAACGAAAGAAGGCCTTTCCAACGGTGTGTCTAAAGACGCACCGTAGGAAAATTTAAATAAGTAGTTCGTTTTGTAATTGGGCGAAGCGCGCGCAAGCATTGGCACGACACACACGCACGCGCGGTTGCTATAATTCATCGGATCAGTGCACGACGTCGCGTACAGCTGCAATTCAAAACAATTCAAAACATGATTCAGTAACTTTTGATTTGAAATTGAGATCCTAGAATGCTGTTTTTCTCGGAATATACAGCTGAAGCTTAGCTGAAACTTCATCAGGTTAGTTGTTCAGTATCCTTCATTAGATTTTGAACACTTTTGTTGCTTCAAACAAACAAAATGCACAAATTACAAATGATGGACTATATCTTTAACACCCATCATCCTTCAAAGGAATAACTAAACTGTTCATTTAAACACTGTATTTTGGTTACTATCGTTTTCAATGCAGGCTGTAGTTCTGCCAACGATGGTCCTATGGGCATGGCCAGTGGTTTAATACCAGACAGTAGACTGTCAGCCTCGGCATATGGTGATAGTATCAGCAAGGCTGATATTCGAATAACTGGCGGAGGTATGTATTCGCTTAAGTCGAAAAGGAGATCGGTAAAACAAGATGATGTATGAAAGGCGTTTTCAGCCCCCGCAATGAAAGGTGTTTACAAAATGTAGCGTGAGGCCAGCTTCTGAGCCGCTCGGGATATGGCAGGCGCACGTTAACTACAGGGTGAGTAAAAAAAGCGGAACCCAAACCCCCAAAATTATATTTCATATTTAAAAACTATGTTGCACCAAACCTAATAATGACTGGAAAGACAATTTCATAAACTACTTTTAGATGAAAAATATACTGAAATTGCTCAAAGAATATCACCATTTAAACGCAATGACCCTAAAACCTCTTTTGTCCAAAAATGTGATTTCAAGAATCGTCGTCACAATTGACTACAAACATCACCAGCGATATAACCTCAGTTTTAAAGTTTAAAATATTAAACAAAGACCTGTTGAAGGCCCGTCTTTTAAAAAAAAGTGGATTTTATAAATCATATTGTGTGCCTAACCAGGGTTGTTAATAAAGATATTGTGCACTACAATTGTTGAAAGTACTTGAAACAAGTATTCTGTGTCATTTTCTTTGTTGTTCCAAACAATCAGAATATACAATATGTTTCATCCAAATAAAACAGTTTTATATTGCAATAAACTGTTTTATTTGGACGAAATATGTTTTAGGGTCATTGCGTTTAAATGGTGATATTCTTTGAACAGATTGAGCAATTTCTGTAGCTTTTTTCCACCTAAAAGAAGCTTAGGAAATTGGATCTCCAGTCATTATTGTTTTTTGTGCTAATATTGTTTTAAATATGAAATATAATTTTTTGGGTTTGGGTTCCACTTTTTTTTACTCACCGTGTAGTTTGTGCGCATACGCCAAAATCTCGCTAATTCCAGTGGGATGGTAGCGCCTGGGAGAGGAAAGACTCACCAATTTTTCTACATTTTCTACATTTTTTAAGTTAAATACCTGCCATCGGATGAAACAAATACCTATATTTTTATTTTATTCACCATTTTTTGTGATTTAAATTCGACGTTATTAAAGAAAACGATCGATCGTTATCTGCTTTCCATTTCAATGCCATCATGGTAAAAAGGGTCAACTTAAGTTGGAATATATTGTTTTGCACGTAAATGAGTCGAGGTACAGTGCACGACTGTTGAGGAATTTCTTCAGGTATAAAGAGACATTTTTCATGTTCGTATCGGGCTCTGGTTCCTCTTATTTCTGGGAGATGACAGGTCCTGTGCGAATGACAATTCACGGCCGGATAGCCTTATAATGTAGATAGTTCCTACCAAATAAATGCAATTTCAGCTAAGAAAATGCCACGGATGGACAAAAAAAAAAAAAAAAGTCTGGCGTTGATATGATGGCGGTGCTGCGACGTTAATTACTAGTGAGTACTAGGCCTACTCGGAAACTTCAGTTCGGTGACTGTTTTAGGCTTTATATTCTAAGATCCTTCCTCAACATGCAATGAGACAAGACCTACCTGGAATACACGTTGATATTTCGGGGAATTTGAGCTCTCCATCCATTTATAAGATTGTCAATCCGCTGTAACTTTGCGAGAGTCACTCGTTCACCCGCACACTATTTACGCTGCCATGTTTGTTATTTGCCTTGCTTTGATTTTCAAAATGCGTACCCTGATAAAGGTATATTCGCGTGTAGTGTATGTGGCGGCAAGGATGCCTATGATAAAGTCATTTAACTCTCAGGATTTTTTTTTTTTTAAGTTGAGAGGGCACTTGATTGAAGGACTAATTATATTGATTTGACATTATTTAGTACGGGCTCCAGACCCCCCAAAATGAGTTAACCCTACACAATTTCCTCCCCACAATATTTTTACAATTTTGTATGCAGTAAGACCTGCTGATTCAGAATCTGGACGGTGGATTAAAATTAGACCCGGCGAAAACGCATTTTTAGGTCAAAATCCAATATGGCCGCCATTTCCTCCCCCAAAAACATCAAAAGTATGGTGTTTTACTAAATTCATCAATAATCGACAGACTGAACCCAAATTTGGCTCAATTATTTTGATGGCAGGTTGGTGTGCTCGCCGCAAGACTGGAAACCCGTGGGTACAGGCCGACTTGGAGCAGGCATGCAATGTGACTGGCATACAATACGCCGGTGGGCCTGATGATGGAACACCAGACAGGTTCATTGTGATGTACAGCGCTAATACTATCGACCAACTGCAGAATGTCAAGAACGAGGAGCAAACTGGTGACGCTGTGGTAAGTCGCCCGGTAAAAAAACGACATGTCTGCTTCTGAAAGAGCCAGTTAGCTTGTTAGACCGGGAGCTAGGTGAAATCACTGAGAAATCACAAAAAAGAGGAAATTCAAATTTTTCCCAGACTTTGTACAGTGTTTTTCTATTTTCAATGGCACACATGGGAAGTGAAAAAAAAGAGGAAATCAACTGATCCGAGGAAAAGTTGCATGCCTGCTAGGTGGAGTTTAATCAACAATTTGAGCACAAAAGGTTTGATGGTACCAGGCCATTGTCCGTCGGGGGGGGGGTGTTCAGAAATGGTCATTCTTAAGTTGCCCTAGGTCCGATGGGGGTCAGGGGACTTAGGTAATGTCCAAAATTTCAAGTTTAATTAACATGTCGCACACAAGTGCCGTTTTTGGATTACAACATTGAGATTGACCCCATGATGCCAAAAATGCTACTTAAGATCGGAAAAAAAGTCTACCTAAAAATCTTCTACCCCCTGATGGACAACGGCTTGGTACCATCACACTTTTTGTGCTCAAATTGTTATTAAACTCCACCTAGCTCCCGGTCTATTTTGAAGTGGTGTCGCTTGCAGTGCCAAATAAAGTAGCATTTTCGGGATTATGTTGGACACAATGGACCTTACTCACGACGAAACCATTTCGGTAGTGTTCCCTGAATGTACATGTATTTTATAAATTGTAGCTGTTGAGTAGGATTGTGCCAGACTATGCGTTCCAAGCCGCAATTTCGTTGTGTTTTTTAAATGTGGCTTAAAAAATTAGGGTACATGTATATATGTTTATTCACCAATTTTTAATTATTCATCAGAGCAGACTGGTATTAATTTGTAATTAACTTTATTTCATTACTTATATTTCTATATTCGCAAGCTCCAAAAATGAAGATTTGACCTCGCTTCCAATTTAATATGGCCAACTCGTAAATAAAGCATATGGGCTCCGTGCACAAGAAAAAGATGTCTTCGCGTAATTGTCGGCATCTTCAGCACTCAGCAATGCAAACGTTCGAATGTCTCCAAACTCTCCCTTTGTAACCGTTGAAAATAATGGTTTGAATAATTTTGCCCAGTTCATTTTATCGCGTATTCAGGTAGCCTTGATAACACCGATCCCGCGACACAATACATGCATTTTGTAACTTTGTTTTGGTATTATACGGTACATGTAATTAGCATTTGAAAGTATTTTTTTTTTCTACAGTTCGATGGGACCACCCGAGATGTTGTGGTAACTGCGAGATTCCCGACGGCTGTTTACGCAAGATACATCAGGCTGAAACCCCCTACGTGGGATTGGAATGTTGAATACAAGAACGGCAACCCTTTTTGCTTGCGATTTGAGCTGCTTGGTTGCCGCTAAATGCGCCCCCAAGCGATGGAAACGACACAGTATCGTCTGGCAACAATGTTGCAAACACAAAGCTACATCTATATTAAATTAAATTTAATATAGCTCTATGGTTGTTAATAAGGGAATAAATGTGTGCTTCGGAGGTTTTTATCACTCTGTTTAAGACCACTTAGAGTCTGGGTGCTGATAATTACCCGAGCCGGAGGCGAGGGTAATTATCAGCACCCAGACTCTAAGTGGTCTTAAACAGAGTGATAAATAACGACGGAGCACATATTTATTGCCATTCATAAATACCTTTTCGGTAAGAAAAAATCATATAATTCGTTCAAAACATCCCGATTTTGTTCAACAAATTCACTTTATGCTTTTTGAAACATCCCTCTTGCAAAATAATGGAGTGTTCAGCTGGCAAGTAAGATGTAAACAACTCTTTTATGGAGATTAACGCGCGCGTATCATGTTCTGCGCGATGTCGCGCAGAACGCACCTGGCGCGTTGCGTTTTGAATTTAGAACTTTAAAATTCTGACTCCCTGGTAGTGTTGCGCATGCCTACGTGAGGATTGTGAACGTTCAACCAATGAAACGATAAGAGGCACTGGATTTTTAGGAGTCCACATTTTATTGTGACACTGGAAAAGTGTTTAAGACCAGCTAGCCATGTCTTTATCATCCGTTTAAGACCAGCCACGTGACGGGCTCTCGACCAATAGGAATGCGTAAACTGTCTTAGGTATTTATGAATAATTTATCATCGTCAAAGAAAGAAGTTTAAACATGTGACTTTTTAATTAAACATTCATATTGTGTCCAAGTAAACATGTATATTAGAAATCAGTTTTCTCTAAACGATCAAGGTTTATAAAAAAAATGTAATTCAACCCACATGGCTTCAGCTGCACAGCAAAATTTGCATGTCGCTGATTTGTTTTGGTTTAAGTGTGGGATCTTTTTATCCTCAAACTCATTTCATGTTAAACTTCTAGAATCAGAGTAATAGAATCAGAGTAATAGAATCAGTTAAGCTTCTGAAGTCTGAACAAAAACAAGATTTAATTTTTCTTTCTGATGTAGTAGAAAAACAGTGTGTATCTTTGAAGTTAGGAAGGATACTTTTTACACTGTTGGTAGTTTCATAGCATGGTAAAATTATCAGAAAATATTAAGTATTGCACCTTCAATTTAAATTTGCATTATTAGTTGTATTAAATCGTGTGGTACAAAGTGTGGGTTAAGAAAAAAAACAATATCATTTTTGTTTTTAAAGATGAACTGAAGATACCGAATATTACGAGTGGCAATCTAACAGACTTGATATGAAAACAGTGAAAGGTCGCCCACTCACCTCCGAAAGATATTTATTTTCCTCGATGTCATGGAAACTGGTGGTGGAATCGAAGCAGACCTGAGGCGACTACTAAGCTTGACTGACCCCGTTACCTCTGATATTTTTAAAATAATGTTTACAGCCGGAAGTTGATGCCAATTTGAACAATGGGGGCGTTTATAGCCTGTCACAACCACAGACATATAAATGCATATAAACCGAGACCGAGACCGAGACCGAGACCGAGACTGGTCTCGAGACCTACAACACTGGCGTACAGAGTTTGTTTATAACCAGGTTTTCATTGATTTTTTTCACACAAACATTGTTGAATTAAGTTAGGTTTTGCCCTTCACCGACGTACAAACACTGTATACTCAGTGTGTTACCGGTACCTCCTGAGTGAAAGTTGGAAAAATCACTCGGGTGGGACTTGAACCCACGACCTCCTGCTTTCTAGTGCAGATGTCTTACCACTCGACCATCGAGCTAACGGATCGGTTGGCTGGTTCGAATCTGATGTACATAGCTGCGGGTACCGCATTAACTAACACACTGAGTACACAGTGTTTATACGTCGGTGATGGGCAAAACCTAACTTGATTTACATCGCCCCAATGCAAAATTCCATCTTATGCATTGTTAAATTACGTACAATATGCAGACTACATGTAATTCATGAGAAAAGCAAGGTTGAATATGTGACCAAGAATAAAGGGACATCTTTAAACACAAAGTACACCGAATTACTTTACATTTTGAGTCAATGCTTTTGCACGCTAAATGTGTCTTACAATAAATAGAGATAGAAATATACGGGGTTGTGAGCAAAATCCAGGGTTTTTTTTTTATATGAAACACATTGATTGCAACTTGTGTTGACCTCATGTGTACGGTAGCACAAGAACTGAGCAAAATGGGCATTTGATTTTATAATTGCGCACTGCTTTTTTTTGGGGGGGGGGGGGGGGTTGAGGGAAAGGAGGATGCATCTACATGTAAGTATTGATTACAGAACCCTCTGCCATATTTCAGTCAAAATCAGCCAGCTGGCTCAGTGATCGAGTGGCGAGACATCTGCACAAGTGACGGTCAATGTTCAAGTGAAGTAGCGGTGTGCATGTACAGGCAGTACAGGCACTGGGTACCCTAACGAAGTACAACACCCTTAAAAGGAACCCAACCCCAAATCACAGAAGTTGTCTTCCGGGCTCTATAGGTGAAGGCTGTAAACTGCAACTTTAGCGAGCGTCATCTGTCGTGCCTCAAAATGCACATCAATGTTATGTTTTGTTTTTTTCATGTAGCCTGGTTTTCAGTTTAGAAATTCCCCTCAAATGGCATTCAAAACCTGTATTTTCATTGTCTGTGAATTTACTACTCAATTTGTAAAAGTTGGTTACTGGTACCCAATCCCATAATCTGGAACCGGTTCCTGACATCAGTTGTCGGGTACTCGGGTACTCAGGTACCCAGTTCCGATTCACACACTGAAAGTGAATTTTTCCTCACAAGCTTTAAACAGCACTGAATATACGGTGGTCATTACAAACTGGCAAAGGGCAAAACCAAGAATTCAAATGAGATTGTAGGTTACACTTTATATTCTGCTCTGGTGTAAAATAGGTATAGAGTTTGCGGTAGCACTTGTGTATATGAATATCTTTTGAGAATTTGTGCGTCTGAAAAGAACCAGTGCATTCAGAAACGGTTCTTTCAGAACCACACAAACTCACAAGTAAGAACTGAATAAATAGCGCTATCTCAAGCCCATACCTATCAAGTCTCCACCAGGCACTATGGCAGGCACACTTTCTAGTAATGCTTGCCAAGGTGTGCTTAACCCTTACCTCCCCAACTCCATCAAAATCCATCCTCCAATTTTGGTGGATTTTGGGGAATTGGTCCTACAAGCTTGGTTTGACTAAATATTGATGGAGTATGATGGACTTGGGCCTGGAGGCCTAAAGCAAAGCATGCATTGGAAGCAGTCAGATTGATGGATTTTGGCGGACTTGGTCCAGAACTTAGTGAAAGACAGTAGGGAGTTAGGGTTAATGTGAGGAAATGTGCTTACGTTGTAAGAACACCACTTTCTCCTCAAAAGCCAAGACCATCAGATCGCCGGTGGGAGACAACGACATGCTACATTCCTGCAACCATGCTTCCTGTTCGTCCTTCTTGCCTTCTGACGTCTCTCCCTCCTGCCAAAAAAGGGATCAAAAATGTGTCAAGAGTCTGAGAGGAACTCCTTAATGCTACTTCGAGTAAAATTAAAGTCAGAAAAATAAGGGGACAAAGAGAGGCATTGTCAATGTTCAGCAGTGTTGTAGGACTCCAGTCCAGGACTCGGACTCGATTCCGTCTGGAGTAACAATTTCTGTCTCGACTTGAGTCGCATCGGCAAAAGACTCAGACTCGGCTTGGACTGGACCATCATGACTTGGACTTAAGTCACGTATTTTGTTTACCAAAAATTACTTTTTAAAAACATAATTCCGATATTTATTTTCCGAAAGTAATGTTAAAGCAGTGCAAGAGAACATTAGGCACATGATCGTACCGCACCACGCTCCAGGTGGTGTTGCAAATAAAAGTGATTAGGCCAAAAAAAATAATAGTGCTGCTTCAGGTTACCCTACATACCCTATTTTGACAGCCCCTACACTAATTATTTTTAAGGAAAAGTGAGGAAAATCATCAATTACTACCTTTTACCCTTGACTACATGCAGACGCCTCCATATGATCGTGCACACAAACAATTGCCCCAAAAAAACTTCCCTACCTACCTACCCTATTTTCAAATGATATGTAATCGGAAGCAGAACTTTTTTGGGGGGGGGGCGATATTATTAAATGTGTTCATCTATATTTAACATTTATGTTACTAGGATGGGAAGGGCAGATATTGGCCTAGCCTGCAAAACTTGTATTTTAAATTAATAATAATAAATTTAAAGATTGCGGGTAACACCATGTGGAAAGTAATCTCTCCTTGGAAGAAGTGTGGTTCGGAAAAGAACCGGTTGGTTGAGTGTAGAACTCGACGTTTCGGACAGTGTGCTCTGTCCGTCCTCGGGACATTTTTTATACATTTATATTGCGCAAATTCAAATGCGCATCACAATGTATTAAAGCAGGCAATGATGAAGTGATGTCCTTGTCACGCCCCAATTACAACAATGGCGCCAACTATAGTTGGGACAGTCCAACCTGTAGTTAGGACATTCAAAGCCAGTCCAGACCATAGTTGGGACAGTCCCAACTGTAGTTGGGATGATGTTATAGTTGGGGTGTAACATCTTTGCAAGTTACTGACCTCTTCATCATCTTGGTTCCAGCTCCAGTCGGCATCATCCCATCCATCTGCAAGACACAACTCTCAGTTTAATGCAACGATCAATTGTAGCCCCCTCCCACCCAAACCCCTAGCATCACAGCCATGACGGATGTGACTGATCCATCATGCACAACTCCGGGGGTGGGGAAGGGGGAATAAAGGGCCCCATCTTACAGTCGGGTCACTCCACGCCAACTGTCTTAAATTTTGAGAAGTTGTCAGAGGACCGCCTCAGATTCGGATGGAACTTTTAAAAAAATACCTCTGTGGAATGTGGTTCTTACGAACACACGTGAAATTTTAGACGCCAAATCCAAGTTGTTGGTGAGATATGACACCTGAAAAATATTCTTGCACCCCCTTTTCCACTTTTTCTGCTACGTCGGTCAACTATGAATTGGAAATGTTTCTCAATCTCAGTCCCAGGCCATGAGAATGAAAGTTTTAGATTTGCGTCCACCGCCCGCACCTCCCCGAGGCAGCCGCACGAAAATTTCATTATTTTGCAAGACTTTCATTATTTCAAAAAATACTATTCTCAATAACAAATGACACACAAAAAATTAATTTAGTTGCATGAAAATAAAATACTAAGGCACATTTCCACATGGTGTATGGTGTGCATATTTGACACCACTCTAGAGACCTAGCCCAGGCCAAACCGCAACTTCGCGATCGTATATTCCGTCTGCATAGCGCAGTACACAACCTGTGCATACATTCTGTGTACGCGGCGATGTTTTTTCCTCGGGTTTCCCCGGCCCCCATTTCATTCGGCATTTACCAAGCACTGCTTATATCGCTTAATCTGATTGGTCCCTTGATTGTGGCACTCACTGAGTCAACCAATGGAAACTTTATCTCAAGTTAAGTATGCATTTCTGCAAGCATTTCTGCATGCTTTTTTTCATGATCGAGTTGAGTATTTCCAATTGATATTCTCACTTCATCTGTTACTGATTTGCCTGAAACTGTTGGATGGATCACAATAAGAACATTGGAAAAAATGTTGCAACCTGCCGCCACTTTTTTCTTCATATATCATGTCAATGAAGGTCATTCATTGTAAAAATAATGATAAGACATGAATCTGGGACTAAGAAACATTTCCAATTTTGTTAGGAAATACTCAGAAAGTTTTCTTTACTCTCCATAGACTTTGTACACAATCACGGAAGTGGCGTCAGGTTGCAACATTTTTCAAGAACATTTCTTAGCATGTTTGTTTTTGTTTACGACGAAATGGATGAGTTGAGCCGATATGTGTCCGATTTTTCAACAACTGAATTGGATTCGAAGTGGTCTGCATGCTATCCATGCCGTTGTCGTGTCTGACCCGCTGTCATGTTTTAGACTCGTGGCGCTGCGCGCGGCGGCATCCACTACCGCCACATTTTAGAAGATGTTTCAAATAAGAGATCGATTTATCACTAAAATAATGAAAAATGAAAAAAAAGCCGGAAAAATTCGGCTACCCGTTCACCACTTTTTTCAATTAATTTTCTAGCGCCAAAAGTTACATCTTTTGTGGTTATTCCCTCCACTTTCCCTCCTCTACTCTCACCCTCTCCTTTCCTTAATTTCTATTTATCAATCAGTCACTTACTTCATCGAGATTCGAACCTCGGACGCTTGCTTGATACACGAGACTCTTAACTGCTAGGCCGCGCACGATCGCTGTTGCAATGATCAATCTTTGGACGTATTTGAAGTGTCCATTGAAATAAACTAAATATTCATGAGAAAATAAATATTCATAATGACGTATTGCACTATCATTGGCCGGCTCATGCGACGTCATGGTTATCGATGTCATGCGTATTACGTACCTCTGTTCCAGACACTTCTTCAATCAGTTTTGACCGGCTGCTTCAACTCAGATCTGCACTACATGTGCATGCAACATGTGCTCTAAAAACATATTTTTACTAAAAAAATTTCGCATGTCCGCTGTTTCCTGGATTCCTCTTGGTTGAAATCACAAGGTGAGGTGAAAATTTGGATGTTTGGCGGCAGGTAAGTGGTGATGTTGTGCCCATTCTTGAAAATCACGCAATCTTAAGAATGCGCGCGCATTCTTAAGAATGAGCGCGCATTCTTAAGAATGAGCGCGCGTTCTTAAGAATGAGCGCTCATTCTTAAGATTGCGTGGGAATATCACGTGCACAATTTATGAATTTTGCGCAATCTTAACAAACATTGCACGACATAATTACATGAATTATGTTAAATGAAATGTATAGCGGTTAAAAGGGAAACAATTCATATAAAGAGGAAAGAAAATGTTCTATGCTTCTGTACTCGTATAACTACGATAATTTGAATCAAATTAAACCTGTTATTATTGCTTTTTTTTGCCCACTATGGGAAGTTTTGTAATAACGGAGGACTGGGAACTAGTCTGGGAAGTGTTTTGTTTAGGCTAGACAAGTTACAAGTCCCTGTATGTATCATATTGCATGCCACGAAAAAAAAACGATGTCCAGAAGCCCTATCGTCCGGAAATTGGGCGCACAGTTTCTTCACACGAAATACTCACCTAGATCAGCTGTGTCCGCTGGCTTATTATTGGGGAAAAGAAATTTACGCACTGTAGAAATATCCTCAAAGCAACCGATATTACTTAGCACACACGACATGATGTTTCCAGAAAGTATGCGGTCTATCGTTTATTCGTTTTCTCAACAATTAAGGATCTGTCTTTTTGCCAGCTGTCATGGAGGCGGCCATCTTGACTTCATGAGCTGCAGTTATGCTAACCTTTGTTCCATTCTGAATCTTTTAGTACACCGCCACGTATATATGAAATCTGAGAAGCACTTCGACGAATACGACTTGAAACACATCTAACTTAATGTAGTCCCGGAGATTTATAGAGGGCGCTATATTGATCATTCGTTTCGGAGGGAGGCAAACATGAACAGTGAACACTGGTGAATTTAGTGACAGAACTAAGTTCTATAAAAGTTAGCTGCAGCTGCTAACTTAATCAGTTAATTAGCCATAAATTTGTTCATGATTACAGACAGGAGAAATTATGACGCAGAAATGGACGATCTAGAATTGAATCCAAGAATTTTAGCAGCTTGTAAAAAAGGTTTGTAAATAGTGGAAGTGGGGGCCGGAATTGTTGATAAATTCATTTTAGGAACTAATTTGCATTATTAATTAAGCCTTGCCTTAGTTAGCTTAGGATCCCGGTACAACTTAATTATAATATTAATTGAACAAAGGGAAAGAATGTTGCAATCTGACGCTACTTCAGCGGTTGTGTACAAAGTCTATGGAGAGTCAAGATAATTTCCTAACAAAATTGGAAATATTTCTCAGTCCCAGATTCATTTTGCACTTACTGACCTTCATTGATATAATATATGAAGAAAAAAGCAGCGTCAGGTTGCAACATTCTTTCCGAACAAAGAATTAACAGGGTTTGAACCTGCGACCTCCGGAACACCGTGCCAGTGCTCTACCAACTTGGCAATGGGGCTAGGTAGGATATTAAGGAAACAGTTTTGGGGGATTTTTTTGCATCATCTCACACTTTATAAATAAAATAGGCCTAACGTTACATTTCCAATTCATTAAAAAGCATCATTGTTCATACTTCCCTTTTAAAACTTAAAATATATAAAGTGTGAAATTTATACCTAATTTAAAAATTAGTTATGATACGACAATTATGTTTTAACGAAGATTAAGTAATCAAATTTAACAAAGTACTTGCAAGACATGTAAGAAGCTTTTTGTTTTTGAAATTTGGAAACCATTAATACTTTGTTTTTTCTTGACTATCCCAGTCAACTTTGCATCCTTCTCTACCATTCTGAGCTTGTCTTCAGCTGACCTGGGACGACGTACGAAGCTGCCTGCTAACGACGTCAGAACACTGCTGCACACTGTCTCTGAGAAAGTCTACACCAACCCATCTGCCACTGGTATACTTCCTGCTGTTGTCCTGGATATTGTGATATTAGTCCAAAAATTTGGGACTCTCAATACTGTGTATGAGAGTCCCAAAACTTAAGGTATTGAAAACATGTAATACAAGAAAATAGACTGGCACCTAAAACAACCAGTCCAACACAGCTTCAGTACTGCATCAATCAACCATGCCAAAAGAATTTAAGAAACATGTGGCATGAAGCGGGAACTAATCTCAATTTACTACACATTTCTTTATAGTCAAGCCACCAGACTATTGACACTGAATGAAGAGGTCAGTCTTTAAAACATTTGGACCATGGTTGGACATGTACCAGTGTAGTATTTAGCCCCATTTTGAAATCACTTGACTTCCCTCTCATGTGCAAAATATTGAAGAAAAGTCTCCTTTAAAAATTGAATTGAGTCTGCAAACTTGGTTGGTAAAATACTGAGGACATTTTCTTTGCCCCAGTGGCATTTTTTGAGAAATTTGCTGACTAAACTGTGAGTAAAGTGGGCCTGATTTAGTTTTGCACGTTTCAGAGCACTCCAGATCTCTGTCTGATCCCAAATATCACATTACAGGTTGTCTCACAATTTAGTTACAAAAAAACTGGTGCTTACCAAAAAAACCCCACAGTAGTTATACATTCTTTGTTACTTGAACACTTGGGACCTCCGTGAAATAGTAGTGATGCATTAGTGTCTTATAGTGCTGTGGGGTTTGAAGTAAACTTCTTTCTTTCAAAAATCCTGTATTTTTCCTAAGTTGTCTTGGATAAAACAACTTTAGAAAAGTTACAATATACAACATTTGCAAAAATCTAAAAATAAAACTACCAAGTTTTTACAAAATACCTTACTAGGATGTTGGTAAATGACAGTCTAAAGCATCCTGTAAAATTATGGCACCTGGTGTGAGGTCATTTTCCAAGAAAATGGTATTTTTGTCTACATTTCCAACGGTGGTCGGCCGACCACCGTTGGAAAAACTATTTTTCAACTACTGCACCAAATTTACCATTTTGTTCAGTCCAAATTTTGTTTGCTGTTGGTTACATGTTCATGAACGGGTGCAGGCCAGCTAGACTGGTTTCCTTACCTTACAATTTTCTGGCATCTATAAATGGATCCATTTTATCTTTAGTGGAGTCAGGGAACCAGACTACTTGAACAGTTTTGTTTTTCTTGGTCTTTCCAGCATTTTCGAACACAAAACTTCAAACTTGTCAGTGTAAAAATATTTGATCTATTATACTTACCCCTCAAATGGTTCATTTCTGAAAATTACAGCAAAAGCCAATGATGTACATTCCCTTTAACCAATAAAGTACCCCATGGGTACTCCTTGGTAAAGTTTTTTTTTACTGCCAAAGGAATCTTTTTGTAGAAATAAGTAAAAGAAATAATACAGTCTGTCACGAGCCAATGTGGCCCATCAGGCCGGTGTTTATCTCCTGTTTATCTTCAGTATCATGAAACGACTGAGAATATTTCTACTCCCCCTGGATGGGATGCCAGTCCATCTCAGGTTACTCCCCACCTAATGCTGGCACCCATTTATACTCCTGGGTGGAGAGAGGCAAGTGGTGGTGAAGTGGCTTGCCCAAGGACACAACATATGGCCAGCGGCTGGATTCGAATCCCTGACCCTCTGATCACGAGTCACAAACCCTAACCACTAGGCCACACTCCCCAGTGTGTTTTGTTGAAGTGATACCTGCAAATGAATACTTTCTTTCTGATTCAATGAATTCACTTTCACTAGCTCAGTGAAAACTGGGGCCCATATAGTTGAATTGTATGGAACACTTTACAAAAGGGTGAAAACATGACAAAAATCTGCTCAGACAAAAGAATTAGCACAATTTTAAACTGTCACATGCACATTGCCAAACTAAGTCACTAACTTAGCAAGCACTTTCAGTATGACATTTGACATGAAAAATATCAGTTACAAGATGAAATTTTACGCCGGCGTGATGTAAATCAAATTAGGTTTTGCCCTTCACCGACGTTTAAACACTGTGTACTCGGTGTGTTACCTCCTGAGTGAAAGTTGGAAAAAATCACTTGGGTGGGACTCGAACCCACGACCTCCTGCTTTCTAGTGCAGATGTCTTACCACTCGACCACCGAGCTAACGGGATTGGTTGGCTGGTTCGAATCTGATGTATATAGCAGCGGGTACCGCATAAACTATTATAATATCATTTTTGTTTTCATAAATACGTAATATGTCCATAATATGTCCCATTCCTTAATCATGTTTCTCACCCTCTGCAGCTCTTGAGTTGTACCATGGCACCTGCCACCAATCCCTGCGAGTGTCGTGCCTTCGTACAGGCTGTGAGGTACTGGATGGCTTCCTGAGAGGAGGGATCCTGACGCCTGGCATCACGGAGATTGCTGGCGAGAGTGCCGCTGGAAAGACCCAACTATGCATGCAGCTGTGTCTGAGCGTACAGAGATCAACCGAAAATGGAGGCCTAGCTGGAGGTCAGTAAAGCATCCTTTAGTCACCCTCAGGTCAACCTTGTGATAACGCAGAACATTCGGCAACTGCCTTTTCAGCATCAAGCTGCGCCTGAGCTTCAACCATTGTGAACATTTCAGCCGCCAATTTTTTTGCCACCTGAGTGTAACTGCGACAATATTAAGACGATCGACATCAGTTAGCACCCCCAAAATAATCATGTTGCAAGAGTAGAAAAATTTCAACTTCTGCGCCATGATGGAACGTGTTCCCAATGGGCAGGAATCAAACGCAGTCAACTGGTGTAAAGTTACGACATCGTGCACGTGTTCGGATCATCTAATGTTATTGTGAATCGTCGTGGGTGACGTGAGCATGTTTGCAATTATTCTTTTGTCGAGATGCCGCTTGTTCCACAAACACACGATTTCTCAGTTTTGTGACCTGAGCTTTTCTTTTGTGCTTGATGCCGACGGTTCTTTCACGGCACAAGTAAATCGCAGGTCGACCTGAGGCTAGTTTCAGGCATGCAACTTTTCCTCAGATCAGCTGATTTCCTCTTTTTTCACTTCCAATGTGTGCCATTGAAATAGAAAAACACTGTACAAAGTATTGGAAAGCTTTGAACTTCCTCTTTTTTGTGACTTTCCAGTTGCATGCCTGTAGTTTACTGCCACACGTGGGTGCTTTTCCTGAAACAGAATTTGCTGAATTAAACATTGATTAACCCTACATCAACGGGTATTTTTTCTGGAGATCTTCCTTAGTCTTCTAGAATCACCACTTTGCAGGAAGCCAATGACTCAGATCTAGTACATTATTTTCAAGAAACATTCTTCAAGCCTATGTAAAGCCTGGGCTCTCACTTTCTCAACCCTCAACTGCAATGGGAAACTGACTAGGTGAATTATAACAATTTTTGAAAAGTTGAACAAAGAAATTGACTGGAGCGGGGTTTGAACCTGCAACCTCCGGATTACCGTTCCGGTGTTCTACCAACTGAGCTATCCAGCCCTATGTTGGCGGTTCCCCAATTTGTCACTATTTTTGTTAGAGCTGTGCTAGTCAGAAGCCATAAACCCGTATATGCCATGCAGCCAGGGAACACACCCAAAGTCACGATATATTGATGAATGTTTTCAATCATCCAGGTAGTTGAATATTACACTGAAATAATATAATCTAGTCAACTGGACTTACTATTTAAACTTGTGACGGTTTCACGTCCTATCCCGGACGCTTCTTCACAAAGTCACGATGCAGAGCTGGGAAATGACAAATGGGGATCACTCAGAGAGGATACTGCTTTTTATTACAAATTCTCCAATGAACCACAAAAGGAAACTGACTAGGTGAATTATAACACTTTTTGAAAAGTTGAACAATGAAATTGACTGGAGCGGGGTTTGATAAGGTCAGGTTGGTCAATCCTTCAGAAATATGAATTTGATGGAGCCAGAGAGTCATATTGTAAAATTTTAATGCAATAAAAAATATTATGTACCAAATCTCACATATGACATATGTCTTTTTCTTTTTTTCAGGGGCTGTGTATATTTGTACCGAGGATGTTTTCCCAAGTAAGAGATTGCATCAGCTCATTCAGAACTTCCAGAAAAAATTAGACGCCACAGAATGTCGACAACTGAAACTTGGCGACAACATCTTCATTGAGCACCTTTCAGAAATAGTAAGCCAGGAATTTCAGGCGCTTTTCACTTACCTGACCAACCATGGCCAATCTGACTTGACCTGACCTGTACCAATCTGACCTAACCTGACCTGAGCTGATCTGATCTGCCCTGCCCTGACAAACCTGAACTCACCTGAACTGACCTGACCTGTACCAATCCGACATGACCTGACCTGAGCTGATCTGACCTGCCCTGACCAACCTGAATTCACCTGAACTCACCTGACCTGACCTGACCTGTACCAATCCGACATGACCTGACCTGAGCTGATCTGACCTGCCCTGACCAACCTGAACTCACCTGAACTCACCTGACCTGTACCAATCCGACATGACCTGACCTGAGCTGATCTGACCTGCCCTGACCAACCTGAACTCACCTGAACTGACCTGACCTGACCTGTACCAATCCGACCTGAGCTGATCTGACCTGCCCTGACCAACCTGAACTCACCTGAACTGACCTGACCTGTACCAATCCGACATGACCTGACCTGAGCTGATCTGACCTGCCCTGACCAACCTGAACTCACCTGACCTGACCTGACCTGACCTGACCTGTACCAATCCGACATGACCTGACCTGAGCTGATCTGACCTGCCCTGACCAACCTGAACTCACCTGAACTGACCTGACCTGACCTGTACCAATCCGACCTGACCTGATCTGACCTGCCCTGACCAACCTGACCTGACCTGGCCTGACCTGTACCAATCTGATCTGGCCTGGCCTGAACTGACCTGACCTGTACCAATATAATCTGATCTAACCCAACCCAATCCATTTGACCTGACCTGACCTGCCCCGAGCTGACATAACCTGAGCTGACTTGACCCAACCTGACCTGTCCTGACCTAATGTGTCCCATCCTGACCTGATTAAATATTGCATGAAGGAAGAATGCAAAATTAAACAAGCAGTAAGCCCGAGGTGCCCGAAAAAACCTGTAAAACATTTAGGTGAACCTTGAGCTACCCCCTGTCTATTTGTGCATTCACCCGTAAAGTACATGTAACTGAGGGGCAAGGCTGACTTGATCAGAAGACAATATATAACAAGCAAAAAATCGATGTACATGTAGATAGCATGTAGATTCCAAAAGCTGAGTCTCTTGGAACACTCGTATGAAACTTTGAGGTGGATTGTTCCTGTTCATCCTAACTGCCTAGGGTGAGTGAAAATCCTCTCACATTGTTTTGCTTTCCTACTTTGACAGGATCAGCTTGTTCACTGTATCCAGTACCGCATCCCCCTCCTCCTGAAGCAGAGTCAAGTCAAACTGATCGTCGTGGACTCCGTAGCTGCCCTCTTCCGCTGTGAGTTCAGCCCAGGGGAGGCTGCCAAGAGAGCCAAGCGCCTGCAGAGTCTGGGTGCCCAGCTGCACCGACTGAGCAGGCTCCATCATGTGCCAGTGATCTGTGTCAATCAGGTAAGGCTGACAGCAATGTTGGTTCAAGACTATGATTAGCGGATGCTTCCTGACAATGGTTGGATTAGTCAACTGTTTGGGACTGTCCTTTCAAGGTTGGTCGCATCGCCAGTTATCGACTGCCGAGCATACATGGTGAGTAAAAAAAACGAAACCCAAATGTCAGGACTATTATTGTATTGAAGTTCTACATGTAGCACTTTCACAATCTAGGACATGAAAGCCCAATTCATAAGCTTTCTTTTAGTACAAGAATCATTCAAATCACTCATGTACTTTTCAAGTTACGGAATTTTAAAGACAACCATCGTTTTAAAGTTCTGCCCATGGATCACAAAAATGGTGTGCGTTCCTTCAGCAAAACGAAAACAATTCACACACAGCCCTATTTGATTTGTTTTCGTTTTGCGAAAGAACACTGAACTTTTTTGTGATCCGTGGACAGAACCTTAAAACGGTAGTTGTGTTTAAAATTCCGTAACTTAAGTACATGAGTGATTTGAATGATTCTTGTACTTAAAGAAGGCTTATGAATTGGGCTTTAATATCCTAGATTTTGAAAGTGTAACATGCAGAACTTCATTGAAACAATGGTCCCAACATTTGGGGTTCATTTTTTTTTACTCACCCTGTATTGCAGTGTACTGTAGGAAGCTAGCACCGTGAGTTTTTTTTATGACGTTCTACCTAAGCTCAATTTTGTATTGTTTGTATTGTGATATTAGCATGCAGGCACAAGTCAGTCACAAATCAACCATTACTTGATTAACGGCTTAATATAGCCTACATCCGCGTATTCTTGTCAGTTAAACTAGACATTATACATCAGTCTGCTTCATAATTCCACAACCATTGTATTTAATAACCTCTGCAACTGGAGCAAACCACTTACGGAGTCTCAGTAAGTTCATGTTGACAAGTCACATCAGTTGACAAAAACAACTCGTGGCAAAACAGCCATTGCATATCGTTGGTCGCACCGCAATCTGACTCATCTGGCATTTTGGGTGCACGAATGAAGTGACACATCTGGCAATGTGTTGTGTCCTTGGGCAAGCCACTCTAACCCCACTTGCCTCTCTCCTGCCGGGAGTACAAATGGGGACCAGCATTCGGTTGTATCCCACCCAAGATGGAAAAAACATGTTCCCAGTTGTTTCGTATTGAGGGATAGGAAACAAGCAATAAATGCCGGTTTGAGCACTGGCTCGTGAGAGACTCTGGTTCCAGAGGGGCCAGCCCATGGGCTCCGTGCGCCAACGAAAGAGGGCGCCCTTTTACCTAGCAACAACGTCCCATGGGCGGGACATTTCGCTGGTTGACGCACACCGTTCCTTGTGTGTGATGCACGTACACCAGGGGATTTGTACTATGTACACGCAGTGGCCGCACTTCGCGGCAAACGAATTGTAGTCAGGCAAGATGGCATCGGTCGGTCACCCCCAACTGTACTTTCTTTGCCGGTGAGGGGGTACTTGTGAACAGAGCGGATAGTCATCTTTATACCTGACTGACTGACTAACCGACTCGCTGTCACATGTGCATTAGTCTGGCGCTGCTTGTTTCAAGTACTTCCATGATATGTGTGTAGGCAACAAGTCAAGTCTCCACGCGAACGGTGAAACTGATTTTTCATTTTCATCACGTTACCACTACAGCTTGTAAAATTCAATGATTCTTAAAATACAATGATTCTTACTTGCTTGATGCAGGTCACTGCTAACATGAGTAGCGGCAGCCTCAACCCCAACCAGCGACAACTCATCCCGGCTCTGGGCCTGGCCTGGTCCAACCTGATCCAAACCCGTCTCATGCTCGGCCGGACTGCTTACAAACTCTCTTCCGGTGATGCAGTGTGCCCGCCTCGGCCAGAAGACGCAACGCAGACCCAGGCAGGGACGGATGAAGTACCAGTCAGGTCCATGGAGGTGGTCTTTGCTCCACACCTGCCAAACGACACCTGTTATTTTGTGGTGGAGGCAGCTGGTGTCCGAGGCTTGAGGTGACAAGGCATGCCGTCCATGAACAGTAGATGGCGCGTTGTAATCACTTTGCGTACACGTACTTGTTTGCTACACTCGACTTACTTAAAGGTAGCAGACAACATTTGCAAACATAAAAAAAAATACCAAATTTTTATAAACTACCTTACTTGACTGTAAGAGAATAATAGTCTCAAGCATCCTGTGAAATCATGGCACCTGGTGTGCTGTCATTTTCAAGAAAGGTGGAATTTTTGTATGAATTTCCAACGATGGTCGGCCAATCATTGTTGGAAACAAATTTACTTTTTTTTTATTTATTGCCCCCAATTTACCAAATTTAGTTAGTCCACATTTTGTTTGCAATCGGTTAAACATCCATGAATGGGTGTAAGCCAGCTAATTCCCTGACCTGACAATCTATAAACTGCTCCATTTCGTCTGAAGTAGGGTTAGGGAACCATACTACAAAAGCAGCATTTGTCTTCTTGGTTTTTCCAGCGTCTATGAACACAAAACTTTAAACAGGTCAGTGTAACAATATTTGCTATAAAATACTCTATATCCGTCCATTTCTGAAAATTGCAGCAAAAGCAAATGTTGTACATAACCTTTAAAGGCACATAGGATCATTTGCATGTATCCCAAAAGTAACCTAAAGAATTTTTAACAAAAACATATTTGGATTAAAGGTGCTACTGTTACTATACCACTGTGAAATTATTCATTATTCATTATTGCTCTCATTTAGGCGAAATTTAAAAATGTAGTGGTTTCCAATGATCAGTCAATTGACTGATCATTGGAAATAAAGAGTTACTGTAACGAAATCATATTTCGTGATCAAAAGATCGTGCATGGTTTTTCACTCACAAAAAGTGTACTATCCACTGAGCTGAAACTTCAACAGGTTAGGTATTGAAAGTTCTCCTTTGGATTTTGAGTGGTGCTATTATTGGAAATGAACAAAAAGCTTTTAATCTGCATGTGCACGACCCTGTGACGTCTTCGCGTGCGCCTCAGGCGTCATCGGCAACGTTTTCAAATGCCCCTCTCAATGGTCTCCTCCAACTCTCCCCATTGAAGGGGTACTTATGCACAAAGTCTATAATTTCCCCACATCCAATCCCATCATGGTTGGATATGTAGTTCCCTGTTTGATCGCCTGGATAATTTGTACATTTGACCCACCTTCCGAAAAATTAGTCTCCAGAAAAGTCTCCCAGTTATCAACTATTACTAGATAAATTATAGCACACAAGCAATGCATTTTCACAACTGTGATTGGGTCAAGTTTCCTCCAAATTACCACTTTCAACATTTTTTAAATCACAGGGGATCGGGTTGGCGTAGCGGTACTTTCCTCGCCTTCGCCTTCCACCGCTGTGACCCGGGTTTGAATCCCGCCTGGGCCAATATGTGGATTGGGTTTTCAGCCCCTGCCCGAGTCTGTGGGTTGTCCCTTAGAATATCATTCTGGGGTTTTCTTCGCACCACTAACATGACTAAAAGTGTAATTTCCTTCCACATCTTCTATTGAGTCTTATCCATTCTGTTCTGGTGCTTGCAGTGTTGGATGTTGTCAAAATAAATAAAACAAAAATAATTGTTTTCTATTTCATCTGCTTCAAGTTCATTGACAACTTTCATTTAAATGTTAGTGGCAAAATTTTAAATGCCCCTCCATCGGAGAGGAAATGAATCAATGTTTGTTTCAAATTTTCAATATCGTACAATTTTTATTTATTTATTTATTATTTTGGGGATGAATAAAGGGCATCTTCCTCTTACTTGTACAATTTATGTTGTCTTTTGTTTCTAAGATTATTGATTTGGAAATACAATCATTCTGAATCACACAAACTGTTAACAAATCTTAAAGGACACTTTCAGACAGAATTTTTTTCAGTTCAGTTCAGCTGTAGTTTTCATTTATATGTAAGTAAACCAGTGCTCTTGAGAAATGATTGAACTGTAAAATATGCCATACTGACTGAATCTTTTTGAAGGTTTGAAATTACTCTTCTATGTATGTAAATGTTTGCTTTATGCTGTTTTCTAATTAAGGTGACAAATGTATATCCCACCTATACCAATTGTTTTTGTTCAACCAGAATTTGTATATTTATGCATTAAATATTTAATACCTTGTTGAACAGCTTAAAAATTAAACCTGAGGAATTGCTTTTTCTTGCCTGTTTAAATATTTCCTGATTTTCTAGGAGGTGTACATTTGTATATTATTTGGGCCAATAAAAAGTTGAATACAATAAGTCCAAAAAGTTTACGTTGTTTCTCTGGTGTTATGGAAATCTGCTGGAAGACTTATTGAAACTCTTATCACTATCCTCAATTGGCCTTAAAAGAAACGTGTGACCATCTGTGTTCAATCCTAAGCCCATTTAGAACAATCTTTTGAGATAAAGATTTTTTTCTCAATGTCAACTTCCGCAATTTGGAAAAAGGCACCAAGTGTGTGTGCTCCAGTGGTTGTTGCAATAATAATAATTTATACAAATGTAACAACAATGACATGTGTGTGCCAATTGTAATTGATTATAGTGCGATTTGACCCTCCCTACCCACCCACCCTACAGGCTAAGATGGTTGTTATTAAAGATGTATATACTGTCCATGAAATTTTCGAATATTACCCCGAAAATATACATTATTTTTACATTGCTACTTTCCAAGCAACACAAAATTGACTCGAATGAGACATCGAACAAGAAAATTGGCCAAACTTAAGTTATGAAACTTCTTTACAAATGTGTGTAGACTAGTTACCACCTCCTATCAAAATAGATAAATTAGGAATCAGGAACCAGTCTGCTCCAGGGCTGATCTGCTTGTGAAGCAAAAGCAATAGGCAACACAAAATAAAAACTTTTCATTGGTTGCAGATGCCCCCACCAAAAAAAAAAAATTATAATAATAATTATTATTATAAATAGTATTTCTCATTCAAAAATAATACAAGTTGAAAATTCAGTAAGGACAAAAAAACAAAAACAAAATCGAATTTGTTGAGCATATACAGTGAACATTTTCAACAAATGTTCACCTAAATGACATTTCACACACGCGTCATATAACAGATCAATTGAGAAATCAATTTTAAAAGGTCCATATGTAGCTCTTTTTTTGTAATCTGCAGTCTATTGCATGTGTCATATGCCATTTTCATTTTAGTACATGTATTTTTTTTTAAATCAAGTTTGGAAGTAGCTTGATTTAACAGACAATGAATGATTGTACAACTGCCAATCCTATAACACAATACCTTCCGTATTCCCTAAAGTTAAAAGGAAAACCAGGAGGATAGGCCTAAACTTGTTTTGATCTGTTTCAGTTGAAAATTAAGGGCAAGCCTCTGATAAATATTTACAAATCAACAAATTCCCCCTTTCATTTGTGTTCAGTCCCCCCCCCCCCCCCCCCCCCCCCCTGAAAGTTAACCCTTTTCCGATTTGGTAATGAATTATTCATATCTGCGGTTGACGGTTCTTATCTGACCGCAGTCTGCCTGCCATTGATATGGAAATAACTCGGCGGGACTGCAACCATAGCAACAGACCATACGCCGGTCGACTATGCACATTCGACGACAGCGCATGGCATGGATTGAAAATACCGTCATTCTTGGAGGGATGTTTTCTGTATTTTTGGATTCAGTGGTGAGTCTTCCAAAGGTAAATTTTGAAAGACTTTGCCACATATTGCCCACTGATGATTTGCCCCAATTTTTGTGTCGTAATCAATTAGGAGACAGGTGTTGAAGTTGTATGCTACTCGCGTTGTTTACACGGCATAGGCAGGCCATCATTGAAGTGAACAGAGAAGTTCGACCTTTGCTTTGTTTTGTCGATAAGTTTTCGGCTTGACTGTCACTGAACATTCCGATATCCCCCATCGAATGTTTAGACATTGTTTGGATAGCAAAAACAGCGAACATTGGAATTATTAAAAGGGCGAAATTTATGTTAGTTCCTGGTTGCATGAACTTCGCTCATCGACATCGTCACGGTGGGCGGCGTGTTGCTGCGATACGACACACACACAATCACAGTGCCCCATATCAGTTCACATGCACAACTGGTCGTAAATAATAATCCTTTAGTTTACAACGTCAGAAGTTTATTCCAAAGCCGAGATAAAGGAGTAATTGCAGAATACCCCGCCAGTCGGAAATACACCCCTAAATTCTCTGGCTACGAATACGAGGTTTGACAAGAAAATTACTTTAGGTTTAGATTTTTTTTCCACAGCCAATTAAGATAATTCAATCAGCATTAATTTGTGTACATGACAACAGGTATGTCCAAACATGGAGGAACTATTGAGTATTGGTGCAAACAATGTGCTTCTCTGAGGACCGACATTGGTGATAAAGTCTTCATTTGAGCGGCGAAACTTGAACAAATCCGACAAAAGATGCCGATTGCTCAGACGCGTTTGGAGATCCTGCAGGTCCACAAGTTCCTGCAGTGTGTTCGCAACCAGGACAAGCCACAGATTGAGAAACTCTGCTCCCATGGCGTGCCTCACCTCATCAACTACAGTGAGCCCAACGAGGGGGAGACGGGGCTGCACCTTGCCGCCCGAGTCAACGACGATGACATGGTCAAGTTCTTGCTGGAGTTGGGGGCTCATCCCAACGTGGTGGACTTGAAGGGCCGGACGGCGGCCATGAGAGCGGCCGAGTACGGTCACGTACAGACGCTGGAGGTGCTTGCTAACGCTGGCTCAGATATGAAGATCAAGGATGCAGAGGGGAAAGGTGGGCTTAATGAATTAAATCAGTGTTTGTTTGTTTCTTTCTTTGTTTGCTGGGGTGTTTGTTTGTTTGTTTGTTTTCTGAATTTGATTGTTCAAAACTTTTCTTCATTACAACTAAATTGGTGCTTCACTTTTTTTCAGAACCATTTTCTTGACAATGAAATTAATGATCTCATTTTATGTTTGTAAATAAATTTGTGTTAAACATTCATTATAATTTGCATTTAGTTTGGACCATGTTTTACTGAAATTTATATAAAATGCATGTATTAAGTCACTGATGTGAAATATTTATGTAAACAGTATCTTGCAGATATCTAAATGAACATTTTAAGTTTTTTGTTGAACTTATTATTTTTGTAATAAAAGTGTAAAATAATATTGAATAAGACTTTCTACCACTATTGTCAAATTGAAATAAGAAAACTTTTTTTGAAGAACAAAAAAAAGAAGCTGTTTTATTAAATAAAAATAATATCTGTCAGTCCTTACATTTTCATGAAATTTCAATTGTCATCTTACAACTTAATTTTTCATCCTGCAATTTTCTGTCCTTCCCAGGTATTCTATTCTACTGCATTCTGCCAACGAGTCGCCATGCAAAGTGCACCCAGATCGTCCTAGAGTGCGGAGCTGAGTGTAACAACATCGCCAACGATGGCATGCCGCTGCTGGTCCTGGCTTGCATGGACTCTGTAGAGAACGAGAAAATCTGCATCCAGTTTCTTGACAATGCTGCCGATGCAAACAGTGCCCAGCCTGTAAGTGAATTACAGAGATGGGAACTGGGTTCTTGGGGAGGGGGAGGGAGGGGGAGCTGTCACCAACTGATGGAGTTGTCTCAAAAGAGTTTAAATTGGATGGCAATTTGAAATTTTTAAATGCTTTCATTTTAAAAAAGGGAAGAGGAACATACCTCTGTCTTCACTAAATTTTTCGGTATTTTACGCTTGAGGTACTCTTTGCTTGAATCAAATACCATGATCTCAAAATTTGAATCTGCTCCGGAACCGAGTCCGTGTTGTAGCTGATTCAAGTTTCCTCCAAGATTGGATTTCAGGCAGTTCAAAACAAATTTTGCATTGAAGTGTAAATTTCAGAGAGGGATTACCCCTTATAAGGTGGACTTGGTGTTCCTCTAATTTATATGTTAATATGTAGCTCATTTATTAATTTAACAGGGGTCTTTAAAACGCTCGTTCCTTGGTAAAGTTAGAGTCAATTTCAACAAGAACGTTGACTCCTTGATGGATTCCAAAACAATTCTGAGAATGAAGGAGTCGTCAGTGAACTAAGTAATTATTGAAAAGGGTGACAGAACTAACCTTATTACTTAAGCGTAGTTTCCATATCGAGGTAAGAATCACACAGAGCAACGCAAACAAGACCCAATCTGCAACGCAGACAGAAAAGTTTCATCCGCAATTTTAACGACAACCCAGACAAATGCAAACTACCTCGCAGATAATTGGAAAAGTTGAACCCGGTTCAACTTTGCCGACTGTTCTGAGCACTGTCTGCGCAGTCTGCATAAGCTTAACGTCGATATGGAAACTAGGTTTTACTGACTTCTGGTTTATTTATTGATTTCTTTTCTCCATTTCCTTTCCCCCAGTCCACCAATAAGACCCCCTTGATTGAAGCAGCCCGCAGCGGCAGCGTGGCAGTTTGCCGAGCAATCCTGGCCAAAGGCGGAGCGGTCAACGCCATGGACAAGAACAAGAGAACCGCGGCCCACATGGCGGCCAAGAACGGCCACTTTGACGTGCTGCGTCTACTGTGCAGCTACAGCGCCGACCTGAGCTTAGTAGACACCATCGGGAACACCATGATCCACTACACATGTGAGGGAGGCTTTGCAAACTGCTTGAAGTATCTGTCTCAAAGAGGTTAGTTTGTCAGTGACTTAATGAAGAGTGAATCAACAAATTGTGCTTTACCCTTTCTTAGGGCCCTTCTCAATTCATATCAGGGACGACTTCTGGACAAGTTGCGAACATTGTATCGGGTATAAGTTGCAGGATTCTCAATAACTTCCCCGCAATTGGCCCGCAAAGTAATCAGTATTGGTGAGTCAAGCAGTTGCTAATGAAAATTTCCCCGGAACACGTCCGGGACAAAGGCAGAGCTTCTTCCGGACAAAGTGAACGATTCTACCCGGAACTTGTTGGGAACTCATCCTGGATATGAATTGAGACGGCCCTAAGTAAAGATTTACTTCAAGATCTTGCTTTCCCTTTTCTTAAACGTCAGGTTTTGTGTTTTGTATTTTGGTTGAAATCAGTCAATTGAAACCTAACCAATGTCAGCACTAACATCATGTTATAAATTTTTTATTTTTTTTTTAAGGATGCAAAGCACACACTAAGAATGACGACGGGCTGCTTCCGAAAGTGATTGCCAAGAACAAGGGTTTCAAAGATGTCATGAAGGAGTGTCGGAAAGCCGAGCGTCTGTCCAAGAAGCTCCAAGGTGGCGGGAAAGCCCCAACCGAGGCCTGGGCCGTGAAAATGTACGACTGGGCCCACGAGAACCAGACCAAACTCTTGGAGAGGTTCCAGGGCTTGGACCCTGACGGTAACGAGGTGATATCAAGAGACGACTTCTATGATGTCTTGGTCACCCTCGAGGCACCAATCGATGAGGACAGTTTCAAGGCCCTGTTTTTACTCCATGACAAGACCAAAGAAGGGGTCATAAACTACCATGAGTTCTTGGCGGGGAAGAAATTCGTCCACAAGACCTACCTCATGTCAGCTTTTGAGAAGAAGGAGAAAAAGAAAAAGGGCAAGAAGGGCAAGAAGAAGAAAGGCAAGACGAAGGTTCCCATGCCGATTTGTGTCGGCGTTGAGGGGGCTAGAACTGAATACGGTGAGCCACCTGAACATCTTATTCACAGACATGTGCCATTTACAGACACCGGACGCTTTGACCGCGACCATCCCCCCGACCACCCGATTCAAGACGACTCAGCGTGGTACCTCCACTTCCCAGAGAAGACATATATCAATGTCACCGATGCTGCCAAGATGACAGACTTGGACTCGATGCGTCAGGCTTACTCACGTGGCCGATCGGTAAACACGCAGGACAAATACTACAAGACAGCGCTGATGGTCGCATGCGCACATGGCAACTTGGAGATGACAAAATTCCTTTTGGAAAATGGGTAAGTTGGACTTCTCAGAGTCTTTTTAAAGGATAACTCATTTTCTTCAGTTTAAAAAAATGATAGCAATTATTGTTCCATCATTAATGGTTGTTTCAAGTTTCTTCCACTCTTTTTTATTTCTAAAGTTTTTGTATCATGGCAAACAATGCCGTTAGGTCAACCTAACTGTTGTTAACTTTTTTTTTTAAGTGAAATTGCTTGTCACGAATGATAACAAAAATGACGTTTTCTGTTTTGTTACAGCGACACAAATTTGTGAACTTTTTATAGAGATTTCCAGCTTATCTACAAATAAGTAGTATTCTATTAAATTGCAACACAAAACAAATTTCTGTTTGGAAGGAAATATATGTCAACTCGTTTGGCTTGATCATGCTTCTGATTGAGAGTGTTAAATCGTGCTCGGAGTTGTGCTTCAAACAATGATAGAATAAGCATCCATGCTTCTTCTTTTTGTCGTAACCTTTGCAGATCTGACGTCAACTGCCAAGATAATTTCAAGTGGACGCCGCTGCACCACGCTTGCCTGTCAGGCCAGCTGGACGTGGTTGAACACTTGGTGGCTCACCAAGCCAACCTCAACGCCCAGGCCATGAACGGTGGCACGCCGTTAATGAGAGCCATCCAGACCTCCTCCCCAGATATCGTGAAGTATCTCATCGAGAAGGGCTGCGACGTCACCCTGGAGAATAGAAAAGGTCAGTGTGAATGGGAATCTCCTGTAGGTCCTTTGTGATGACACAAGCCCCGCTCTGTTTGAGATATTTTTCAAAGTCTTAGTCAAGTTCTCACAAGTCAATCATAAGTCTTCCGGCCTCAAGTCAGGTAAAAAGCTATCCTATTGAACGGTAATAGTTACTTCTTGTACCTGTATGAGAGAACGAAAACCTATTCTAATGTTTCGAACTCACCTGAAAAGCTGGCTAAATGCCACGCTTATGTTGTCGGACTCATCTGGACAACATGGTGAATATCAAATTTGATTTATGAGGGTAAAACACAACAACGATGACAAAATACAAGACTCAAAAACAAAAATGGCGACAGTGCCGAACAAGTTTAAAAGCACGTCGCCCATTGGCTGGTGTTTTTTGTAACATGATCTCTGATTGCTTGAGAATGATGGGGGTGTAGGGTTACTAGAGAGAACAGCCAAAACCTTGGGCTGACAAGCAGCGAACGTAGTTCGCAGGTTTGTGCCAAAACTTGTGAGAATGTCACGTCTCCCTAAGTCCTGTTCAAAACGATAAAAGCACAGTGTCAATCTAATGTCATTTGGGAACCTTGCAAACAGTTTTATAAAGACTTTTATTCCATGATTTTATTCTATTTCTTTAAAACATGTGTAGTAGACATTTCAAAGGTTGTAAATATATTGATCAATCTGAAAACCAAAAAAATCACCCCCATTCAGTTTTGTCTCATTTTTGTCCACTATGGCCTGTGTCCCCAGTTCTGTCTCAATATGCCAGAATGCCTCATGTTTGTGCACAGAGTTCATAGTTGAAGAACCAAGGTGTAAATTTTAAAGAAAAATACCCGAAATAAGCCATGATTTTCTTTTTCTTTTTTTAGGCGACAATGCTCTAGATGTTGCCAAGTGGTGGGCCGACCCCAGGGTACTGGAGATTGTCCAGGCCAAATTCGAGACCATTCCTCAGCCCAAGGAGGGAAAGAAGGGCAAAGGCAAGAAGGGACGAGGAAAGAGCGGTGGGCAGAAGAAGGCTCCTCCAAGGTCACACTCCGTACCGCCAATACCCCAGGGTGGTATGACAACACAGGCGGTAGGTACCATGCACTGTAACCATAGTTATTGTTATACCCCAAAACAAAATGAGATTTCAAAATATTTTAAGAAAGTTAACATTGCTCTGCTGGGCCCCATATGCAGGGTGAAGAAAACAGAAAACATGTTTGTGGGGCCAACATCATAGTTCCTTTGGTCTAACAGTCACAGTACATACACAGTAGCCGATTTCACGAATTTTTTTGCAGTGGCACAACTCCGCTTGAGTCACAATTTATTGCGTTACCTGCGCATCATTTCACGCTGTGCAACATTTCACTTATAAAAATGACATATTTCACAAAAGTCTCATAGTGCGCAAGACCGCGACTTACTCAATAAATTATGGCATAACTTGCGCAATCATTTTAGGTGGCGTACGTTGTGGCATAGCGACTGAAAATGACACATTTTACCAGCAAATTGTGATCTTTGTAAAGCCTGCTATTGCACAACTTAACAAGGTTGATACAAGACAACCACAGCTTCTTGTTTGAAGTAAATGAATTGCTATTTTACTAGTCACAGAATTTTTAGAGTTGCCACACGATTCCGGAGAAAGTTGGACAAAATAGTTTTCAAATGGCGGGCTGAGGTGATTCAGCGACTGTACATTTTGTGAACGAACAAATTCATACACAAACATGCAGCTGTCGTAAATGCTGTTATTATTCTCGTCCAAAATGTTTAGATTGTTTGAAACGTTGCGCAGCTACGCCAAAATTTGTGAAATCGATTGTAAGTTTATTGCGCAGCTGTGCAACAAATTTGCTGCGTAAGTCTTACGCATGGCGTAAGCTACGCACTTTTTCGTGAAATCAGCTGTAGCACAATTAGCTACAAAGCAAGCTGTAAGTGTAAAATGGGGACTTTTTTAGCATCAGTCGATGAAGGCAGGATATTCTTCTTTTCTGTTGTTTACATTATTCTAAGCATCTAAACGAATGCCTCAGGGAATACAGCACTTTCAGCAGTTTAAAACCGTTTTTATCAGAGAAGTCTTCTTACTTTTTTAAAAACTTGGGTAACTTTTTTGTGAAAAAGTTCAGGTAAAAGATTTTTGAAGTTGAGTCAATCAGTCACCTAAACTGTGTCAGCTTATGAAGAGAGATGACGATTCAAAACAAGCATTCGGTCTATATATGAATGCAGCATGTATAAGATTTTAGGCTTTTCATGGTGGAGTATCGATATAGCTTTGGTTTGCAGTAACACCATGTGGTTGTGTTTACTTTTGCTCAGTAGATTTAGTTCCAATAAGAACTGTCCTGCTAGTTCAAAAAAGGAACTTGTGCTGCTTATTATCTCCTTTCGCTAAGTACATTGGAAGGCGGTGGGACTTTTCACAATTTTCTTCACTGAGGCCGAGTGAGATGAGTTTGGTCTCAATGTTTCGACTAGCGTGCTCTACTCATCATCAGGAGACTTTAGTGAAAGTAGATAATAAGCAGGACAAGTTCCTTTTTGAACTAGCAGGACAGTTCTTATCAGAACTATTCTATTGAGCGTAAGTACGCAGAACCACATGGTGTTACCACAAACCGAAGCTATACATGTACATGTTATGAGACTCCGAACAAATTGTGCATATGGTTTTGTCTGTATTCTCAAATTGTATAGTATCCACTGAGTCAAAACTTTCACAGGTTCGTTGTTATGCAATAAGGTCTTCAGCAATTTCGATGCTCCAAAGTCCAAACAAACAGAAAAATGTACAACAAGCAAATTATCCTACAAACATTTGACCGATAGATTGTCGTTGTTACCTGCAGATAACTGACTCGCCCACCATCAGCCCACGGGAGAGAAAGGGTTCAGTCCTCCGGGCGGCATCAGCTATGGCCGGCGGCATCGAGCATCATGAAGACATCACCTACATACCATTCGTTGCCTGGAGCAACATGCCCAACACCAGGGAGCTCATCGTCAAGAAGGAACAGAGGAGAATGCGATTCGGCGACGGCATCGACTTTCCAGACTTCAAGATGCCCTTCAAGGATAACTTCATGAAGAAGTCTGAGGCGCTGGGTGGAGTTGATTCCGACGACGATGATTGAACGACACACTAGGGTGAGGACAACCAGTGGCAGTGACTGATTTTTGTTAGGAGCCACTAATGTGCCAATAATAGAGACTGATCAAGTACGCCATTTTGTCTTTGAGCTTCCGGACCCCTCCGTGACCCTTCTAGGAGCATTTTACACTGAGATGCACTTTCTTGCTCTAATTTTTGACAGAATGATTTCTAATCGTTAATCAACCCTGAGAAACATTCATGTTGGCATTTTATCTTGGCATTCCACAGGAAAGAATTATGAGAAATCAGTTGGAGATTGATAAAAACAAATTTTACTTACGACCTTTTACATCCGGCATTTTCGTACCTAGGTCTCCTTGTTCGATCACGTTTGTTTTCACATTGCGTACTTGCGTGAGAACGAAAATTATAACGACGCGAAGAGTTACCTACCTACATCTGATGGATTCTAGATTTAGTCGGACTTGCTTGAATACAGTTCTTATCAACGGTCATTTTAGATTTGTTTGTAAATGATAATGATTCCTTTAAGTTTATTCAAAAAAATGGTATGTCCCAAAAGACATTTTAGTCTCCTATTTAAGATTCAGTTTTCACCCACTGACAGCCACAAAATCATTTCATAAATTGTCATCTTTGTCCCAGTGCTCCGAGTTCCACTAGTCCACACGTATTTTAGATTTTCGAAGTGAGAGGTCAATTTTTGGCACGATATTTCTCTTTCACGTCATGCGATTTTTAAATTTCCATAAATTGAGATGCAAGTAACAATTTTACAATACCTTATTTAAGGGTGATTCTCCTAAGAAATCAATGTACCAAAAATAATTTTAAAAACTCTAACTTTTACACGCTAACTTTCCTATTTGCGGGGTCCGCAAGCGTGCCACCAGGGGTCAACTTTCAGGCTCTATAGAGGCGTCAACTTTAAAAGCTCATGTATGGGCAGAAGTATCACTGTTGATCGAAATTCCAATCTACTGGAATAGTTGACAATGATCTGTGATCATGACAGTCCTGTGGTTATGTACACATGAGAACTTCAGTGTGCAGGAAAGTACTACATTGTATTATGGTAGGTAGAATTTGTCTGTCGCACCACGGAGTGAGGTATCATGTGCACAAAGTCCATAGATGTTACGTCACTTCATGGTGCACCTGACAAATTGTTTCGTAGGGTGAACTGATGAGATAAAAATGTCTACACAATGTATATGCACATCAGTACATGTACATGAACAATCACATGACCAGAGCTAACCATGGTAGTAAAAGACGACTATCATGGTTAAAAACAATCTCAACAGATGTGTGTGTGTTAAAAAAGGCAATAATAACCAATGTTTTGTCCTTATATTGTACATATGAACTAGAACAGAACAAAGGAAAAGGTGTTGGGTTTTTCAAGTAAATCATGTTACACACAGAAGACTATACTTGTCATAGTCAAAGTTCATTAAAATACAATTCAATATTGGGTGTTGCCCTTCACCGATGTATTTTATAAACACTGTACATGTATACTCAGATGACTTACCACTCGACCACCGAGCTTGCCGGAGTCGGCTGGCTGGTTCAAATATAGCAGATATACCAGCGGGTACCACAATGAAACTACAGTGCTCATACATGGATTTTTTTTTATTTTTTTTTGCGTCAGGGTGATGTAAATTCAATATTGGCAGTTTTGGCCATCACCGACGTATTTTATAAACACTGTATACTCAGTGCCCCCCGAGTGACTGTGAGAAAAATCACTCGGGTGGGACTCGAACCCACGACCTCCTGCTTACTAGCGCAGCAATCTTACCATTCAACCACCGGGCTTGCCGGAGTCGGCTGGCTGGTTTAAGAGCACCGTGTACCGCAATTAAACTATTCATCAGATGGGCAATTCCACAGTTACTCATGTTACATTTTTGATGTACTTTTGAGTTTCCTTGGGCTGTAATTACCTTACTGAAAAGGTTTAATACATGTGTAACTGTTATCCCCATGGTAGATAGATTAGACCTAGACCTACCTAAGCACCAAAGATGACATCCAGAAAAATGTGTTGTGTATGATAAACAAGACGCACAAAATCGGTTACTCACGTTACGAAAATGTAACCGTGGAATTGCCCAGATGGATATAGACTTTGTGGGGGGGGGGGGGGGGGATTAGCTTGTGACTTAAGACCGGATGACTTGAGAGGATTTGACTACCGTACAACTATGCATGCTATTACCACAAAACTTTCTTTACCACAAAATAGTTACTGAATCTAAGAAGTTTTCATTTTGTCAAGTAAGACGTCCATGCGTTAAGTAAACAAGTAAATTGATGAATAGCCCTGAATCGTAATGATGTCACACTTTGTTTACATGTGCGCTTTCCTATGGGAGCCAGGTGTGGACGAGATCCACCAAACTCCCCAAAGAAAGCGCACATGTAAACAAAGCGTGACGTCATTATGTTACAAGTCTACTCTTTAGCCAGATTAACAAAAAACTGAATTAATGACACCATTATATTTTTTTGGGGAGGGGGGGAGGGAGGGGGTGTTTCTGGAACTTGCGAAGAAAACATTGACAGTTCTTGGAATCACAATGTATCTCAAGTTGAAATCATCAGGAAGTGTTGATATAAAATATTTAAACAGTTACAGTGATCTTTCTGCAAGTAGAATATATGCTTTCATTTTTAGATGTAGCTGTGTGTATGAGTATCTTGAGCAATTTGAATAGCCTAAATTTGATGCTGCAAATCAAACTACATTCAATTTGGTCAAGTATAATGTTTTCACTCACTCTCAAATTCCTGTAATGCCCTACATGTAGTTCACAAAACTTTAAAAATTTCACAAAAAAGATAAATACATTCCTCACCCATGGGCGTCGCAAGGGGGGGGGGGGGGGGGCGCTTGCCCCCCCCCCCCCCCCCCGGAAAAGCCACAAAAAAAAGGAAAAAAAAAAGAAAAGAAAAAGACGCGCGAAGTCATAGTGGTGTAAATTTAATGAGTTGGGGGGGGGGCAAAATGTCCCTGCCCCCGTCTAAAATTGAGAAATCGAGAATTTGTTCAGAAATACAAGAATTTTTTGGGAAAAATATGTTTTGCCCCCCTTTAGGAAAAATCCTGGCGACGCCCATGTCCACACCTCATTCTAAATTTGTGATGCGATCAAGCTAAATGAGTTGTTTGTTGTCGGGAACTTTCATTTGGAGATTCAGGCCAAAATAGGGCCACTTCATCACATCACTTCATCACATCTCTTGGTGTTCCGAATTCCATAATTTTTGAACTAAAGATGGTATCAGCATGCAGTTTTCACATCAGTAATGCTGAGATTGTGCTCTTTTCAAAACTGTAAAAAAAAAATTTTTAAATTGACCAGGGTCAGCAAACGACTCATTTAGCTTGATCGCATCACATTTGTCCCTTTGTGGACACAGCAAAGAAATGGTACACACGGTGCAGACCAAGTGATTTTTGTTCATACACTCTTTAACTTTGTAATGCAATTCAGGATCATGGCATATGGAAACTTAAGACATTTTATATTGAAAACTGCAGGCTGTGGTCATTTCTTGTTATTATAGAAAACACTGTAGTTTATATAAGTCTAGGGCAAGTGTGGCTGAAAGGGAAAGCAATCTGCAGTGAATCATGTATAATGCTCCCAACTTCTGACTACGTGTACTTAATACATGTACATGTACATGAATTAGCCATGTACTAGTCTATGTTATCACAGGCAATGATCTTTGCACTTTTTATTAGTTTTGTCACTTCGTGTACATATTTATTTATTGCATTGCTTCTTTATCATGGGTACAGAGTGTAAAAGGATCTGGAAATTATGCAGTATTTTTGCATTGTACATTTATGAATCATGTTTGAATATCCAAAATTGAGTTTGTACATTTTAACTGATCCAAAATGTGAAAAATAAAATAAAGTGAAAGCCTTTGAATGCTTCGTTTTTCTCATCAATACATGTATCTTTCTAGATCCCCCCCCCCCAAAAAAATCATCATTTATATATCCAAAGTATATAATAACAAGACCAATTAATAACAATACTACTACTTTAAACCTTGTACTTGACATTAATTTGGGTTCAAAACTTCCTGACAATAGATTTTTTTCTATTCCTTTTTCTGTGTGTGTGTGGGGGGTATGAATTATGGTCGGCAATAGCACAGACCCACTGATTGTGCCCAACAACTTCACGATAAAACAATCCAAGAAACTTATCATGTGAGAGAATAGGAGAATTGCTGCACTAAGTACCCCGTGAAATTATTGCCTCTGGCTTGCTGTCATTTAACATGTACAGGGTGTCCTGAAAATAACGGTGCATGTAAACCCCGCCATTTTCGCCAATTTACAACCGGAATTTACAGCAAATGTCTACACGATCTTCAAGGTTACAGATTTAGCTTGAGAATACTGTTTGTTTAATTAAGATTGCTTTCCCACAGATTTCGTCATACATTCACGACACCCCAGACTTCCTACGCAAGCTTGAAGGAATCAAGGACCAGATTCCCAGCACAGCCATCATTGGGACTTTCGACGTCTCATCTCTGTACACCAACATCCCACATGAGGAGGGTGTTCGTGCTTGCTCCTTGGCTCTGGCCAAGGCAGGACACACGACTCCTCCCACAGTGATGTTGGCACCCTCATGAGACTTATACTAACGAAGAACATTTTTCCTTCCTTGGTGAACACTATCTACAGGTACACGGCACTGCAATGGGCACTCGCATGGCCCCGTCGATGGCTTGCCTCTTCATGGGCGACCTCGAAGAACGCATTCTTGCCTCGGCCCCATGTCGCCCTTGGATCTGGTGGAGATATATTGATGATGTTTTTTCATCTGGACCAGTGATGAGGACAGTCTCTTGACCTTCACTAACCACATCAATTCCTTCCACAGAACCATCAAATTCACATCGGAGTTCTCGGCTCACCAAACCCACTTTCTGGATGTCACCGTCCGCAAGCAAGGCAACTCACTAACCACTGACCTGTATTCCAAACCCACAGACACCCACCAGTACCTCCACTCCTCCAGCTGTCACCCCAGGCACTGCAAAACTGGCATAGCATTTAGCCAGGCACTCAGACTCAGAAGAATTTGTTCTAATGATTCCGATTTCTCCCGCCATACACAGATACTGAGGAACAACTTGGTGGCCAGGGGTCACAGCTCTCGCCAAGTTCATCGTGCCATTGCCAGAGCTAAAGCTATCCCCAGAAATCTAGCTCTCACGGGAAAGGCCCCTGATGCCATGGCCAAACCCATGATTCCCTTGGTTACCACGTTTCACCCCAATCTCCCTCCCCTTCGCA